AAATACCTATCCCAACAAAAGACCTATCCCAATAAAAGACCTATCACAACAAACGCCCTTTACCAACAAAAGACCTATCCCAACAAACGACCTATCCTAACAAAATACCTAACCCAACAAAAGACCTATCCCAACAAAAGACCTATCCCAACAAAAGCCCTATTAAAACAAAAGACCTATCCCAACAAACGCCCTTTACCAACAAATGACCTATCCCAACAAAAGACCTATCCCAACAAAAGACCTATCCCAACAAAAGACCTATCCCAACAAAAGACCTATCCCAACAAAAGACCTATCCTAACAAAATACCTAACCCAAAAAAAGACATCCCATCTAGACCTAGACGACTCGATGCACCAAACACTCCTCAGAACTTACTTGTGTCTTGATAACTTCTGGCACCAGCCGGAATAGCGCCAAAATATTTGTTTGTCTAGCCGCTGGTGACGCCTCAAGTCTCAGCTCCATCAGGGTGGAGTTCTGGTCCCAGGGTGGGGCTATGACGCCATCACAGGTCAGGGTGTAAGGCATGCCTTCCCCCGGGGTGGGGGGGTTCACCACAGACACGGCACAAACTGGTTGAGACATGATGGTATCATCAGGTGGTGACACAGTCGAATGGTGACACAATGACAGTCGAATGGTGACACAACGACACAGTCAAATGGTGACACAACGACACAGTCAAATGGTGACACAACGACAGTCGAATGGTGACACAACGACACAGTCAAATGGTGACACAACGACAGTCGAATGGTGACACAACGACAGTCGAATGGTGACACTATGACAGTCGAATGGTGACACAACGACAGTCGAATGGTGACACAACGACACAGTCGAATGGTGACACAACGACACAGTCGAATGGTGACACTATGACAGTCGAATGGTGACACTGTGACACAGTCAAATGGTGACACAACGACACAGTCGAATGGTGACACAATGACACAGTCAAATGGTGACACTATGACACAGTCAAATAATGACACAACGACACAGTCAAATAATGACACAATGACACAGTCAAATGGTGACACAACGACACAGTAGAGTATGGGATAAATGGTGTACATAATAGGACTAGTATACTGTGTACTAGACTCGTAGAGTATGGTGTAAAGTGTATAGAGAATAGAAACTGTAGAGTATAGACTAAAGTGTAGACTTTAAAGACTAGAGTGTAGAGTGTAGACTACAGTATAGACTAGAGTGTAGTGAGTATAGCCTAGCGTCGCGCCTTACCGTTCCCATAAGCCCACAACAAACAAGTTATGGTCAGTGTAAAGTACGCCATCAGACTGACAAATTTTTCGCTCACACAGAAGAGCATCCTGTCATATATTTTAATGCTGTGACATCATTTCCGGGTGAAATCATGCTCTTCCGTGAGTGTATTTAAAATAAGTCCTTATTCAAATTCGGGAAATCAACAAAACAAACTTCTGGGAGTGTTGAAGAACTACTCTATCGTTGGGAAACGCTAATTGGCGACCCCGCCTCACTAAATGCCTAATTTAATTAGCTGACCCTTGGTCGTCACTCACTATTTTATTATAAGGCTCATGACATTCTGAATGACATTTTGAATGACATTCTGAATGACATTCTGAATGACATTCTGAATGACATTGTATCACTTTCTTGGGACGAACCTGCCATATGTAAAATAATTTACTTTAAAAACCGCGGACACGGAGATCACACTCTAAACATCGTATTCCACATACACAGCACTCGCACACACATACACACTCACACCTATGAGTCTACGCCATTACACGCACACATACACACACCTATGAGTCTATACCATTACACGCACACATACACACTCACACCTATGAGTCTACGCCATTACACGCACACATACACACACCTAGGAGTCCACAAACCCATTTGCACACGCACACTTACACACACACACACACATGAACGCACTCTTATCACAAAACAACACACCCAACGAATTGAATGTGTATTTACCTTTCTAAGCATTAAAATAATTATTTCTTTAAGTTGTTTTTTGTCCAAACGAGCCAAGTATTTTAAAATAATTACTTCAAGCATCCCACTGAATATTTGACCTAGCTGACTTATTCAAAAGCCAATCAGATTGATTTTAACATTCGTTTCTTATACTTGCCACAGAAACGTTTGAGCTATTTTTAGGTTAACACCACCAGTCTAGCCGTGTCACAATTCTTCCCTCTACCTTTACAACACCAGTCTAGCCGTGTCACAATTCTTCCCTCTACCTTTAACACCACCAGTCTAGCCGTGTCACAATTCTTCCCTCTACCTGTAACTACACCAGTCTAGCCGTGTCACAATTCTTCCCTCTAATTATAACTACACCAGTCTAGCCGTGTCACAATTCTTCCCTCTACCTTTAACTACACCAGTCTAGCCGTGTCACAATTCTTCCCTCTACCTTTAACTACACCAGTCTAGCCGTGTCACAATTCTTGCCTCTACCTTTAACTACACCAGTCTAGCCGTGTCACAATTCTTGCCTCTACCTGTAACACCACCAGTCTAGCCGTGTCACAATTCGTCCCTCTACCTGTAACACCACCAGTCTAGTTAAAAGTTGTCGAACTTTGCTGCAAGTAGATCTAGGTTGATAAGAGATCGATTACAAAGAAAGGTTTGAGTCAACAACGTTCAAACCCCGGATGGTCTTAATCTCGCTTCTTGCTGGATAAGTCCCTACCCTCAACTACACATCTCCAATCATCACCCAATCATACATACATATACCGCCAATATTGACCCAATCATGCATACACATACCGCCAATAATCACCCAATCATACATACACATACCTCCAATAATCACACAATCATACATACACATATCTCCAACAATCACCCAATCATACATACACATACCGCCAGTCTTCATCCAATCATACATACACATACCGCAAATCTTCATCCAATCATACATACACATATCTCCAATCATCACCTTATCATACATACACATACCGCAAAATCTTCACCCAATCATACATATACATACCGCAAATCTTCACCCAATCATACATACACATACCGCAAATCTTCACCCAATCATACATACACATACCGCAAATCTTCACCCAATCATACATACACATACCGCAAATCTTCACCCAATCATACATACACATACCGCAAATCTTCACCAAATCATACAAACACATATCTCCGATCATCACCCAATCATACATAAGCAAACCTCCAATCTTCACCCAATCCCGCTAGCTGCCATTCCTCACACAATCGTGCGAACTGACAATGCTTACGTTCAAATAAAAATAACATCCAAAAAGAGCGCTATGATTTTATTCATTTTTTGGTTTAACATTCAGCGAAAGAAAGTTGTTTTTGTAAGTAATATATTTCTTACATATTCCAATCAATAGGTGTGTCCCTTCGTACGATTCGTTGACTTGGAATCGAAAATGATACTTGTTGATTCTGATGTGTTTTGATTCTCGATCTTTCTGTGTGAACTGTGTGTGTGTGTGTGTTGAAACATTGACAGGGCTCCCCCACAACTCCCTCCCTACGGCCATCTTTCCTGCACATCATCAAATAGGGGCGGGGCTTAACCTTTGGGCGGGGCTTAACCTTTCGGTTACCTGAGAAATGTAAGTCAAATATGCATTTCCATCTCCAAATAGTACATACATATATACATGTAGATATAATATATACACTAAATTAGTTAATACACATTTCACTCAGACGCTGCTCAATCTGCCCGGGTGACCTTTCGTCCACACGACCACACGACCTAATAATGACCTCACACTTTAGTGTAGAAGAAGTTGCTCATGGCCATGATGGCGGCTTCCTCGTCAGGGTTGGGGGAGGTGGCCAGTCGCAGTCGGAAGGCCAGGGCTGGGAAGGCGGGGAAGATGTACAAGCGAGGGTTGTCTCCAAAACACTCGCAGACGTACTCAGTTCTCTCCCCTCTCTTGACGGGGTTGGTCTTCAATGGGCACTGCACTCTGGCGCAAGGGAAGGTTTGTAACTCACACATCTGAAGACATGAAGGGGATAGTCTATAGCTGATACATGGGATAAGTCTATAGTTGACACATGGGATAAGTCTATAGCTGACATAAGATAAGTCTATAGCTGACACATGGGATAAGTCTATATCTGACACATGGGATAAGTCTATAGCTGACATAAGATAAGTCTATAGCTGACATAAGATAAGTCTATAGCTGACACATGGGTTAAGTCTATAGCTGACACATGGGATAAGTCTATAGCTGACATAAGATAAGTCTATAGCTGTCACATGGGATAAGTCTATAGCTGACATAAGATAAGTCTATAGCTGACATAAGATAAGTCTATAGCTGATACATGGGATAAGTCTATAGCTGATACATGGGATAAGTCTATAGCTGACATAAGATAAGTCTATAGCTGACATAAGATAAGTTTATAGCTGACACATAAGATAAGTCTATAGCTGACACATGGGATAAGTCTATAGCTGATACATGGGGTAAGTCTATAGCTGATACATGGGATAAGTCTATAGCTGATACATGGGATAAGTCTATAGCTGCTACATGGGATAAGTCTATAGCTGATACATGGGATAAGTCTATAGCTGATACATGGGATAAGTCTATAGCTGATACATGGGATAAGTCTATAGCTGATACATGGGATAAGTCTATAGCTGACACATCTGAAAAGTCTTAACGTACTGATACATTGACCAACATGTGACTGACACTGACACACTGACTGACACACTGACTGACACACTGACTGACACACTTGACTGACACACTTGACTGACACACTTGATTGACACACTGACTGACACACCGACTGACACTGACTCACACAATGACCAACATGAGACTTACACGCTGACACACTGACTGACACACTGCCTGACACACTTGACTGACACACTGACTGACACACCGACTGACACTGACTCACACAATGACCAACATGAGACTTACACGCTGACACACTGACTGACACACTGACTGACACACTGACTGACACACTGACTGACACACTTGACTGACACACTTGACTGACACACTTGACTGACACACTGACTGACACACCGACTGACACTGACTCACACAATGACCAACATGTGACTGACACACTTAACTGACTCACTGACTGACACACTGACTGCCACACTGATTGACACAATGACTGACACACTGACTGACACACGTGACTGACACGCACCTTCTCCCATGTTTTGTTGGACATGCAGTTCCCGTTGGTGCACCTGTCCACGAACAGCTGGTAGCACTTGTTGCCTGATATCTTGGCGTTGCTCTCGAAGACTCCCAGGATCTTCCATGGGTCTTTGCAGCCGACGCAGGGCTTGGAGTAGCCGACGATCTCTATGTTGAAATCAGCCGCGCTGGCCACATCTGTCCAAACATTTCATCAGGTTGGTTGTAAACTGTCACCTGTTAGCCCCACCTTGTCACCTGTTAGCCCCCACCTTGTCACCTGTTGGCCGTCACCTGTTAGCCCCACCTTGTCACCTATTAGCCCCACCTTGTCACCTGTTAGCCCCACCTTGTCAACTGTTGGCCGTCACCTATTAGCCCCCACCTTGTCACCTGTTAGCCCCACCTTGTCACCTGTTAGCCCCACCTTGTCACCTGTTAGCCCCACCTTGTCACCTGTTAGCCCGCACCTTGTTACCTGTTGGCCGTCACCTATTAGCCCCCACCTTGTCACCTGTTAGCCCGCACCTTGTTACCTGTTGGCCGTCACCTGTTAGCCCGCACCTTGTTACCTGTTGGCCGTCACATATTAGCCCCCACCTTGCCACTTGTTAGGCCCACCTTGCAACCTTTTTGTCCCAAATCGTCATCTTTTGTGTCGATAGCTCCGCTTTCTGGTTCAATATTTGTGGCTGTGACCATCACCCTACGGCCGCCCCCACCACCCCACCCCGACCCCATCACATCCGTACCTGCAGAACAGATGAACCATAATGCCAACAGCAGATATACGACCGTGTTTCTCATCCTGCCTTATGTCGATTTCTGGAGAGAAAAAAATTATAAGCAATTCTTAGGCTTGGCCATAGTGGTAGAGCGCTAGACTGCTAACCCAAAAGTCTAGAGTTCGAATCCGGGTCCTAGTCCCTGAGTCCACCCAGCTCTGATGAGTACCTAACTCATGCTAGGGTAAGTGAAGGCGGCTGGGCATCGTGCTGACCACACCCTCCCATTATATGCCGAAGCAAAGAAACATGAACTCTATTTCATCTGCCCAATGGATCATTAGGTCTAAAGAGAATTCTTTATACTTGGGTGTTAACATGACATTTCTATAAGCAATTCATACTTGGTTGTTAACATGACATTTCTATAAGCAATTCATACTTGAGTGTAAACATGACATTTCTATAAGCAATTCATACTTGAGTGTAAACATGACATTTCTATAAGCAATTCATACTTGAGTGTAAACATGACATTTCTATAAGCAATTCATACTTGAGTGTAAACATGACATTTCTATAAGCAATTCATACTTGAGTGTAAACATGACATTTCTATAAGCAATTCATACTTGAGTGTAAACATGACATTTCTATAAGCAATTCATACTTGAGTGTAAACATGACATTGTTATATACCAGAAAGGTAATAGGTTAGGGTCATGACCCCAACAAATGTTATGGCTAGAGTTAGGGTCATGACCCCAGCCCAACAAATGTTATGGCTAGAGTTAGGGTCAGGACCCCAACAAATGTTATGGCTAGAGTTAGGGTCATGACCCCAACAAATGTTATGGCTAGAGTTAGGGTCATGACCCCAGCCCAACAAATGTTATGGCTAGAGTTAGGGTCATGACCCCAGCCCAACAAATGTTATGGCTAGAGTTAAGGTAACCCCAGCCCAACAAATGTTATGGCTAGAGTTAGGGTCATGACCCCAACAAATGTTATGGCTAGAGTTAGGGTCATGACCCCAGCCCAACAAATGTTATGGCTAGAGTTAGGGTCATGACCCCAGCCCAACAAATGTTATGGCTAGAGTTAGGGTCATGGCCCCAACAAATGTTATGGCTAGAGTTAGGGTCATGACCCCAGCCCAACAAATGTTATGGCTAGAGTTAGGGTCATGACCCCAACAAATGTTATGGCTAGAGTTAGGGTCAGGACCCCAGCATAACAAATGTTATGGCTAGAGTTAGGGTCAGGACCCCAGCATAACAAATGTTATGGCTAGAGTTAGGGTCATGACCCCAACAAATGTTATGGCTAGAGTTAGGGTCATGACCCCAACAAATGTTATGGCTAGAGTTAGGGTCATGACCCCAACAAATGTTATGGCTAGAGTTAGGGTCATGACCCCAGCCCAACAAATGTTATGACTAGAGTTAGGGTCATGACCGCAGCCCAACAAATGTTATGACTAGAGTTAGGGTCATGACCGCAGCCCAACAAATGTTATGGCTAGAGTTAGGGTCATGACCGCAGCCCAACAAATGTTATGGCTAGAGTTAGGGTCATGACCCCAACAAATGGTATGGCTAGAGTTAGGATCATGACCCCAACAAATGTTATGGTTAGAGTTAGGGTCATGACCCCAACAAATGTTATGGCTAGGGTTAGGGTCATGACCCCAGCCCAACAAATGTTATGGCTAGAGTTAGGGTTATGACCCCAACAAATGTTATGGCTAGAGTTAGGGTCATGACCCCAACAAATGCTATGGCTAGAGTTAGGGTCATGACCCTAGCCCAACAAATGTTATGGCTAGAGTTAGGGTCATGACCCCAGCCCAACAAATGTTATGGCTAGAGTTAGGGTCATGACCCCAGCCCAACAAATGTTATGGCTAGAGTTAGGGTCAGGACCCCAACAAATGTTATGGCTAGAGTTAGGGTCATGACCCCAGCCCATCAAATGTTATGGCTAGAGTTAGGGTCAAGACCCCAGCCCAACAAATGTTATGGCTAGAGTTAGGGTCAGGACCCCAACAAATGTTATGGCTAGAGTTAGGGTCATGACCCCAGCCCATCAAATGTTATGGCTAGAGTTAGGGTCAAGACCCCAGCCCAACAAATGTTATGGCTAGAGTTAGGGTCATGACCCCAGCCCAACAAATGTTATGGCTAGAGTTAGGGTCATGACCCCAGCCCAACAAATGTTGTGGCTAGAGTTAGGGTCATGACCCCAGCCCAACAAATGTTGTGGCTAGAGTTAGGGTCATGACCCCAGCCCAACAAATGTTATTGCTAGAGTTAGGGTCAGGACCCCAACAAATGTTATGGCTAGAGTTAGGGTCAGGACCCCAACAAATGTTATGGCTAGAGTTAGGGTCAGGACCCCAACAAATGTTATTGCTAGAGTTAGGGTCAGGACCCCAACAAATGTTATGGCTAGAGTTAGGGTCATGACCCCAGCCCATCAAATGTTATGGCTAGAGTTAGGGTCAAGACCCCAGCCCAACAAATGTTATGGCTAGAGTTAGGGTCATGACCCCAGCCCAACAAATGTTATGGCTAGAGTTAGGGTCATGACCCCAGCCCAACAAATGTTGTGGCTAGAGTTAGGGTCATGACCCCAGCCCAACAAATGTTGTGGCTAGAGTTAGGGTCATGACCCCAGCCCAACAAATGTTATTGCTAGAGTTAGGGTCAAGACCCCAACAAATGTTATGGCTAGAGTTAGGGTCATGACCCCAGCCCGACAAATGTTATGGCTAGAGTTAGGGTCATGACCCCAGCCCAACAAATGTTATGGCTAGAGTTAGGGTCATTACCCCAGCACAACAAATGTTATGGCTAGAGTTAGGGTCATGACCCCAGCCCGACAAATGTTATGGCTAGAGTTAGGGTCATGACCCCAGCCCAACAAATGTTATGGCTAGAGTTAGGGTCATTACCCCAGCACAACAAATGTTATGGCTAGAGTTAGGGTCATTACCCCAGCACAACAAATGTTATGGCTAGAGTTAGGGTCATTACCCCAGCACAACAAATGTTATGGCTAGAGTTAGGGTCATGACCCCAACAAATGTTATGGCTACAGTTAGGGTCATGACCCCAACAAATGTTATGGCTAGAGTTAGGGTCATGACCCCAGCCCAACAAATGTTATGGCTAGAGTTAGGGTCATGACCTAAGCCCAACAAATGTTATGGCTAGAGTTAGGGTCATGACCCCAGCCCAACAAATGTTATGGCTAGAGTTAGGGTCATGACCCCAGCCCAACAAATGTTATGGCTAGAGTTAGGGTCATGACCTAAGCCCAACAAATGTTATGGCTAGAGTTAGGGTCATGACCCCAACAAATGCTAAGGCTAGAGTTAGGGTCATGACCCCAGCCCAACAAATGTTATGGCTAGAGTTAGGGTCAAGACCCTAACAAATGTTATGGCTAGGGTTAGGGTCATGACCCCAGCCCAACAAATGTTATGGCTAGAGTTAGGGTCATGACCCCAACAAATGTTATGGCTAGAGTTAGGGTCAGGACCCCAGCCCAACACATGTTATGGCTAGAGTTAGGGTCATTACCCCAACAAATGTTATGGCTAGAGTTAGGGTCAGGACCCCAGCATAACAAATGTTATGGCTAGAGTTAGGGTCATGACCCCAGCCCAACAAATGTTATGGCTAGAGTTAGGGTCATGACCCCAACAAATGTTATGGCTAGAGTTAGGGTCATGACCCCAACAAATGTTATGGCTAGAGTTAGGGTCAGGACCCCAGCATAACAAATGTTATGGCTAGAGTTAGGGTCATGACCCCAACAAATGTTATGGCTAGAGTTAGGGTCATGACCCCAACAAATGTTATGGCTAGAGTTAGGGTCATGACCCCAACAAATGTTATGGCTAGGGTTAGGGAGAAAATAAATATCCAGAGTTAGCCTAGATACAGGGGCATCGTGGGCAGACAGCTACCATGGGCATATATATCATGTGGGGCTACAATAGGCATATATAGCTTGTGGGGTTACCATGGGCATATATAGCTTGTGGGGTTACCAAGGGCATATATAGCATCTGGGGCTACCAAGGGCATATATAACATGTGGCTACAATGGGCATATCTATCATGTGGGGCTACAATGGGCATATATAGCTTGTGGGGTTACCAAGGGCATATATAACATGTGGCTACAATGGGCATATCTATCATGTGGAGCTACCATGGGCATATATAGCATGTGGCTACCATGGGCATATATAGCACGTGGCTACAATGGCCATATATAGCATGTGGCTACAATGGCCATATATAGCATGTGGCTACAATGGGCATATCTAGCATGTGGGGCTACTAGATCTATATGGAGGTGGGGGGGGGGGTGGATTACAAAATCTAGTCTCTTAGTAACTAGGCTTAAATTCTATACTAGACGTCACCAAATTTAATTTAAGACTAACTGTAGCCGAGAAGAAAAGAAAGAAACATAACAACCTTTGACCAGAGACAAACTAAGCAAGGACTGCCAACGACGTCTTGATGATGGTACCAATAGTTCTGCTAGGATGTTTTCTTTTGTGACGTCACATACCATGACGACTGACTGTTGCGCATTTCCGGTGCGATCTGGGACAGTTTGGTGTGCAATGGGTGTTTATTTGTAAAAATGTAGCTTAAAATAGATCGCTTAGGGCTTGGTAAAGAATATGCAGCCAACAAAAAGTTTAGGCAGATATGGTCATTTTCCGTGGTCATTTTCTGTGGTCATTTTATATGGTCATTTTCCGTGGTCATTTTCAGTGGTCATTTTCCGTGGTCATTTTATATGGTCATTTTCCGTGGTCATTTTCAGTGGTCATTTTCCGTGGTCATTTTCCGTGGTCATTTTCCGTGGTCATTTTCCGTGGTCATTTTCCGTGGTCATTTTCCGTGGTCATTTTACGTGGTCATTTCCGTGGTCATTTTACGTGTTCATTTTCCGTCGTCATTTTACGTGGTCATTTTCCGTGGTCATTTTATGTGGTCATTTTCCGTGGTCATTTTATGTGGTCATTTTCCGTGGTCATTTTTATGTGGTCATTTTCCGTGGTCATTTTCCGTGGTTATTTTATGCGGTTATTTTATGTGGTTATTTTATGTGGTCATTTTGTGTGGTTATTTTATGTGATTATTTTATGTGGTTATTTTATGTGGTTATTTTATGTGGTTATTTTATGTAGTTATTTTATGTGGTTATATTATGTGGTTATTTTACGTAGTAATTTAGTGGACGTAAACTGTAGTATTCGATACTCGATAAGCGTCATCTGGTGATTTTTTTACAGATGTGTCAACACACCCCTCCCATCCCTGACGTAAAGGAACAAATAAATAATTTATCTAGAAGTCTAGAACATTGGGACTTCTGCTGCAGTAAGCGATTGATGTACACATCATGAGACTGTACGACTTGTTAGAATGCTGCTCTCCACAAATAGTCGCCATCCTCTCAGTATAGCCTATATGTGTAAAAATATATATAAATGAAAGTATGTATGTTCGTCTGTCCAATATGAATTACTACACCGTTCATCAGATCACCATGAAACTTTAAGAAGTTGATGAGATTACTCTTATTGTTACAACCACTCTTCATAAAATATTCCTGGGAAATATTCTGCGGGAAAAATTAATTTTGGCCCCCAAGATCCTAATTAGGAATAATATTAAATTTTTAATAATAAAAGGAAGTAACCTGGATTCAATTTTTTTTTTAATATTAACTTGGTTATATCCCTTTGTTCGTAAAAAAATTCTGATATAAAAAATTGCTATTAGACATTTTGTTCCAAATGTGAGAATTGCTGTAAAAGTAAATATTTTCTTAATATTTTTTTTTCATTTCGTCCCGGGGGTAGAAGTGCCCCAGGCGGTAGCTCCTCAAAAGGTTTCCCCGCGACTACCTAAGCTACTGGATTTGTTGATTGGGCGCCAAGCACGCGGGCAGAGAACTGAGTCGGAATCCGGAAGACGATAATTTTTCTGACAAGGGTCATCCATAAATGTCGTCACGCTTTTTATGGTGATTTTTACCTACCCCCCCCCCCTCCCCTCCGACACACATCGTCACAAAAAACCTGACCTCCCTAAAATGACGTCACACCTCAGACGACACCCCCCCCCCCCCCCTCAAAATTGCAGTTGTATTTCTCTTAAAACATCGATATTTTTCCAAAAAAAGCTGTCAACATAGAGTATTTTAATCAATTCCTGTTACAATTTATTAAAACCGTTTTCTACCATTGCTTTTTTTACAATTCAAAAGTGTGACGTCACACAATCTGAACCCCCTCCCCCTCATCACACACTGTCACAAAATTACGGACCCCCCCTCCCCCTACACAGAGTTTCTTCCAGGCATCTTCTACCGCCCCCCACCCCCCCCCCCCCCCCACCCCCGAACGAAATGAAATTTATATAGTTTATATAGAAAATATGTACTTTTAACAGTGTCCGCCCCCCCCCCCCCCGAAGAAAGTCTACCGCCCCCCCCCCCCCCCGAACGTTTCAAGTACCCCCCCCCCCCCCCCCCCCCGGAGAAAAAAACTGGAAGAAACACTGTCCCTACAAGTGTGACGTCATTTATAGACGACCCCCCCCCCTAACTTACAAATACATGAACGGTAGAGAAATGGTTAAAAAAAACTATTGCAGACACCCCCCCCCCCCGCATCAACACACACACACACACACACACATACAAACACATGCCCAAATTCATAGATAATGGACATCAATGTTATCTTTTTTTATGTGCGCTATCTTACTGGATGTTTCTGAAAGCTTAATAGCAAATAGCAAATTAAATTTCAATGACGTTATATCAATTATCATGCATTTAAAATTGTTTACTAACGGCCTTACTGTTCAAACGGAGTACAAAAACATTTTTTTCTACCTCCGTTTCTTTTACGCCTTTGTTTGGATTTATTTGAGTCAGACTTTACTATACACCCTTCATTTACAGAGTTTCTTCCAGGCATCTCTTCGGGGGGGCAAAGCCCCCCCGAACATTTTTTACCGCCCCCCCCCCCCCCCGAACGAAATGAAATTTATATAATTTATATAGAAAATATATACTTTTGACAGTGTCCGCCCCCCCCCCCCCCGAAGAAAGTCTACCGCCCCCCCCCCCCCCCCCCGAAAATTTCAAGTGCCCCCCCGGAGAAAAAAGTCTGGAAGAAACACTGTTCATTTAGACCAGGGGTCTCCAAACTTTTCATTCCGAGGGCCGCATTAACTATCAAATTTCAGTTCGGGGGCCAGTTTCTTCCAGGCATGTCTTTGATTTTTCTGGGCAAAGTTTCTCAACAGAAGTTTTTTCCGTGGACAAAAATATCTCCGCGGGCCGGATAAGAGGACCTCGCGGGCAGAGGCGTAGCGACCCTTCCCGGCGCCCGGGGACATACTTTCAATTTGGCGCCCCCTTGGGAGCAAATTTTCGATTTGCACCCCCCCCCCCCTAGAACTTTTCATTTGCACCCCCCCCCCTCAAACTTTAGATTTGCACCCCCCCCCCCTCGAAATTTTCATTTGCACCCCCCTCAATCTTTCAATTTGGCGCCCCCCCTAAGGTCGGCGCCCGCATCCGGCCCGAGGGCCGTGGTTTGAAGACCCCTGATTTAGACCCTACATCCAATATCATATTTTTAAAATGTGGTGAAATGTATCAAGCTTGTCGTAAATTGAAATGAAAAACGAATAAAAAGTAATGATGGAGCAAGAAGGATGATGTGTAGCCTATACTAGACATAGATCTATGTTTTAAGAATAATTTTTGTCTCTTCTAACTGGTCATGTTTCTCCAAGTCGCGGTTTTTGGCTTTTTTTTCTCTTGCGCTTTTTTAACTCAACTCTTCGGTAGCCTAAAATAAAAAGTTGTTATTACACAACCAAGATGGCGTTGCTTGTAAGGTATGTTTACAAGATTTGTTCAAAAATTTATTGTATTTAAAAGTTATAGGCCTACCGTACTTTGTTTTTTTTAAAAGCTCTTTTTTAAGTACTGTAGGTATTAATTAAGAAGTATTTTTTATTGTATGACAAAGTGATTCTGATTAAACTCTTAAAGAAATTCCAATAATTGTGATTCAGCGAACCAAAGGACGCAAAATGCAAAATTTATTAAATTCGATAGCTGTTTGATAGATTATTAATTATTCTAAAAATTCCATCTAGATCTAGAGTCTAGTTCCTGGTAATTGTGAAATGCTTTTGAAATAGTTACAATGTGAATGTTTGTCCACTATGAATTATTGTAGATCTAGATCCAGTGGCGACCTTGTTAACTTTCCTTCAACATCCTTGACCTTGGATAAATCTTAAGAGTGCAACAGTACATCTGTAACTGAATAAATCTGGGCCTTATTTTTTATATTTTGTCTTCTGTTAAGAGCCTACATCTCAACTCATTAAAACCATACAGTACTAGAGTCTAGTTTTAGAATCAGTTAAACTTCAAAATTGTCTGCAGACATTTTAACCCACATCTAGATCTAGATTCTATAAAAATCTATAGTTAGTTTAACTATCTAGTATAGTAGTAGAATAGGCCACTATATTCATATTATATATTATATTATATAGAGTCTAGATAGGCCTAGTCATAGAGTACAAAGTAATGAACCTATTGAAAATTTGTGAAAACTATAAAGCAAAAATTTAAGTCTCCTTGTTTGTGTTTCAGGACTAAGGTAAATAACATGGGGGCTTATAACTAATAGGCCTAAATGAAAATGTTTACGTTGTTTGTGGTACTACTTGTTGTAGTTCTAAGTTAGCAGGCCTACGATAAGTTTTAAGCTTATAGGTTTTTGCTGAGTTTACTAATAAGGCCCGGGCATACAATTTGAATTGATTGTCCTAGCTACATATTAGTTTTGGCGCAGTTACATTATTGTGTGATTAACATTGTAATTGGCCCAGGTTAATTCTAGTTAACAGTTGCATACAAATAGTTGTGGTTGTAAAGGCCCCATTTCAAGATACAATCCTCAGCTTTGCCAACTAAATATATGTTAATAGTATAAGCAATATACCATTTTAAAATGCTAAATTGTGTCATTTCATATTTGTCATCATTATCAATTTTTTTCATTTTAGATCCTTGGCCCGTTCGTCATGCATCCTAAAGCAGACATCCATGCTGATCCCCAGAAGGTAAGCCTCGTCTAGAACTATTTCATTAAACTTTTCCTCCTGACCCCAGTCCAGACATCCATGCTGATCCCCAGAAGGTAAGCCTCGTCTAGAACTATTTCATTAAACTTTTCCTCTTGACCCCAGTCCAGACATCCAATAATAGAAAGAAAGCTTAAATGTGGTACATTATTTAAAATGAGATGTCCACCAGTGCTTGACTTTAATATAATTAGAGTCCCAATACTTTGAGTCACTACTTGAAATAAACTTTATGTTATCAGACATGCCTACCCATCCAAGAATTGTTTTGCTTTTTTTTTTTTAATTTTTCAGTTTTTTACAGCTAAAAAAAATAAAGAATCAAAAATGACACTTGTACAATTTTTAGAAACTAATAATCAAAATGTCCAATGAATCAGGAAAAGGTGATTATTTCCTTGTAGCATTAGTTAGTTTATTTGTTTACATACATTAGATTGTTCAGGAAAATCAACTGCAAAACCAAATATAAAATCATTTATTTTTGGCTTAGCAAAGTAGCATTCACTCGTATGTTCCTATTTTTAGATACAAATTTCTTGTCAAATATGACTTTTCCAAATTTTTAGTGCCCAATGTAGGTGTGTCTGTCTTACTAGTATAAATTATAAGTCAAGTATGACTATTGGATGTCTAAAACTACCATACTTGTGTATAAAAAAAAAGTTTATCCAAGATCAAATCACGTTTTTAAAAATTGTAGTCAGTTTAATCACGGCACTTACCTTATTTCCAAGAATTTTTATATCAACTCATTTTATTTTTCCTGCTGGTCAACCTTGGCCACAAATGCGTAGAATTTTGATATCAACTCATTTTATTTTTCTTGCAGGTCAACCATGGCCACAAATGCGTACGAGGAGATGGGAAAATACTGGAGCAGGAACAGGAAGTTGAATCGTCCTCTGTCCCCTTTTCTAACAGTGTACAAGTATGTAATCACCAAAATACTTCTTTCTACAATCCATAGCTCTGCCCATAGAGTACCACCTTAAGGTGAATACAGTAGCAGATGGTCCATAGGGCAAATGAAGTAGAGTTCATCTGGTTCTCTTTTTAATTAAAAATAGCTTACAGTAGTTACAGTTGAAATCGCTGGTAAAACATTGCCTTGATGGAAACCCATTAAACCTTTGCTAGCTCATAGCTCAAACCAATGAAGTCATATTCAGAATGTTACCAGACTAACCAATGGGCCTCATGCTGTGCCAGGCACCATGGCATGCTAATGTTTTGTTTTAGACTTGAATATCTTACAGGGTTCCCGCGGCCTCCTGAAATTCCAGGATGTCCTGGAATTCTCCTGGAATTTCAAAAAACTAGGAAAAGTCCTGGAATCCTCCTGGAATTTCAAAAAACCAGGAAAAGTCCTGGAATTCTCCTGGAATTTTAACACTTCTCTTGAAATTTTGTAATATGTCCTGGAATTTTACTCGCATCGATAATTTTAGCGAATATTTTTTTCGCGCGTTAGATTTCTAGGTAATCAGATCTGACCGCCCCAGTAAAAATGATCTGCCTTTTCAATTCTTCGCATTACAAGGCACACATTTTAAAATATAGACCTAAAGCTGTCTTTAACATGTGGGTTTGGTTTAATTTTTTCTCACGTGATCTATGTGTGCGGCTCTGTTTAATAGGCCTGACTTTTTTTTTTTAAATTGGAAATTTCAAGTAGACCTAGGCCAAAATCTAGTTTTTGCGCAGCTAATTTGAATCTACAGTCCGATAGGCTCTAGATCTACTTTCTATTTTTACATGCGTGTTGTAATACTACCACCCTCCCATCCCGCATTTCAGTTTCTTTCCCACGGCAGGGTGGGGGAGGGAGGACCGCTGGTTGGTTATATGAAGTGAACTCTGTGTGACCCGCTAGTGATGTCATCAGCAGTGTACTACAGGCCAACTGTAAGCTAAGATGAACTCAAATTGACCTCGCGCGACGGTGTCTTGCTGGAGGAAAAAAATACGCTACCGGCAATAAAAAAAAACAACTGACTGAAATTCTATTTTTGGCTGAAATATTTTAAATTTTTCAAGTATAAGGGGTCGTCCATAAATGACGTCACAATCGTAAGGGGGAGGGGGGGGTCCGTAATTTTGTGACGATGTGTGATGAGGGGGAGGGGGTTCAGATGTTGCGACGTCGCACTTTTGCATCATAAAAAGCAATGTTAGCCGCTATTTCGCGTTTTAGAAAACTGTTTTAATAAATTGTAATAGGAATTGATCAAAATACTCTATATTGACGGCGTTCTGACAAGATTTTGGAAAAATATCGATGTTTTAAGAAAAAATCAACAGCAATTTTGAGATTGGTTGTAGGCTGAGGTGTGACGTCATTTTAGGGGGGGTCTGGCTTTTTGTGACGACGTGTGCCGTAGGGGGGGGGGGGGGTAAAAATCGTCAAAAAAAGCGCAACTTCATTTAGGGATGACCCCTTGCCCTTATTTCCAAAATACAGTTTATTTCTAGTAGGACAAATCTAAGCTACTCAGGTTGATCTACTTGTTCGTCAAATGATACAAAGTTAAAATTACAGTTAGGCTATTTACTGTTGAAGACTCCCATTTAAATCGCAATGCCATGTCCATTTTTAAAAGACAAGACATGGTTTCAGCTGTTCTGTTTGTTTATAATTGACATTGTTAGTATGGATGATGACATTGGTGAGGGGTTAAGTCACTTGACACTGGGATATAGCTATGATTTCTAGGCTAAATATGTTTCTCAGTAGCAAACATCTAAATTAGTTTACAATTATTTTACTAAGTGAATTTACTCACACTATTTCAGTAATCATTGAATTGAAAACAAAAGTGCATACATATAATTGATTAACATTTTAAATTAGTTTATTGCTGAAATTGTTTTCTAATATTTTTTAAGTTCTGAAATTTTACTTTTTGGTGGGGGGGGGGGGGATAATAAAGAACTGTTATTTTCAATAGTCTGTTTACATCTCTGTATAATTTATTTCTTTTGTGGTAAGGGATTGTGGGAAATTTTTTAGATCAATTTGTGACAACAGGCCTTAGAACTGATGCTGGGGAGGGGGTATATAAACAGGCTTACTTTATGGACAGTGAGTAGTTGTTTATATATTTAACTACTATTTGGCATAAGTGGGAGGGGGGGGTGATCAAAAGGGATAAAAAATTTGTTTACAAAAAGCTCATTTTATGTTGAAGTATTGAATTATACACAGTCAAAGTTAAGAAAAAAAACTGCTACAAGACTACACACTGATTCAACTTTTCTCTACCTCAATTGTGTAGTACAAAGATAAAAATTGTTACAGGATAGTGACTGGTAAAAAGCGCCACAAAATTTTCCAAATTGGATGGGAATAACAATTTATAAATGGGAGGGGTGGGGTGCAAAATTGAATCTACTTTAACTAAACTAAATGGTTTAGAAACAGTAACTTTTAAAAATTACAAATGCTATGCTACATAGCATTTTATAAAGACCACTTCCTATTTAAGAAATGTGAAACTCCCTTCCATCTAGCGCGGGGTTAAGTCGTTGCTTTTTAATAGGAAAAATTATGTCCTGGAATTTTGGTTTTTCTCCTGGAAAACTCCTGGAATTCTCCTGGAATTTCAAGTTCACTTTGGTGTAGGAACCCTGATCTTAAGTTATCTAACTTTTTTTTTTTTCATTTTTAAAGTGATCTAACTTTGTTTTCTAGGCCCCATCATATTTAAGGTGATTTAATTTTGTTTTCTAGGCCCCATCATATTTAAGGTGATTTAACTTTGTTTTCTAGGCCCCATCATATTTAAGGTGATTTAACTTTGTTTTCTAGGCCCCATCATATTTAAGGTGATTTAACTTTGTTTTCTAGGCCCCATCATATTTAAGGTGATTTAACTTTGTTTTCTAGGCCCCATCATATTTAAGGTGATCTTTGTTTTCTAGGCCCCATCATATTTAAGGTGATCTTTGTTTTCTAGACCCCATCATATTTAAGGTGATTTAACTTTGTTTTCTAGGCCCCATCATATTTAAGGTGATTTAACTTTGTTTTCTAGGCCCCATCATATTTAAGGTGATTTAACTTTGTTTTCTAGGCCCCATCATATTTAAGGTGATTTAACTTTGTTTTCTAGGCCCCATCATATTTAAGGTGATCTTTGTTTTCTAGGCCCCATCATATTTAAGGTGATTTAACTTTGTTTTCTAGGCCCCATCATATTTAAGGTGATTTAACTTTGTTTTCTAGGCCCCATCATATTTAAGGTGATCTAACTTTGTTTTCTAGGCCCCATCATATTTGAGGTGATTTAATTTTGTTTTCTAGGCCCCATCATATTTAAGGTGATCTTTGTTTTCTAGGCCCCATCATATTTAAGGTGATTTAACTTTGTTTTCTAGGCCCCATCATATTTAAGGTGATTTAACTTTGTTTTCTAGGCCCCATCATATTTAAGGTGATTTAACTTTGTTTTCTAGGCCCCATCATATTTAAGGTGATTTAACTTTGTTTTCTAGGCCCCATCATATTTAAGGTGATTTAACTTTGTTTTCTAGGCCCCATCATATTTAAGGTGATTTAACTTTGTTTTCTAGGCCCCATCATATTTAAGGTGATTTAACTTTGTTTTCTAGGCCCCATCATATTTAAGGTGATTTAACTTTGTTTTCTAGGCCCCATCATATTTAAGGTGATTTAACTTTGTTTTCTAGGCCCCATCATATTTAAGGTGATTTAACTTTGTTTTCTAGGCCCCATCATATTTAAGGTGATCTTTGTTTTCTAGGCCCCATCATATTTAAGGTGATTTAACTTTGTTTTCTAGGCCCCATCATATTTAAGGTGATTTAACTTTGTTTTCTAGGCCCCATCATATTTAAGGTGATCTAACTTTGTTTTCTAGGCCCCATCATATTTGAGGTGATTTAATTTTGTTTTCTAGGCCCCATCATATTTAAGGTGATCTTTGTTTTCTAGGCCCCATCATATTTAAGGTGATTTAACTTTGTTTTCTAGGCCCCATCATATTTAAGGTGATTTAACTTTGTTTTCTAGGCCCCATCATATTTAAGGTGATTTAACTTTGTTTTCTAGGCCCCATCATATTTAAGGTGATTTAACTTTGTTTTCTAGGCCCCATCATATTTAAGGTGATTTAACTTTGTTTTCTAGGCCCCATCATATTTAAGGTGATTTAACTTTGTTTTCTAGGCCCCATCATATTTAAGGTGATTTAACTTTGTTTTCTAGGCCCCATCATATTTAAGGTGATTTAACTTTGTTTTCTAGGCCCCATCATATTTAAGGTGATTTAACTTTGTTTTCTAGGCCCCATCATATTTAAGGTGATTTAACTTTGTTTTCTAGGCCCCATCATATTTAAGGTGATCTTTGTTTTCTAGGCCCCATCATATTTAAGGTGATCTAACTTTGTTTTCTAGGCCCCATCATATTTAAGGTGATCTAACTTTGTTTTCTAGGCCCCATCATATTTAAGGTGATCTAACTTTGTTTTCTAGGCCCCATCATATTTAAGGTGATCTAACTTTGTTTTCTAGGCCCCATCATATTTAAGGTGATTTAACTTTGTTTTCTAGGCCCCATCTTGCCATGATGACGTCACTGACACATAGAGTGACTGGGGTAGTCATGCAAGTTGGTGAGTAGGTGTGTGTGTGGTGTGTTCATGTGTGTGTGGTGTGTTCATATGTGTGTGTGTGTGGTGGGTTCTTATGTGTGTGTAGTGAGTTTATGTATGTGTGTGTAGTGAGTTTATGTATGTGTGTGTAGTGAGTTTATGTATGTGTGTGTGGTGAGTTTGTGTGTGTGGTGAGTTTGTGTGTGTGTGTGGTGAGTTTGTGTGTGTGTGTGTGCTGTTATAGAGCAATTATAACACAGATTCAGTGGTGAAAATTATTTAAAATGTGCTGTTGACATTTGTCTAGTGATCTGTGGCACATCTTCTGATGTCACATTTAAAATGTGCTGTTGACATTTGTCTAGTGATCTGTGGCTTCTGATGTCACTAGCATTTAAAATGTGCTGTTGACATTTGTCTAGTGATCTGTGGCTTCTGATGTCACATTTAAAATGTGCTGTTGACATTTGTCTAGTGATCTGTGGCTTCTGATGTCACTAGCATTTATAATGTGCTGTTGACATTTGTCTAGTGATATGTGGCATCTGATGTCACTAGCATTTAAAATGTGCTGTTGACATTTGTCTAGTGATATGTGGCATCTGATGTCACTAGCATTTAAAATGCGCTGTTGACATTTGTCTAGTGATCTGTGGCTTCTGATGTCACATTTAAAATGTGCTGTTGACATTTGTCTAGTGATCTGTGGCACATCTTCTGATGTCACATTTAAAATGTGCTGTTGACATTTGTCTAGTGATATGTGGCATCTGATGTCACATTTAAAATGTGCTGTTGACATTTGTCTAGTGATCTGTGGCACATCAATCCTGCTTCTGTGTCTGCCTGGTGACTACAAGACCAACCTGGAGTACATCCGCAACTTGAGCCTGGGACCTGTCATCATCTACGCCCTCAAGTATATCTTTGCTTTCCCAGTCACCTACCACTTCCTCAATGGACTCAGACATTTGGTAAGTTCTTCTTTCATCTACTGGTTGTGGTCATCAAATGTCCTCTATGTGTTCATCAAATGTCCTCTGTGTGGTCATCAAATGTCCTCTATGTGTTCATCAAATGTCCTCTGTGTGGTCATCAAATGTCCTCTGTGTGGTCATCAAATGTCCTCCTCTATATGGTCATCAAATGTCCTCTGTGTGGTCATCAAATGTCCTCCTCTGTGTGATCATCAAATGTCCTCTGTGTGATCATCAAATGTCCTCTGTGTGGTCATCAAATGTCCTCCTCTGTGTGGTCATCAAATGTCCTCTGTGTGATCATCAAATGTCCTCTATGTGGTCATCAAATGTCCTCCTCTGTGTGGTCATCAAATGTCCTCTATGTGGTCATCAAATGTCCTCCTCTGTGGTCATCAAATGTCCTCTATGTGGTCATCAAATGTCCTCTGTGTGGTCATCAAATGTCCTCCTCTGTGTGGTCATCAAATGTCCTCTGTGTGGTCATCAAATGTCCTCCTCTGTGTGGTTATCAAATGTCCTCTTGTGGTCATCAAATGTCCTCTGTGTGGTCATCAGATGTCCTCCTCTGTGTGGTCATCAAATGTCCTCTGTGTGGTCATCAAATGTCCTCCTCTATATGGTCATCAAATGTCCTCTGTGTGGTCATCAAATGTCCTCCTCTGTGTGATCATCAAATGTCCTCTGTGTGTTCATCAAATGTCCTCTGTGTGGTCATCAAATGTCCTCTGTGTGGTCATCAAATGTCCTCCTCTATATGGTCATCAAATGTCCTCTGTGTGGTCCTCAAATGTCCTCCTCTGTGTGATCATCAAATGTCCTCTATGTGGTCATCAAATGTCCTCCTCTGTGTGGTCATCAAATGTCCTCCTCTGTGTGGTCATCAAATGTCCTCCTCTGTGTGGTCATCAAATGTCCTCCTCTGTGTGGTCATCAAATGTCCTCTGTGTGGTCATCAAATGTCCTCCTCTGTGTGGTTATCAAATGTCCTCTTGTGGTCATCAAATGTCCTCTGTGTGGTCATCAAATGTCCTCCTCTGTGTGGTCATCAAATGTCCTCTATGTGGTCATCAAATGTCCTCTGTGTGGTCATCAAATGTCCTCTGTGTGGTCATCAAATGTCCTCCTCTATATGGTCATCAAATGTCCTCTGTGTGGTCATCAAATGTCCTCCTCTGTGTGATCATCAAATGTCCTCTGTGTGTTCATCAAATGCCCTCTGTGTGGTCATCAAATGTCCTCTGTGTGGTCATCAAATGTCCTCCTCTATATGGTCATCAAATGTCCTCTGTGTGGTCATCAAATGTCCTCCTCTGTGTGATCATCAAATGTCCTCTGTGTGATCATCAAATGTCCTCTGTGTGGTCATCAAATGTCCTCCTCTGTGTGGTCATCAAATGTCCTCTGTGTGATCATCAAATGTCCTCTATGTGGTCATCAAATGTCCTCCTCTGTGTGGTCATCAAATGTCCTCTATGTGGTCATCAAATGTCCTCCTCTGTGGTCATCAAATGTCCTCTATGTGGTCATCAAATGTCCTCTGTGTGGTCATCAAATGTCCTCCTCTGTGTGGTCATCAAATGTCCTCTGTGTGGTCATCAAATGTCCTCCTCTGTGTGGTTATCAAATGTCCTCTTGTGGTCATCAAATGTCCTCTGTGTGGTCATCAAATGTCCTCCTCTGTGTGGTCATCAAATGTCCTCTATGTGGTCATCAAATGTCCTCCTCTGTGTGGTCATCAAATGTCCTCCTCTGTGTGGTCATCAAATGTCCTGTGTGGTAATCAAATGTCCTCCTCTGTGTGGTCATCAAATGTCCTCTGTGTGGTCATCAAATGTCCTCCTCTTTGTGGTCATCAAATGTCCTCTATGTGGTCATCAAATGTCCTCCTCTGTGTGGTCATCAAATGTCCTCCTCTGTGTGGTCATCAAATGTCCTGTGTGGTCATCAAATGTCCTGTGTGGTCATCAAATGTCCTCTATGTGGTCATCAAATGTCCTCCTCTGTGTGGTGATCAAATGTCCTCTATGTGGTCATCAAATGTCCTCTGTGTGGTCATCAAATGTCCTCCTCTGTGTGGTCATCAAATGTCCTCTGTGTGGTCATCAAATGTCCTCCTCTGTGTGGTCATCAAATGTCCTGTGTGGTCATCAAATGTCCTCTATGTGGTCATCAAATGTCCTCCTCTGTGTGGTCATCAAATGTCCTCTGTGTGGTCATCAAATGTCCTCCTCTGTGTGGTCATCAAATGTCCTCTGTGTGGTCATCAAATGTCCTCCTCTATGTGGTCATCAAATGTCCTCCTCTGTGTGGTCATCAAATGTCCTCTGTGTGGTCATCAAATGTCCTCCTCTGTGTGGTCATCAAATGTCCTGTGTGGTCATCAAATGTCCTCTATGTGGTCATCAAATGTCCTCCTCTGTGTGGTCATCAAATGTCCTCCTCTGTGTGGTCATCAAATGTCCCCTGTGTGGTCATCAAATGTCCTCTATGTGTTCATCAAATGTCCTCCTCTGTGTTTCAGGCCTGGGATGCTGGCTATGGGTTTGGTCTCAAGACCTTGTACAAGTCGGCCTATTTCGTCATGGCTTTAACAGCCGTTGTCTCGACCTACTTTGTCTTTGGCATCAAGCCTTCAGTCTTGTAAACTTTATTTTTTGTATTATATTTGCGTTATTCGTTAAATCGTAATTATATTTTAAAAAGTTTAGCACCAGAGGTTTGTTTGATCATTCATGAGCAGAATCTCATCACGAATTGAGAAGCATGGAGTAATAAGCTGTCGGGGTGTTAGCTTGCCTGTGGCAGTTGTTTGAACTGTTACCATGTGATATGCCAGCTGTAGGTATTGATATTAATCACTGAACCAGCAGAATGCTGCTGTATCTTGTCTGAAAGTTGGGTGATGTTGTTGCTGGAATATTTACTGGAACCATTTTGTCTTGGAGTGGGAAAATTTTGTTTTGTGCTGGCTCAATAAAATGTTTTTTCTAACTTTAGAGAAGAATAAATGATTTATTGTACCTGATTTTGTTTCATTGTTTTCATTTAATTTTGTTAGTTTTGTGTGGCTAACTTGTATTCTCTTGATGTGTTATACCTGCGTGGCTAGCTTGTATTCTCTTGATGTGTTATACCTGCGTGGCTAGCTTGTATTCTCTTGATGTGTACCTGCGTGGCTAGCTTGTATTCTCTTGATGTGTTATACCTGCGTGGCTAGCTTGTATTCTCTTGATGTTATACCTGCGTGGCTAGCTTGTATTCTCTTGATGTGTTATACCTGCGTGGCTAGCTTGTATTCTCTTGATGTGTTATACCTCTATGGCTAGCTTGTATTCTCTTGATGTGTTATACCTGAGTGGCTAGCTTGTATTCTCTTGATGTGTTATACCTGCGTGGCTAGCTTGTATTCTCTTGATGTGTTATACCTGCGTGGCTAGCTTGTATTCTCTTGATGTGTTATACCTGCGTGGCTAGCTTGTATTCTCTTGTGTTATACCTGCATGGCTAGCTTGTATTCTCTTGATGTGTTATACCTGCGTGGCTAGCTTGTATTCTCTTGATGTGTACCTGCGTGGCTAGCTTGTATTCTCTTGATGTGTTATACCTGCGTGGCTAGCTTGTATTCTCTTGATGTGTTATACCTGCGTGGCTAGCTTGTATTCTCTTGATGTGTTATACCTGCGTGGCTAGCTTGTATTCTCTTGATGTGTTATACCTGCGTGGCTAGCATCAACATGGCACCATGTTTACAGAATGGATTTTATTTAATTCACTCTAAATGCTCTGACAAAAACATGAAATATCTCAAATAAAAAAATTGTTTTATGTATGGTTTAATCCCTCACAACTAAAACATGGCTAATCAAAATTGAAAGCTCATTAATAAAATATGGATAGAAAAAAAGGGAAAATATCAGCCATTCACAAGGTGAAGGTCTCAGGAAAACAACCAATCAGCTGACAGGATCCACCCAGAAGTTTGCAGCCTGCTGCATGAATCTGGCACTGACCAATGGGACACAACTCTGTGAGTCACAGACCCAAAGTGTGTCCCTAGACATAGACGTGTTATGGTACTTGGTGTCCTGCTGCTAATTGTGGATGTTGGTCAAAGTTCTGTATTTACCAAAACAATTATTTGCTGTAATGTTGGTCAGAGTTCTGTATTTACCAAAACAATTATTTGCTGTAATGTTGGTCAGAGTTCTGTATTTACCAAAACAATTATTTGCTGTAATGTTGGTCAAACTTCTGTATTTACCAAAACAATTATTTGCTGTAATGTTGGTCAAAGTTCTGTATTTACCAAAACAATTATTTGCTGTAATGTTGGTCAAAGTTCTGTATTTACCAAAACAATTATTTGCTGTAATGTTGGTCAAAGTTCTGTATTTACCAAAACAATTATTTGCTGTAATGTTGGTCAGAGTTCTGTATTTACCAAAACAATTATTTGCTGTAATGTTGGTCAAAGTTCTGTATTTACCAAAACAATTATTTGCTGTAATGTTGAGTGGCAATCTTCCCAGAGTCAAATCATTTGTGTCACTAATTGAAGTATTGAGTTCTTAGTTTTCTCCAATATTTCCTGTTGTTTCTGTAGGTCTAACTGGTGTTTTTTTTTACTGCTAGTGACTACCTTGTTCCTTTACTGCTAGTGGCTACCTTGTTCTTTTACTGCTAGTGGCTACCTTGTTCTTTCTTTTACTGCTAGTGGCTACCTTGTTCTTTTACTGCTAGTGACTACCTTGTTCTTTTACTGCTAGTGGCTACCTTGTTCTTTCTTTTACTGCTAGTGGCTACCTTGTTCCTTTACTGCTAGTGGCTACCTTGTTCTTTCTTTTACTGCTAGTGGCTACCTTGTTCCTTTACTGCTAGTGACTACCTTGTTCTTTTACTGCTAGTGGCTACCTTGTTCCTTTACTGCTAGTGACTACCTTGTTCTTTCTTTTACTGCTAGTGGCTACCTTGTTCTTTTACTGCTAGTGGCTACCTTGTTCTTTCTTTTACTGCTAGTGGCTACCTTGTTATGCACCAGCTGCCATACTCCTTATCATCATAGCCTCCTCCATTGTAGGTGGTCTCACTGTAGGGAACAGAAACAAAGTTTATGACAATATCATAAGTTCTATGTAGTAGTTTAAAGAAGACATGAACAAGTTATATGTAGTGTAAAGAACATCTGAACAATTAAATCAAAGAACAAATGAAAAAGTTCTAGGTTAAATGAATGCTGTTGGAACATATCTCAAAGAGTGTAACAAAGAAGATTTGTGTTTACTAACCGTGGCCTGGGCAACAGAGCCTGTAGGGTAATGTCCCTAGGATCATGTTCTCTTGGCACGCCATTTTTAGGTACCTGGACGTGGAAGGGAAGAGATTATTGGATGGTGTGTTAACATTTAACAATTTATAGATGAATTATGGTACATCAACAAAGTTCTGAATCACATACTTGCAGTGGCGTAGCGAGGTCGGGTGTCACCCGGTGCGGCACTTAATGGTGTCACCCCTCCCCCCCCCCCGGAGGCGTTGCGACCCTTCCCGGGGACAAACTTTCCAGTTTTCGATTTGCACCCCCCCCCCCCTCAAGTTTTCGATTTGCACCCCCCCCCTTAAGTTTTTCTCTATATATTTTGCTATTTTTTGCCTTGGTGTCACCCCCCTAAATGGTGTCACCCGGTGCGGCCGCACCCCCCCCCCCCCGACCCCCTCTCGCTACGCCCCTGTATACTTGACAATAACCTTATTAATTTACAATCAGCCTCTACATACACGAACCCCTATCCAAGTAGACACCTACTGTAGCCAGACCACCATACACCAAGTAGACACCTACTGTAGCCAGACCACCATACACCTACTGTAGCCAGACCACCATACACCTACTGTAGCCAGGCCACCATACACCAAGTAGACACCATACACCAAGTAGACACCATAGACCAAGTAGACACCATACACCAAGTAGAGACCTACTTGTTTCTCATGTGACCGATCTGCTCCAGACTCTCTGGGCTCATCAGACCTTCAGCCGCCGTGGGGCTCATCATCAACATCTGGGTGACCGCTGAACAATCGACTGGTTGCTTGTGACCAGCGGGGGAACCAGCCGCCCCATTTGGTGGAGCTGAGACAAAGTTTTGCTTTTTAATTTTCTCGCTTCGAAATGTGAATATTAACCAACTACACAATATCTGCTCAACTTTTTTCCATAAAAATAAAATTTAAAAATTGAGGGGATAAATTTGAATTTTGGGCTGTCCGTAAATGACCTAGCACTCCGGGGGGGGGGGGGGGGGGTCGGCGAGGTGAAAGTTAATCAAGTAATACTTTTTTGCGATTTTCGAGTTATTTTTAGGTTTTTTTTTCTGTGTAAATTGCAATTGATCAATATATTATTTAGATATATTTCAAAATGCATGTTTATAAGGGGGGAGAGGACGTCAAATATGATAGTGAGTATCAGGAGAAAGAGCTGGTCATCATTTGTAGACGATCCTTATGTAAAATGAGCAACAAGAAATTAAATGAGTTATAGAATTTCAGATGTGGATTGCGACATGCATCTAACTAGAGAGAGAGAGAGAGAGAGAGGTGTAACTTACTTAATCCTTCTTGTTGTGAGGCTGCCCCTCCCATGAAGCCATTCATCAACGTTGATGGCGTCAGGCACTGTTCTAGCATTGTCTGCAGGGAGAGGGGTGGGTCAGGTTTGACATGAAGGTGGGGTGGGTGGGTCAGGTTTGACATGAAGGTGGGGTGGGTGGGTCAGGTTTGACATGAAGGTGGGTAAGGTTTGACATGAAGGTGTGGCCATTAGTGGGGTGGGTGGGTCAGGTTTGACATGAAGGTGGGGTGGGTGGGTCAGGTTTGACATGAAGGTGTGGCCATTAGTGGGGTGGGTGGGTAAGGTTTGACATGAAGGTGGGGTGGGTGGGTCAGGTTTGACATGAAGGTGGGGTGGGTGGGTCAGGTTTGACATGAAGGTGGGGTGGGTGGGTCAGGTTTGACATGAAGGTGGGGTGGGTGGGTCAGGTTTGACATGAAGGTGGGGTGGGTGGGTCAGGTTTGACATGAAGGTGTGGCCATTAGTGGGGTGGGTGGGTCAGGTTTGACATGAAGGTGGGGTGGGTGGGTCAGGTTTGACATGAAGGTGTGGCCATTAGTGGGGTGGGTGGGTCAGGTTTGACATGAAGGTGTGGCCATTAGTGGGGTGGGTGGGTCAGGTTTGACATGAAGGTGTGGCCATTAGTGGGGTGGGTGGGTCAGGTTTGACATGAAGGTGTGGCCATTAGTGGGGTGGGTGGGTCAGGTTTGTCATGAAGGTGTGGCCATTAGTGGGGTGGGTGGGTCAGGTTTGACATGAAGGTGGGGTGGGTGGGTCAGGTTTGACATGAAGGTGTGGCCATTAGTGGGGTGGGTGGGTCAGGTTTGACATGAAGGTGTGGCCATTAGTGGGGTGGGTGGGTCAGGTTTGACATGAAGGTGTGGCCATTAGTGGGGTGGGTGGGTCAGGTTTGACATGAAGGTGTGGCCATTAGTGGGGTGGGTGGGTAAGGTTTGACATGAAGGTGGGTCAGGTTTGACATGAAGGTGTGGCCATTAGTGGGGTGGGTGGGTCAGGTTTGACATGAAGGTGGGTCAGGTTTGACATGAAGGTGTGGCCATTAGTGGGGTGGGTGGGTCAGGTTTGACATGAAGGTGGGTCAGGTTTGACATGAAGGTGTGGCCATTAGTGGGGTGGGTGGGTCAGGTTTGACATGAAGGTGGGTCAGGTTTGACATGAAGGTGGGGTGGGTGGGTCAGGTTTGACATGAAGGTGGGGTGGGTGGGTCAGGTTTGACATGAAGGTGGGGTGGGTGGGTCAGGTTTGACATGAAGGTGTGGCCATTAGTGGGGTGGGTGGGTAAGGTTTGTCATGAAGGTGGGGTGGGTGGGTAAGGTTTGACATGAAGGTGTGGCCATTAGTGGGGTGGGTGGGTCAGGTTTGACATGAAGGTGGGGTGGGTGGGTAAGGTTTGACATGAAGGTGTGGCCATTAGTGGGGTGGGTGGGTAAGGTTTGACATGAAGGTGGGGTGGGTGGGTCAGGTTTGACATGAAGGTGTGGTCATTAGTGGGGTGGGTGGGTAAGGTTTGACATGAAGGTGGGGTGGGTGGGTAAGGTTTGACATGAAGGTGTGGCCATTAGTGGGGTGGGTGGGTAAGGTTTGACATGAAGGTGGGGTGGGTGGGTCAGGTTTGACATGAAGGTGGGGTGGGTGGGTAAGGTTTGACATGAAGGTGTGGTCATTAGTGGGGTGGGTGGGTAAGGTTTGACATGAAGGTGTGGCCATTAGTAGGGTGGGTGGGTAAGGTTTGACATGAAGGTGTGGTCATTAGTGGGGTGGGTGGGTAAGGTTTGACATGAAGGTGGGGTGGGTGGGTAAGGTTTGACATGAAGGTGTGGCCATTAGTGGGGTGGGTGGGTCAGGTTTGACATGAAGGTGTGGCCATTAGTGGGGTGGGTGTGTATCGTTTTAACACAAACACAAAAATAGTAGTAGTACGACGATGGCGCCCCCTCCCTTCTATAGTTTTTGTCCCCCCATATGGTTTTAGTTTGATATGGTTTTTAGTTCCCCCCCCTCTATAGTTTTAGTTCACCCCTCCCTCTATAGTTGTTGTTACCCCCCCCCCCCTTTAGTTTTAGTCACCCCCCCCCCCTCCTGATAGTTTTAGTCCTTCCCCCCATATAGTTTTAGTCCCCCCCCCTTATAGTTTTAGTTCCCCCCCCCTACACACAAGCGCTACTGACCTTGGTTTGTCTGGGCATCAACATCTCCATCATCAGACGGGCGTTGGCCCCTTGCGGCCCACCGTGGGCCAGCTGAGCCACGTCACACACCTCGCCGGCCTGTGGGCTGTTGCATCCCAACATCATGGCTGGTTGGGATCAAACGGAGATTCCCGTTTATTTGTTGGGATATTGCGGGTATTTCCGTTTATTTATTAATGTTAGCCACAAATCTACTCTCTAAGACTCCAGCGGGGTAAAGCTAAAGTGAAGATAACTCACCCATGGCGGCCATCTTGCCGTGTCGTCCGTGCAGGGTGGTGGAGGGGTCAACACACCCGTGGGCCTCGTAGTAGGCCTTGTGGCCCAGTTGTGTGGCCCACTTGGTCACCATCTGTCGCAGCTGTGGATATGGCGTGAGTACTGGATGTCAAATGTCATGTGTACTGGATGTCAGATGTCATATGTACTGGATGTCAGATGTCATGTGTACTGGATGTCAGGTGTCATGTGTACTTGATGTCAGGTGTCATGTGTACTGGATGTCAGATGTACTTGATGTCAGATTTCATCATGTGTACTGGATGTCAGATGTCATGTGTACTGAATGTCAGATGTCATGTGTACTGGATGTCAGGTGTCATGTGTACTGGATGTCATGTGTTATGTGTACTTGATGCCAGGTGTCATGCGTAGTTGATGTCAGGTGTCATGCGTACTTGATGTCATGTGTACTTGATGCCAGGTGTCATGCGTAGTTGATGTCAGATGTCATGTGTACTTGGTGTCAGGTGTCATGTGTGCTTGGTGTCATGTGTACTTGATGTCAGGTGTCATATGTACTTGATGTCATGTGTCATGTGTACTTGATGTCAGGTGTCATGCGTAGTTGATGTCAGGTGTCATGTGTACTTGATGTCAGGTGTCATGCATAGTTGATGTCAGGTGTCATATGTACTTGATGTCAGGTGTCATGTGTACTTGATGTTAGGTGTCATGTGTACTTGATGTCAGATGCCATGTGTGCTTGATATAATGTGGCGTGTTTAGTGGATGTAAGTTGTCTATCATGCGTGCTTTATACAAAAAGCCAGAAGCTATGAACATTTTCTATCAAATTTGTGATTTACAGCTATCTCATAGGTGGGCTGGTGTGTTAGGTGGGCTGGTGTGTTAGGTGGGCTGGTGTGTTAGGTGGGCTGGTGTGTTAGGCTGGTGTGTTAGGCTGGTGTGTTAGGTGGGCTTTTGTGTTAGGTGGGCTGGTGTGTTAGGTGGGCTGGTGTGTTAGGTGGGCTGGTGTGTTAGATGGGCTGGTGTGTTAGATGGGCTGGTGTGTTAGGTGGGCTGGCGTGTTAGGTGGGTTGGTGTGTTGGGTGGGCTGGTGTGTTAGGTGGGCTGGTGTGTTAGATGGGCTGGTGTGTTAGGTGGGCTGGCGTGTTAGGTGGGCTGGCGTGTTAGGTGGGCTGTTGTGTTAGGTGGGCTTGTGTTCTGGTGTGTTAGATGGGCTGGTGTATTAGATGGGCTGGTGTGTTAGGTGGGCTGGTGTGTTAGGTGGGCTTGTGTTCTGGTGTGTTAGGTGGGCTGGTGTGTTAGGTGGGCTGGTGTGTTAGATGGGCTGGTGTGTTAGATGGGCTGGTGTGTTAGGTGGGCTGGTGTGTTAGATGGGCTGGTGTGTTAGGTGGGCTGGTGTGTTAGGTGGGCTGGTGTGCCACTTACCCCAACAGTGACAGGTAGAGACGAGCTGCTGGGGGCTGTGTTGGAGGCTTGTGAGCCCATCCCACCAAACATGCTCATCAAGTTTTCCATGGGGCTTGGGGGTTGGGCGGCACCGACGGGGGGTCCTACAAAATATTATTAGCTCATTCATTGTTCTATAAATAGAATTGTGTATTCATCTATTATTAATTTAATTCATTAAATAATTGTTTGTAAACAACAGTGTTTATCAGATACATGCACCCAGTTCAATGTGTGGACGGCTTGACCACTCACCGTGAGAGCCCTTGAGAGCGTCCAGCAGCACCTGCGGAGCTTGAGGGGAGGGGAGGTTGGAGCTTGACTGTGGTGTTATAGAGTTGTGGATGGCTGGGGAACAGGTCAAAATCATAAACAGATGGTCAAAATCATAAACAGATGGTCAAAATCATAAACAGATGGTCAACATCATAAACAGATGGTCAAAATCATAAACAGATGGTCAACATCATAAACAGATGGTCAAAATCATAAACAGATGGTCAACATAATAAACATACGGTCAACATCATGAACATACGGTCACCATAATAAACACATAGTCAACATAAGAAACACACAGTGTCCATAACAAACACATTGTCAACCAACACACAGTGTCTATAAGAAACACATAGTCACCATAAGAAACACATCTCATTAACTACAAAGCTTTAGCTCAAGTCCCGTGTTCTAGTCCCTACACATCTACCCAGCACTAGCCTCCAAGCGAGGTAACGCCGAATTTCCTTAGTTGAGTCCCGTATTTGTGGTCATAGCCTCCCTTGATTGTTTGTGTGTGATTTGTTGTTATGAAACGACGGGTATCTTTTATTTGTATATGGTTGTAGCCCTTGGCTGTGTGTTGTGTTATGGAATGAGAAGTGTTCACGTGTAGAGTTCATTTAGTGTGTGCTAGAGTTCAGTTTGTGTGTGCTAGAGTTCAGTTTGTGTGTGCTAGAATTCAACTAGTGTGTGACAGTCGTTATGGAAAATGGACCATGTGTGATGTTTGTGCTAAGTAGATTGTATCTTTTATTCCTTCTAGCACTTATCATCTACTTTCTAGTAAATTTAAAATTAAATCCACCACTAGCTTATGTGTATGCTACATGGCAGACTTACATCCGGGCATCTGAGAGGCGAATGAATACATGGGACTAATTGCATGAGAGCTTGGGTTGTTCATTGAACTCAGGTAATTAAACAGCTGGCCACCTGTGCGGGAAGTAAAAAGGTAATTAATGAGTAATCAAATTTTAAGATTTTAATGAAAAACAATTTAACTCATTAAATTGGGTGTGTTATTTGTAGCAGTCAATTATTGTGAAATTTGGGGGTGAATATCATTTCTCGTGAGAATGTGGGGGGGGGGGGGGGGGTGAGTGTCATTTCATGTATGGTCTGGGGGAGGGACGGGGGAATTATCATTTCTACTTCTTATGTGGTCTAAACTCAAATTAGACTTTTTGTTGATGTAGCATGGGCGAATAACATATTTGTATAGAGAAACTGTTGGGGGCAGTGTTTCTTCCAGACTTTTTCTCCAGGGGGAAGGGGCACTTGAAATTTTCGGCGAGAGGGGGCGGACACTGTAAAAAGTATATATTTTCTATATAAATTCCATTTCGTTCGGCGGAAACTCTGGTTGGGGGGGGGGGGGGGTAAAAGGGACACCTGTTGCTAAGGCATTCTGCGTATTGTATCCTTTATAATTGGCTTCTGTCGTCTAAATGTAACTCGATAGACTTGAGCAATATAGATGGTTATACGTGTTTTCCATTGAATAAGGTAGACATGTTTAATTCTGGATTTGTTTAAACGGTGTTTTCCATTGAATAAGGTAGACATGTTTAATTCTGGATTTGTTTAAACGGTGTTTTCCATTGAATAAGGTAGACATGTTTAATTCTGGATTTGTTTAAACGGTGTTTTCCATTGAATAAGGTAGACATGTTTAATTCTGGATTTGTTTAAACGGTGTTTTCCATTGAATAAGGTAGACATGTTTAATTCTGGATTTGTTTAAACGGTGTTTTCCATTGAATAAGGTAGACATGTTTAATTCTGGATTTGTTTAAACGGTGTTGTCCATTGAATAAGGTAGACATGTTTAATTCTGGATTTGTTTAAACGGTGTTTTCCATTGAATAAGGTAGACATGTTTAATTTTGGATTTGTTTAAACGCAAGGCAACACAGACAACGTGTTTAAGTTTCGTCTCATAGATAGCCTTGATTTTAAATAAATCCTAATTTATTTATTTTTTCAAATCTCTCCCTGTCAAAAAATAGGATTTGAGTCCCTGTCAACAATAATGCCGGGTCCATGACTGGAGCCCTATTCTTACAACTTAGGAGAATTTTTTTTTAAGTGCCGAAAATAGACTGGTGAACCCAATGACGTAGTACGCACGAAATGCAATTAATACGCAAGTCGGTCGTTTTAATGACAGATGTCGCTGTGACATCACAGCACGTGATGAATTAGAATAAACTAGAGATGGACGTCATCCATTTGCATTGCTGTTGTCTGCCCAACTACGGGAGGTAATCGTGAGATGAGGGTGGAAAGGTGGGGGGGAGGGGTGGAATAAAGATGTGACAACATTCATGTCAGATTTCCATTTTGTTTGTTTACACTTTTGCTAAAAAGTGCATATCAAACAAAACTTAAGTTTCGTACTTTATGGGTTAGGCTTTAAGGAAAGCTTTGATTAACATAAAATGTAAGAGTTTGTGCTTTAAGCTGGTCATTTGAAGGTCAACCATAAATGACGTCACGCTGGGGGAGCGGTATCACACTAACAAAACCAAAGTAAAAAAAAATGTTAAAGACAATCGTAAAAAGTAAAAAGAAAATTGTGTCAAATAAATTTTTATTAAACAGCATATACTTTTGTATGAAACATTTTTTTTTAAATAACTGTGTGTTAGGTTTTTAAAAAATATTAGCCAATGTATTTAAAACTTCGCTAAGAACATTTTCATATAATTTAATCAATTATTGCCGGAACTTGAACTGTAGCTGTGTGATAAAAAAAAAATTTAAAGTTTGGTCTGATTTGAACATTTCTTCAACACAAAATTCTTTTTTTTTTCCGGGCTATACGCAATAATTTTAGCCAGATATTTTTCTACTAATTTTAAGAAACATCGTTAAAGTATAATTTGGATCGGCACTACTTGTCTATGTAAAACTAACATAAGTAAAAAAAATGTGTCAAATTATTTTTTTAAAGTGTCGCATCATACGCTCGACTTCTCTGTTGTTTTACAGCTATGTGAACATAATCGTTAGAGTAAAAATGTATATCTGTATATATATATATATATATATATATATATATATATATATATATATATATATATATATATATATATATATATATATATATATATATATGTTGCAGTTTCCTCAAGTTTATATATTCTGCTATTTTCCTACAATCATGTTATTCAATGTTCCATTGTTCTTTAATTTTCGACATTTGTGACTGAAGTTCTATCCAATTAATAGACTCCCATTCGACCGAAATGTTGGAAGTCAAATGGCGGAGCTGGCTTTATAAGGTCTAATTATATCTTACACAGGCGCATGAAGAATGTCAAGCGATATTTCATAACCTGATGTCAGAAATTTGGAAAATGTCTGTTTTCCTTTATTATCCCTAAAAATAATTTGTAATTAAAAATGTGGAGATTAACATTTTCGAGTCAACAAAATGATTAATATTCACCGGAAGTCGATCCATCATTGCACGCGCTGTATCGTCCGATATTTTCCCAACCGCAGTGACGGCGGGCTTACAGTAAAGATGGGTCTTGCTAGTTTTTCTATCAATAAATCAGCCAGGATCTAACAGGTATTTCTTCCATTTGATGTCGCCCTGTCTCAAGGTTGCCGATTGTGTCTGATGTCTTCCATAGATGTCAAGGAGGGGTGGGGGGGAGGGGGCTATTTGTCCCCACCACATGTCACATCACGAAGAAGACATTTAAGACACATGGTTAAGACATAACGCCATTCACGCAATGAAACAAGTCACGTAGTTTAAACCATTCATTGAAAGCCTACAAGATTCTCATTCGGCGTGAACCATGCATTGATAGAATGAAAGATTCTCATTCTGCGTCAACCATTCATTGAAAGCCTGCAAGATTCATCGCTTTATACAACAACAAAAAATAACCAAATACCAATTTTAAAACACCAAGTACAACTGATGAAATAAATGTGTATAATCGGGAGGTCAATATGACTGCTGAAGTTTATTTAGTGATTAAATCATCATTTTCTGAAACCCAACATTTCTGTGTGCTGTTGTTTTTTTTTGCCCATTGCCGGTGTGCAAATCATATAATTACAAGTATGCGTACGATCGTGTGTGCATGCATGTTTAGATGTGTGTGTGGTTCAATGGAATTAAAATATGGATTGCATCATATTGAGACATTTTTTTAACACAAACATGCGAATGTGATCATTTAGACATTTTTTAACACAAACATGCGAATGTGATCATTGAGACATTTTTAACACAAACATGCGAATGTGCCCATTTAGAAACAGAATGATATTGTACCAGTACAGCTGGGTGCTAACAAAAAGGCCGCCAGATTGTTATTTGCACCGTACGTCTGGTGGTCGAGTGGTAGCACCTCCAGCTCGAGGCCCGAGTAAACCCAATCTAAAGGGGGGGGGGGGGGTACATTGAACATGTAGCGTCTTTATGTCGGTATCATTAGAGGTCATTGACCATCGTCTTTATGTCGGTATCATTAGAGGTCATTGACCATCGTCTTTGTGTCGGTATCATTGCATTAGGGCCTAGGACATCAGCCACTGTCAGTTAAAAAAACCGTTAATAGCACCCGGCCTAGTTTAATCTTGTTAGTTATAAACTGAAGTACAACCACTCCCCCTCCTACTACCACCCACCTCCAAATACAGGGGTGTTTTTTTTTTCTTTTGGCTTTTTTAAAAATCTTACTAAAGCAGTGGTTCCCAAACTTTTTTGATTGGCGATCCCCTTTTATAAAAATTAAGTGACCCGCGACCCCCATAGAATTAAAAGGTCGAAATTAGTAAGGAAATTAATCAGTACTTAAATAAGATTTTCAAATAGACTTTCAGTACGAGTTATTCTTGATAACTGTTTTAATACGATGAGTAACATTTCATGCTATTAACTAGCCTCAACATTCGCGGTTGAGTTTTTTTAACGCCAAGTTATTCTCAGCATTTAATTTATTTCTTTGTTTTGTTTTTAATTAGAAAAGTGTTGAAAATCTATTCTCGCAAAGATATGTAGTAGACACAAAAGGAACTAAAACTCGAAAGGCAATCAATTTCACGTTTGGGTATGAATGGTGCATACTACACCAAAATTGAAAGCACAGTACGCATTGTTTCTTCTCGATTCAATTTCCAGTGATGTTAGTAAAGCCGAATTTCAGATATTTATCTAAATATTTGTTGTTGTTTTTTTCATTGATAAGGTTTAGTCTACCAGTTGGCGACCCCCCAGAAAGCCCTTCGCAAGACCCTGGGGGGAACCCGTGTAATAAAGCAAACACCTCAGGCGTTTCATTAAATAATCGTTAAATAAAATACGCCATATTTTTTTATTTCAGAAACTCAGGTTTTCACAATTTACTCGCCATAAAAAAGAAATTTATTGCGTGGACATTAACTACCACAAGCAAACTTAAACACTCGTCGCCGTGATTGTTTTATGTCAAGTTTTTAAAATGCCGGCCACATTTTACGTTTTGGGCATTACTTTTATATCATGTGTCAGTCATAGGCCGATCCTAAGGCAACTTATGGGATTGATATTTTTTCTTACAATTACAATAGTTTTTATTTGCTAATGACAAAAATAAAATAGGTTTGGGTAAAGACTTGCCTGATTGTGTAATCAATTACAATATTTTTAAATTTCTAATGACAAAAATAAAATAGGTTTGGGTAAAGACTTGCCTGATTGTGTAATCAATTACAATATTTTTAAATTTCTAATGACAAAAATAAAATAGTTTTGGGTAAAGACTTGCCTGATTGTGTAATCAATTACAATAGTTTTTATTTGCTAATGACGAAAATAAAATAGGTTTGGGTAAAGACTTGCCTGATTGTGTAATCAGTGACGTCAGAATTATTGAGACGGCTAATGTGTACATTTTCTCTCGTGGTCAGTTAGAATCTCTCGGTCAGATGGTTTAATCTTCTAATCTTGTTGGTCAGTTGTTTAATCTTCTTGGTCAGTTGTTTAATCCCCTGTGATTGTTACACGTCTGCCCAATCACCTGTGACCAGCCACATTTTATAGCCGTCTGCTGTCCCTTCTGATCCCCATAAACACGCCCCACCCCCACACGCCACCCCAACCCTCAAATTCGCTTGGCTTAACATTTCACGTAATCAACCGTTTAATATGCAGCGTATTTAAATAAATTTATGGCTTTTGTAGAAATACTTTTTTAACAAGCCGGAAATTACGTCGTTGTGTCTGTCGGTCTATCTGTCGGTGTGTCGTGTGTTCACTTCCGTTTGACGTCTGCTAGTCCAATAAATTATCTACGTAAAGTAGATCTATACTTGCAGTAGGTTTATACTTGCAGTAGGTTTATACTTGCAGTAGGTTTATACTTGCAGTAGGTTTATACTTGCAGTAGGTTTATACTTGCAGTAGGTCTATACTTGCAGTAGGTCTATACTTGCAGTAGGTCTATACTTGCAGTAGGTCTATACTTGCAGTAGGTCTATACTTGCAGTAGGTCTATACTTGCAGTAGGTCTATACTTGCAGTAGGTCTATACTTGCAGTAGGTCTATACTTGCAGTAGGTCTATACTTGCAGTAGGTCTATACTTGCAGTAGGTCTATACTTGCAGTAGGTCTATACTTGCAGTAGGTCTATACTTGCAGTAGGTCTATACTTGCAGTAGGTCTATACTTGCAGTAGGTCTATACTTGTACTAGGTAATCTTGTATGTTTAAAACATTAAAAAACATTCTAAACATTTGTGAAAACAATTCTGTTTTTTTTCACTACGTAGCTAAACAGCTACAATATGACATAGAGGGTTCAGCAACATTAGGCTTTACCATGGCAACAGTTAACAAAGGGAAATATTCAGTTGGGCTGGTCAAATGTTTGCCTGAAAGATGCGGTCTAATATTTAGTTGGGCTGGTCAAATGTTTGCCTGAAAGATGCGTTCCAATATTTAGTTGGGATGGAGGTCGTGGGTTGGTGACAAAAACATTTTGTCGTCGTTTCTGGTAGGATCGACTGGAAGATTCTTTTTACAGAGGGGGGTGCTTGTTATGTTGTTGTTTTTTTGTTGTTGTTTTTTAGTGGGGGGAGGGGCGGTTAACTCAGCATTGGTTGAGTCTCAAACTCAGTATGTTGCAGTGTCGTGAAAGTGGGTTGTCATTCGATTGCAAGTGGGTTGTCATTAGATTGCAAGTGGGTTGTCATTAGATTGCAAGTGGGTTGTCATTAGATTGCAAGTGGGTTGTCATTAGATTGCAAGTGGGTTGTCATTAGGTTGCAAGTGGGTTGTCATTAGATTGCAAGTGGGTTGTCATTAGGTTGCAAGTGGGTTGTCATTAGGTTGCAAGTGGGTTGTCATTCGATTGCAAGTGGGTTGTCATTCGATTGCAAGTGGGTTGTCATTCAATGGCAAGTTGGTTGTCATTCAATGGCAAGTGGGTTGTCATTAGGTTGCAAGTGGGTTGTCCTTAGATTGCAAGTGGGTTGTCATTCGATTGCAAGTGGGTTGTCATTCGATTGCAAGTGGGTTGTCATTCAATGGCAAGTGGGTTGTCATTAGGTTGCAAGTGGGTTGTCCTTAGATTGCAAGTGGGTTGTCGTTTGGTTGTCGTATGAGGCGACAGAAGACTGAAGCCGTAACATTATTTCAAAGACAGCAAACTATTTTTAGAGCGTCAAACTATTTTTAGAACACCGATCTGACAATCTGGCACGCTGACCTATAAGTTATTTATAGCCAGGTCTAAGTCTCCTACAGCTGTAAGTTTGCCAGGCGGCCCGGTGGCCTGATCAATGTTCTACGTAATGTGATTAAAATCTTGTTTGTTTGTTTTTTGTTTTTTTGGGGTTTTTTTTTTATATCTGTAAACATCTAAATTGCTTTTGGATTTACACTAAATGTTCAATAGTTAACCGAAAATACTAAAAACATCAAATACATCAACCTTTAGTCCACAAAAAATCAAACCAATTTTTATAACCATATTATTTATTTTACAAACACCGTACTTGAGCACATGAGGTGAGTCTGCTAGGGGTGTCTGTCTGCTAGGGGTGTTTGATATGGGTGTCTGATAGGGGTGTCTGATATGGGTGTCTGATAGGGGTGTCTGTCTGTTAGGGGCGCTGTCTGCCAGGGGTGTTTGATAGGGGTGTCTGATAGGGGTGTCTGATAGGGGTGTCTGTCTGATAGGGGTGTCTGCTAGGGGTGTCTGTCTGCTAGGGGTGTCTGTCTGATAGGGGTGTCTGTCTGCTAGGGGTGTCTGTCTGCTAGGGGTGTCTGCCTGATAGGGGTGTCTGTCTGATAGGGGTGTCTGTTTGCTAGGGGTGTCTGTCTGATAGGGGTGTCTGTCTGATAGGGGTGTCTGTCTGATAAGGGTGTCTGTCTGCTAGGGGTGTCTGCTAGGGGTGTCTGTCTGCTAGGGGTGTCTGCTAGGGGTGTCTGTCTGCTAGGGGTGTCTGCTAGGGGTGTCTGTCTGATAGGGGTGTCTGTCTGATAGGGGTGTCTGTCTGCCAGGGGTGTTTGATAGGGGTGTCTGATAGGGGTGTCTGATAGGGGTGTCTGATAGGGGTGTCTGATAGGGGTGTCTGATAGGGGTGTCTGTCTGATAGGGGTGTCTGTCCGATAGAGGTGTCTGATAGCGGTGTCTGATAGGGGTGTCTGTCTGCTAGGGGTGTCTGTCTGATAGGGGTGTCTGTCTGATAGGGGTGTCTGTCTGATAGGGGTGTCTGTCTGATAGGGGTGTCTGCTAGGGGTTTCTGTCTGCTAGGGGTGTCTGCTAGGGGTGTCTGTCTGCTAGGGGTGTTTGAAAGGTGTGTCTGTTGAAGGAAACTTAATACCGTAACAAGTGGAGATTATGTCCAGAGAACTAATTAGTTTGGTGTAATTACTCCATAATTAGTCTGTAATCAAATTTGGTCTCAGGGAGCTAAGAATGCACTGTGGGATAACAGTGGTCTTACGTGATCTTTGCTCTGATATCGTGACCTAACATCTATTTAATAATTTAATCTGAGTTCAAATTCTGACGGTTCTAAAACCGTTTTTCTATACTAAAAATAGAAAAACGTTACAACCAAAATGTATTATAATTTATATCTAGGATTCTCCTAGCATGCGTCATTTATTTTTAATCTTATGACGTCATTTATACCCTGCGCTTTTTATAGATGTTCTGAGTTGGAAATCGTGTGCTTAAATAGAGGGGGAGGGGTTAACTTATGCTCTACACTAGGCATATTTTCCGATATGGTACTGACCCAAGCCCGATTGAACATAATTAACGGAGCCAACATAACGTGTTTATTGATCCTAATTAACGCCATCCGTTGAACCTAATTAAGGGAGCCAACTTGACGTAATTAATGAGCCATCCATGTTCTGCTCAGATGTCGTGTTTTCGACCACCGTCCATGACAAATAGAAATTTATTTTCATCGTCTCGACAGATTTCTTGAAGAAAATGTTTCCTAAAACAATCTTACAACACAATCGTGAGGTGTTGTGATGTCACATAAACACATATTTGGTTACTTGTCTTTTTCAACCACCTACAAATGAACGGGAAGTTGAGATATTCAAAAATAGAATTGTCCGTGTCGACAAACGGAAGTTTCCGATTCTTGATTTGTGCGAGTTATATGTTTTGATGACTGAATCATGCGAGAGATGTGCGAGATTACACAAAATACTAAGTTGTGTGTGACTTTAGACAGGATACGTGTCCTGTTGGTAGGCTATTTCCGTACCTCCATCGTATTAATGCTCTAAAACTGGTTGTTTTATAGGATTAATTTCCGGAAATGATTTTTTTATTATTATCACGAAGCAGATGTAATGTTTGTTTGAGGAAAGTGATTCATCCCGCTGTACACCACTTATGAAACAGCCAACTTTAACGTGGTTTTAAATAGTGGGATTTTTAAAATCAAAAGAATTTATAGAATCTTAAAACTCATGTGTATTGGGCTGACTGGAATCACCAGGAAAGTAGGCCGACAAATAAAGAGAGCCGTTTAGAAGTGAGTCAGAAGAAGTGTGCCTGCACCCCTTTGCTCCCCAGGGGCCACAAAGATTTTGTGACGTGAAGAAGTGTGTGGGACTCAATGGACAGAGGCAGTGGGATCTCTAGAGGTGCCCGACTGTGTGGACTTTAGTTTTGTGTGGGGCTTGTGTGGGGCTTGTGAGGGGCTTGTGTGGGGCTTGCTGTAAAACTGTGGGGCTCCAAGGTTTATCTTTCAACTTTTAATGTCCAATGATTAATGTAAACACAATTAACCCATAATTTTTTTTAGAAAACTAACCCTGGTACTCATCTTTGAGAACTCTCTCACTAGATACCCTCCACCCAGAGTTTCTTCCACGCATCTCTTCGAGGGGGCACAGCCCCCCCCCCCCCCGAAGAAAGTCTACCCCCTCCCCCCCCCCCCCCCGAACGAAATGGAATTTATATAGAAAATACTTTTGACAATGTCCGCCCCCCCCCCCCGGAAATTGTTGTCCGCCCCCCCCCCCCCCCCCCGAAAACTTCAAGTGCACCCCCGGAGAAAAAAGTTTGGAAGAAACACTGCCTCCACCACCACCCCTCCACCTCCACTACCCTCCACCCTCTCCCTTCCATCCCCACCCCTCCACCACCCCCAGCACCACTACCCCATCATACAGAATGTGTACAAAGTGTGTACTTTTCAGCTATGCGCAGAAAGAAAGACCGACGAGATGACACAAATTCACTTCTGCTTTGAAATCCATCAATCTTTTCTCTCGTTGCTAGCAGACGATCACCTTGACCGACATCGGCCAGAACGAACGGAGAATTGTGTTTGCACTTCCGCCAGCCATCAATTTACATATCTCGTCTGCTACCGTGTATGCGGTGGTTTGGGCTGATTAATAATGTCACACCGGCAAAACCTTTTACGGTCGTTAAATTTTACTTTTGTTTTACTGTCTGCGTTTTTTTTTAAAATCTGTTTAACACTTTCAATATCCGTGCATGTATATAGATCTAGCATGCCTAACACTTTCAATAGCTGTGCGTGTATACCCCATATAGATCTAAAATGCCTGAATTATTACAAATTTTAAATTACTTAAACTAACGCCCACAAGTAACAAATAATTGTTTTGGCGTCACGCCTTGACAGACCCGTCTATTTGGAAAAAAAAATGCAGGTCAAATTTTTACTAATTTCAATCTGTGAATTGTAAAAATTTGAGAAAAGAAGGCTAGATGTGCCTTCAACTCACTGCGCCCGATGTGGAGGTCCACGGCCCTGTCACTCCAGAGCAAAATTGGGATTTTCAACACAAATGTTAAGGCAGTGCTGCTCTATGGCTCGGACACTTGGAGGGTTACGAAGACAAATACTGATAAGCTACAGGCATTCGTAAACAAATGCTTACGACATATACTTAAAATAAGATGGCCAGACAAAATATCAAACAAAGACCTGTGGCGAACTTTAAAGCAACAGCCAATAGAGACAGATATCAAGGCCCGCAAATGGGGATGGATCGGACACACGTTAAGAAAAGAAAAAGAAAACATCGTAAAACATGCATTGGACTGGAATCCCCAGGGGAAAAGGAGGGTGGGCCGGCCAAGGAAAACATGGAAGAGAACGGTTGAGGAGGAGGCGAAAACAGCTGGGCTCTCATGGGCACAGATTAGAGGAGCAGCCCAAAACCGAGTCCGCTGGAGATGTGTGGTTGCAGCCCTTTGCTCCCCAGGGGCCACAAAGGAAGGATGATGATGATAGGAGAGTTTAATTATCAACAAAGTTTCTGTTGCATTCTGTTTAATTACAGATTTTAAGTCATTTTCATAGCATCCAATTTAAAGGTTATAAAACGTGCAGAGGCGTAGCGACCCTTCCCGGCGCCGGGGGACAAACTTTCAATTTGGCGCCCCCCCCCCCCCCCCCTCGGGATCATCCTTTCAATTTTCAATTTGCATTCGATATATATTTGTTTATAAAGCAAAAATGCAGCTAAAATGAGATTTTAATTTGTTTTTCCAACCCATTTTGGTGCCCCCTAAGGTCGGCGCCCGGGGACATATGTACCCCCTGCCCCCCCCCCCCCTTCCCCTTCGCTACGCCTCTGAAAACGTGTGCCGTTTATTAAAAAACCATGCGAACATGAAAACTGTGTTTATTTAAAGAAGAATACCTTCTTTTGTTCCTAAAAATAAACAGTAAAATTTGAGTTGATTTATAATATAATTTTATCTCTACTACCGAAAAGTACTAAAATCTTAAAGCAAAATCTTTCAAAAGTCTCGAATTTAAAAAAAATACAGCAATATTGCGCAAAATAAAACTAGTCTTCATTAAGTTTAAATTAGACGATAAAGTGTGTATATAATCGGTGGTATGAAACACAGTGTCAGTGTTAGACTAATTACAGCCAGCTGTTTCAAATTTCACACTAAAAGTAAACTTCAACGTACAAATTATTTCATTCTTAAATGTTAAATTTCTAAATTTTATAAATTGAAATATTTGTTAAAGTGCAAGTAGAAAAGTGGTAAATAAAAACTAGGTTTATAGTTGATGTTAACATTAATTAATAACCAGTTCCCTATCATTCAACATGGTGCAGACCATAAAAGGATTTTAATTCAAGCCAAGTCGATGGGAAAGTGTGACGGGGTGCGTATGACGCACTGATTAATGCGATCGTAAATTTGGAAATTCCCAAAAAGAATCTATATTTAGCGTAGTTTATGTATTACGTCACGAGATGAGTGCGTGTTAAATGGCAATGTATGGTTTTGTTGAATCAGACGGTAGATGGTATTTTCTTCTGAGCCGCTACAACAAATGTGTCCTGTGTAGAGAGGTCTGGTTCTGTCAGCACACACAGCCATGCTTACACACACACACACACACACACAGCAATGGTGTACCCAAACGTCCACTCTCACACACACACACACACACACTGCCATGGTGTACCCAAACGTCAAGTTACACACACACACAGCAATGGTGTACCCAAACGTCATGTTACACACACTCACACACAGCAATGGTGTACCCAAACGTCAAGTTACACACACACACACACAGCAATGGTGTACCTAAACGTCATGTTACACACACACACACACACAGCCATGGTGTACCCAAACGTCATGTTACACACACACACAGCAATGGTGTACCCAAACGTCATGTTACACACACACACACACACACACACACACAGCAATGGTGTACCCAAACGTCTAGTTTAAAGAGAAATATTTAACATCTAATGGCCGCCTTGAAAGTATCTGAAGTCGATCCTTTCTTTTCTCTTACACTTTTTAAAGTATGAAATACGCATCTGTCTTGGCTAAACTAAACGACCTTCTGTGTGACGTAATTTGACAGTGACCTCATTTCCGCTTCCTGGGTCTGTGGGATAGAGGGCAAGTGGGTGCTTGAAGCAGGTGTAATCTAGAACTTACCATGTAAACTAAAGACTAGTGTAACAAGTGGATAAACTAAACTTCCTGTAGGTAATTTAAAATCTGCATAACCCCTTAAACTAGTGGCTGACATTGAGGAAAGAAAATATATGTTAAAACTTTGTCATTAGAGATGCACTTTTTTTTATTAAAAAATGGCTTCAGTAGTATTAGATCAACATTGAGTTCCAAAATTTGACCACAGCCAGACATTTAGACAACAAGTAACAGACAGGACCAGTGTTTCTTCCAGACTTTTTTCTCCGGGGGGGGGGGGGGGCACTTGAAATCTTCGGGGGGGGGGGGGGCGGTAAACTTTCTTCGGGGGGGGGCGGACACTGTTAAAAGTATATATTTTCTATATAAATTATATAAATTTCATTTCGTTCGGGGGGGGGGCGGTAAAAATTTTTAGGGGGAGCTTCGCCCCCCCCCCCCCCCCCCCCCGAAGAGATGCCTGGAAGAAACTCTGGAAGGGACTGATGAAGAAAACATTTGTAAAAAAAAAACATCTTTCTTTCTTTAATAATAAAAGCGATGCTGACTGGCTCGTGAAATCTCTTCAACACACTGCATCGACCGGGAACAGGGCATTTCAATTACCCCCCCGGACATTACCCCCCCCCCCCCCCCCGACATTACCCACCACCCCGGAGTAATTACCCCCTGTCAATTACCCGCTGTCACTTACCCCCTGTCAATTACCCCCCGCCCAGTAGGACATTACCCCCCCCCCCCCCCGGACAGAGTTAGGGCTAGGTTTAGGGTTAGGGTTAGGGTTAGAGCAAGGGTTAGGGCTAGGTTTAGGGTTAGAGTTAGAGCTAGGGTTATGATTATTGTTAGGATTAGGGCTAGGGTTAGGGCTAGGGTTAGGGTTAGAGTTGGGGTTAGGGTTAGGGTTAGAGCTGGGGTTAGGGTTAGGGTTGTGTGTTAAGTTTTGGATTAAAGTAGTATATAGGTATAGAATTCTAGTTAGAGTTAGGATTCTGACTTGAGAGGGGGGGGGGGTAATTCCCCGGGAGGGGGTGGGGGTAATTGACAAGGGGGTAATTGCTCCGGGGGGTAAATACGGGGGGAAATTTCCGGGGGGGGGGTGGGTAATGTCCTGTAGCCGTATTGACCAACACTGATACTTGTCTACTTGAAGTAACGGAACATTTGTTTTATTTTCTTGATTTTAGTACATTTTGAAAGCGTGTTATGCTTTATCAGTTTTGTCGCAATTCTTAATTTGATTAAAATCCCAAGTGCTTATCATTGTTTTAGTATCGCACCCAGTGTACTCAAGGAATAAATGCTTTTAATCAATATAAACCCCATGACAAACTGGCGAATGTTTTACCCAGGGGCTCACAGTGTGGACGATTTATTGTGTCACGTTCACATGGACGATCCATTGAGTGAAGTAGAGTTGATGTTTCTTGACCTCGGCCTATGAAGGGATGGTGTGGTCAGCACGATACCCAACCAGACTTCTCATAACGTGGACTCAGTGACGTCATGCAGTCCCGAGCCTAGACCGAGAGTAGAGTTAGGAGTCTGGCGCTCTACCACACGGCCACGCCGTCTTACATGTGACCGAACTTGGCTCAAAGTCAATTCCTACAATACCCCAGACTGACCCAAGGTCAAATGAGGAAAAACCTTGACCCCTGCAGCTGATGTCCCGACCCCCCCCCCCCCACCCCCCACACGTGACTAGCAGATCGTGTCCTCCCCGTGGGGCCGCCTGTCTATCAGTTTGACAGGGAGTGACAGCTCGTAATCCACGGTTACGTAACTTGTCAGCACTATGACGGTCGTCACGTGATGAACATGGGTGGATGGATGGGGGTAGGACACACTATAACGGTCATCACGTGATGAACATGGGTGGGTGGGGGGTAGGACACACTATAACGGTCGTCACATGATGAACATGGGTGGGTGGATGGGGGTAGGACACACTATAACGGTCGTCACGTGGATGGGGGAAGAACCTCGACTGTCTTCAGTCTACCATAAACAGACTGGTCACGTGTTCACGTTGTGACATGGGTGAGTTGTGCTACACGGCACTTCCTCGGATGGGTTGTGTTATCTACTGGCTATCATGAGTGGATCTCGCCCCTCTGTCGTTTTGTTCAACGTTTTCTTTAATCTTTGAACCTCACGGCCTCAAACTCATGACCCAGAGAAGCATGAGACGTCATACATCCAATTTTTAGTAGGTCTACTTCATGATGTAGGTCTACTTCATAATGTACGCAGACTAAGGAATCATATATGGACTAGAACGAAGGAATCAAATTCATTCCCAGACAATCATGTCCAACAAATAGCAAAAGAAAATGTGCAAAAAGAAATCTGAAAATTTACATATTTATTCCGCACAATTTCCCCATCGTGGATTTGTTTTGTTTCACATATTTAAGTCACCCATACACAGTACAAAACAAAATCTTGAATTACAATATTTATGTTCCTTTATTGACTTATGATAGCTATGTCATCAAGTAAAAAAAACATGTTAAAATCACACACATAAAATTAGACAGCCTCATCAAGTATTTAAAGGCTAACACATGCCAGATAAATGATGTTTCCTTTCAAATGATCACAAAATTAACGCTCACATTTAATTTACCCACTTAACTTTTGTAAAGCTAACACAAATTTTTTTAATCATTTATTATTCACACAGAGTCTGCAATTATTTTTAGTAAGAAAAAGTTTATTTTTGGTCATTATGCAAAAAAAAAAAAGCAAATTATGTAAATAAGTTGTATGACAACATCACCTGGGTGGTACTCCATCAACACACAACAGCTCACAAGGCCCTTAACTCTGCTGAAGGGCAGAAAACTCTACACCAAGACACAACAGGATGAATTCAAATTTAAATCTCATTACAAAAACACAACCACTGAAAAAACAAACTGGTTAGTAAGAAAGACAAAAATTCAGCTAAAAAAATTCTAACATGACAGAAGTTGTCGGTGAAGTAGAGTGATTGTTGGACATACAGCTTATGTGTGATTGTATGTTATATTCATTAGCATCCAAACATCTTGAAGGCAAAGTTCATTTAAATAGGTCATAAGCTCAGCTTCAACAAAAATAAATAGCTATTTTTAGATTTTAAAATTTTTATAAGAATAAATTAAAAATACAAAAATATAGCAGCGGTTTGCACCACGTGATCCTTACAGGATTAAGTGGCAGGACATGGAGAAATAGATTTAAATATTTGAAGTGTAACTCAACATTAGGCCTGTAACTGTAAGTAATAACTAGAGATATATTAATGTGTATACAGTACATTTAAAAACAATGGCATCATAATTGGACGGTATAATTTTAAAATAAACCTGTAAAATTGCAGTTGAAGCAGTTTAAAAATTAATACTAGGGATGTCTGTACAGTAACAATAAAATATCACAGTCAAACAATTTGCATAAACATTTTGTATTTACATTATACAATGTTACATTTAATGTGAGTAAAAAAACTATGTGGCTGACCATTACTGGAAGAGACATTGAAGTGACATTGTGTTGATTTCACGTTGTCCACAAGGAATGAAAGCTAAAATATATCCCTTCATTTCATGATTTATTGTGTTTTAATAGCATGAGGTGAGAAAATAAACACAAAAAATGTATGAATAGACAACAATGGTGTCAATGATGGATCATCATTGATGAATTATCCTGAATAAAAAGTTGTTTATATGAAAATGCTATGGGGGAGGGGGGATTTATATTTTGTCTAATACATGGGAATGTAATTAGAATACATTGTAAATATCACATTTTTCTTACACACAAGTGACATGTGATGCCTACATTACAGAACAGTGACCTTTGACATTTGTTCTGCATCTAGTAATGCTGTGAGGAAAGCATTTTAAAACCAGCTAGTTCCAGGGCTCTGGCTGACAGCTGGGTCACCAGAATCTAATCATCTTTTAAAACCAGCTGGTTCAATGGCTCTGGCTGACTGCTGGGTCGCCAGAATCTAATCATCTTTCTGACACAAACAGGCGCAGCCACGCTTGACCCAATGCTGGACGGGTTTCTTGGTGGGCAGCCAGATGGCCAGGACAAAGTTGGTGGAGTGACCAGTGGTGGACAGCACGCCCTTGCGCTCGCTGGTCTTGTAGACTGGACACTTGTAGCGCTTGTTGCTCTCGTCAATCTCGTTCATGCGCTTGGGGTGGAGCCAGATGACAGGCACGGGCTCGTTGAGAATTTTGGGCAGCTGCTCCTCCAGGCAACCCCTGGGGATGTTTTAAATGTGCTGACGTTGGGGTGATCAAATGTTCTCGGGGGGGGGGGGGGGATAAAACATGTACATGTGAGCAGATGGGAATTTTTAAATTGTAAAAAAAAAAACTGGGACACAAAACAAATTATCTTTGGGGTTATGAATGATGCACAACTACAAGACAACTATGGAATGTCCCATAGTACCTCACTTTTATCTCACTTTTATCTCATTGTTACCTGACACTGACCTGACATTAAAAAAAAGCTGACAGAAAACTTAGTTGCTTGTACCTCACATTGACCCCAACAAAAGAAAACTTAGTTGCTTGTACCTCACATTGACCCCAACAAAAGAAAACTTACTGTTGCTTGTACCTCACATTGACCCCAACAAAAGAAAACTTACTGTTGCTTGTACCTCACATTGACCCCAACAAAAGAAAACTTAGTTGCTTGTACCTCACATTGACCCCAACAAAAGAAAACTTACTGTTGCTTGTACCTCACATTGACCCCAACAAAAGAAAACTTAGTTGCTTGTACCTCACATTGACCCCAACAAAAGAAAACTTAGTTGCTTGTACCTCACATTGACCCCAACAAAAGAAAACTTACTGTTGCTTGTACCTCACATTGACCCCAACAAAAGAAAACTTAGTTGCTTGTACCTCACATTGACCCCAACAAAAGAAAACTTACTGTTGCTTGTACCTCACATTGACCCCAACAAAAGAAAACTTAGTTGCTTGTACCTCACATTGACCCCAACAAAAGAAAACTTAGTTGCTTGTACCTCACATTGACCCCAACAAAAGAAAACTTACTGTTGCTTGTACCTCACATTGACCCCAACAAAAGAAAACTTACTGTTGCTTGTACCTCACATTGACCCCAACAAAAGAAAACTTACTGTTGCTTGTCCCAGCGTGCACCATCAAGGAACAGACCATAAATGTAGGCACCATCAGCTGGAGCTTTCTCCATTCTGTCATGGACCAGAACCTGCACCAAGGTTTTATCAGAAATAAGGGTTCAAGTTAAACATGGGTTTTATAAGAAATAAGGGTTCAGGTAAAACATGGGTTTTAGAAATAGAAGAATTTTATAAGAAATAAGGGTTCAAGTTAAACATGGGTTTTATAAAAAGAATTTTATCAGAAATAAGGGTTCAAGTAAAACATGGGTTTTATAAGAAATAAGGGTTCAGGTAAAACATGGGTTTTATAAAAAGAAGAATTTTATCAGAAATAAGGGTTCAAGTAAAACATGGGTTTTATAAATAGGAGAATTTTATAAGAAATAAGGGTTCAAGTAAAACATGGATTTTAAAAAAAGAAGAATTTTATCAGAAATAAGGGTTTAAGTAAAACATGGGTTTTATAAAAAGAAGGATTTTATAAGAAATAAGGGTTCAAGTAAAACATAAGTTTTATAAAAAGAAGAATTTTATAAGAAATAAGGGTTCAAGTAAAACATGGGTTTTACAAGAAATAAGGGTTCGAGTAAAACATGGGTTTATTTTTAAATTGGGATTTAATATATTGAAACGGGTGCTTAATTAAAACTAGGATTAAGATTAAAAAAAAACATTTATAACAACAACAAAAAATTAAGTACTAAAATACTGTCTTTCTTATGTACAAGTATTAGCTTAAATTTAGTTGAAGTAGATTCCTCCCGCTCTGGTCATTTATAAAATGAAATTAACTAACACAATTGAACCAATAGTCAGCTCACCTCAAAATCAAAGGCCAGTTTGTCTATTGGTATGGTGTATTTCCTGGCAAAGTTCTGCATGACACCAGTCAAGAAGGCTTGGGTGAAGAAAAAACCAGAGACCCAGAAGTCTTCAGGTTTCCCATGATCGTACCATTGCTGGGGGGAGGGGAATAGAAAACATTGAATCATTGCTGGGGGGGGGGGGGGGGGGATAGAAAACATTGAATCATTGCTGGGGGGGGGGGGGGGGATAGAAAACATTGAATCATTGCTGGGGGGGGGGGGGGGGGGATAGAAAACATTGAATCATTGCTGGGGGGGGGGATAGAAAACATTGAATCATTGCTGGGGGGGGGGGGGGGAATAGAAAACATTGAATCATTGCTGGGGGGGGGGGAAATAGAAAACATTGAATCATTGCTGGGGGGGGGGGGGGGAAATAGAAAACATTGAATCATTGCTGGGGGGGGACCCCACTGATGTCATGACCTTGTAAATGTCATGTCACCACTGATGTCATGACCTTGTAAATGCCATGACCCCACTGATGTCATGACCTTGTAAATGCCATGACCCTACTGTCATGACCCCACTGATGTCATGACCCCACTGATGTCATGACCCCACTGATGTCATGACCCCACTGATGTCATGACCCCACTGATGTCATGACCCCACTGATGTCATGACCTTGTAAATGCCATGACCCTACTGATGCCATGACCCTGTCCCGTAGCTTGCCACCAACCTGCAGAAAGCGCAGCCTCTCCAGGAAGTCGCTGATGTAGCTGCCCAGAGGTTTGAGGGAGGGGTACGAGGTCTTGGTCCACATGGCCGGCTGCTTGCCAATCAACAGGCTCCCAGCCAGAGCCTCCAGGTCTGCGGACATGACCACAAGACCCTTGATGGCTTTCTGGATATTTTGGAGGCTTGACCGGATCATGATGAGCAGTCTAAAGATGGGAGGGAATAGGATGAGCAGTCTAAAGATGGGAGGGAATAGGATGAGCAGGGAAATAATTCTTTCCTTACTTATTGAACCTTTTGGTTATAAGGGAAATAATTCTTTCCTTACTTGTTGAAACTTTCAGTTATAAGGGAAATAATTCTTTCTTTACTTATTAAACCTTTTGGTTATAAGGGAAATAATTCTTTCCTTACTTATTGAACTTTTCAGTTATATGGGAAATAATTCTTTCCTTACTTGTTGAAACTTTCAGTTATAAGGGAAATAATTTTTTCCTTACTTATTGAACCTTTTGGTTATACGGGAAATAATTCTTTCCTTACTTATTGAACCTTTCCATCTCTTGCACCAGCACTGTGTTCATGCTCTCGTTGTAGATCACTGGGTACTTTTTTATGGCAGCCTCGATGTCAAAATCTTTGGGAAGCTGTCAAGCAAACAATGACAAATATTTTGTGGTTCTTTTACAAAAAAATCAATGAACACTCTAGAGCTCGTAATGTACCATGATCATCAGCGCAGACCATGACTAGATTAGATGTCAGACCATGACTAGATTAGATGTCAGGCCATGACTAGATTAGATGTCAGGCCATGACTAGATTAGATGTCGGGCCATGACTAGATGTCAGGCCATGACTAGATTAGATGTCAGGCCATGACTAGATGTCAGGCCATGACTAGATGTCAGGCCATGGCTAGATTAGATGTCAGGCCATGACTAGATTAGATGTCAGGCCATGACTAGATTAGATGTCAGGCCATGACTAGATGTCAGGCCATGACTAGATTAGATGTCAGGCCATGACTAGATTAGATGTCAGGCCATGACTAGATTGGATGTCGGGCCATGACTAGATTAGATGTCAGGCCATGACTAGATGTCAGGCCATGACTAGATTAGATGTCAGGCCATGACTAGATTAGATGTCAGGCCATGACTAGATTAGATGTCAGGCCATGACTAGATGTCAGGCCATGGCTAGATTAGATGTCAGGCCATGACTAGATTAGATGTCAGGCCATGACTAGATTAGATGTCAGGCCATGACTAGATTGGATGTCGGGCCATGACTAGATTAGATGTCAGGCCATGACTAGATTAGATGTCGGGCCATGACTAGATGTCAGGCCATGACTAGATTAGATGTCAGGCCATGACTAGATGTCAGGCCATGACTAGATTAGATGTCGGGCCATGACTAGATGTCAGGCCATAACTAGATGTCAGGCCATGGCTAGATTAGATGTCAGGCCATGACTAGATTAGATGTCAGGCCATGACTAGATTAGATGTCAGGCCATGACTAGATGTCAGGCCATGACTAGATTAGATGTCAGGCCATGACTAGATGTCAGGCCATGGCTAGATTAGATGTCAGGCCATGGCTAGATTAGATGTCAGGCCATGACTAGATTAGATGTCAGGCCTTGACTAGATGTCAGGCCATAACTAGATGTCAGGCCATGGCTAGATTAGATGTCAGGCCATGACTAGATTAGATGTCAGGCCATGACTAGATTAGATGTCAGGCCATGACTAGATGTCAGGCCATGACTAGATTAGATGTCAGGCCATGACTAGATTAGATGTCAGGCCATGACTAGATTAGATGTCAGGCCATGACTAGATTAGATGTCAGGCCATGACTAGATTAGATGTCAGGCCATGACTAGATTAGATGTCAGGCCATGACTAGATTAGATGTCAGGCCATGACTAGATTAGATGTCAGGCCATGACTAGATTAGATGTCAGGCCATGACTAGATTAGATGTCAGGCCATGACTAGATTAGATGTCAGGCCATGGCTAGATTAGATGTCAGGCCATGGCTAGATTAGATGTCAGGCCATGGCTAGATTAGATGCCAGGCCATGACTAGATGACAACTAACCTTGGACAAGATGTCGGTTGCGATGTCAGCCAGTGCCTCATCAGTGCTGCCTCCCCCACCCCCCTGTCCCCCCTGGGTCAGCAGGACTGAGTCAAACAGCAGACGCACTTCCTGCAGCTCACGCGAGATGTCCACATTTTCATGCATGCCAAAAACTTCTGGGTACTGGCTCGGTGGAAGGTTCTGGGGGGAAAAAATTTAAATATTTGAATTAAATATTAGTTTTAGACTTTTAATTTAATTTTAGGGTATAGGTGGTGTTTTTTTCCATGAAAATATTGCAACCACTTCCACAGAATTAGAAAGGTACCAAATCCTTGCAAAGTGTTCACCAACTATTGCAAGTTTTTAGGAATAAAGTAACACAAGCGACAAAAAACTAAAGTGCACTTTGAGTCCGTTGTCAGATATAAGATAGTGGACAAAAACAAACTGATATGTTCAATGAAAAACTTGAAGTGGAAGCAAATATTTAGGGAAACAAAACATAACGCAGCTTGAGAAAGCTGACAACATTCACCCAATTAATTAATTAACTTCACCCAATTAATCAATTAATTAATTAATTAATGACTTTACCCATCCACCTGCCTCATCTTTAATCCACCCCCCCCCCCCATTTGATACCATAAAGAAAAAGTCCAAGACTGACCTTGATGAACTCTACTGCCTCTGTATATCCCGTCTTCCCTGGGCAGTGGTAGTTGCCACTGGGAGAGAACTTGTACTTGGGGTCTGTGATGATGGCCACGTTGAAGAAGTCAGCCAGGATGGTCATCAGACAGCGCCTGTCCCAGTCGTCCGTCACACGGCCACCGTAGTTACATTCACCCGTCATGTAGGTGATGGCCTCAAATGGCACATCCTCATACTCGTTGATGAACATCTGCATGTGGTACAGTAGTCGGGTCAGTTGGTTGGTGGGGTCAGTTGGTTGGTGGGGTCAGTTGGTTGGTGGGGTCAGTTGGTTGGTGGGGTCAGTTGGTTGGTTGGTGGGGTCAGTTGGTTGGTTGGTGGGGTCAGTTGGTTGGTTGGTGGGGTCAGTTGGTTGGTTGGTGGGGTCAGTTGGTTGGTTGGTGGGGTCAGTTGGTTGGTTGGTGGGGTCAGTTGGTTGGTTGGTGGGGTCAGTTGGTTGGTTGGTGGGGTCAGTTGGTTGGTGGGGTCAGTTGGTTGGTTGGTGGGGTCGGTGGGTTGGTGGGGTCAGTTGGTTGGTGGGGTCAGTTGGTTGGTGGGGTCAGTTGGTTGGTGGGGTCAGTTGGTTGGTGGGGTCGGTGGGTTGGTGGGGTCAGTTGGTTGGTGGGGTCAGTTGGTTGGTGGGGTCAGTTGGTTGGTGGGGTCAGTTGGTTGGTTGGTGGGGTCGGTGGGTTGGTGGGGTCAGTGGGTTGGTGGGGTCAGTTGGTTGGTGGGGTCGGTCGGTGGGTTGGTGGGGTCAGTTGGTTGGTTGGTGGGGTCAGTTGGTTGGTTGGTGGGGTCAGTTGGTTGGTGGGGTCGGTTGGTTGGTGGGGTCAGTTGGTTGGTGGGGTCAGTTGGTTGGTTGGTGGGGTCGGTGGGTTGGTGGGGTTGGTGGGTTGGTGGGGTCAGTTGGTTGGTGGGGTCAGTTGGTTGGTGGGGTCAGTTGGTCAGTTGGTTGGTTGGTGGGGTCAGTTGGTTGGTGGGGTCGGTTGGTTGGTGGGGTCAGTTGGTTGGTGGGGTCAGTTGGTTGGTGGGGTCAGTTGGTGGGTTGGTGGGGTCGGTTGGTTGTTGGGTCAGTTGGTTGGTTGGTGGGGTCAGTTGGTTGGTTGGTAGGGTCAGTTGGTTGGTTGGTGGGGTCAGTGGGTTGGTGGGGTCAGTTGGTTGGTGGGGTCAGTTGGTTGGTTGGTTGGGTTGGTGGGGTCAGTTGGTTGGTGGGGTCAGTTGGTTGGTGGGGTCAGTTGGTTGGTTGGTGGGGTCGGTGGGTTGGTGGGGTCAGTTGGTTGTTGGGGTCAGTTGGTTGTTGGGGTCAGTTGGTTGGTGGGGTCAGTTGGTTGGTGGGGTCGGTTGGTTGGTGGGGTCAGTTGGTTGGTGGGGTCAGTTGGTTGGTGGGGTCAGTTGGTGGGTTGGTGGGGTCGGTTGGTTGTTGGGTCAGTTGGTTGGTGGGGTCAGTTGGTTGGTTGGTGGGGTCAGTTGGTTGGTTGGTAGGGTCAGTTGGTTGGTTGGTGGGGTCAGTGGGTTGGTGGGGTCAGTTGGTTGGTCGGGTCAGTGGGTTGGTGGGGTCAGTTGGTTGGTGGGGTCAGTTGGTTGGTGGGGTCAGTTGGTTGGTGGGGTCAGTGGGTTGGTGGGGTCAGTTGGTTGGTGGGGTCAGTTGGTTGGTGGGGTCAGTTGGTTGCTGGGGTCAGTTGGTTGCTGGGGTCGGTGGGTTGGTGGGGTCGGTTGGTTGGTGGGGTCAGTGGGTTGGTGGGGTTGGTTGGTTGGTGGGGTCGGTTGGTTGGTGGTGGGGTCAGTGGGTTGGTGGGGTCAGTTGGTTGGTTGGTGGGGTCAGTTGGTTGGTTGGTGGGGTCAGTTGGTTGGTTGGTGGGGTCAGTTGGTTGGTTGGTGGGGTCAGTTGGTTGGTGGGGTCAGTTGGTTGGTGGGGTCAGTTGGTTGGTGGGGTCAGTTGGTTGGTTGGTGGGGTCAGTTGGTTGGTTGGTGGGGTCAGTTGGTTGGTTGGTGGGGTCAGTGGGTTGGTTGGTGGGGTCAGTGGGTTGGTGGGGTCGGTTGGTTGGTGGGGTCGGTTGGTTGGTGGGGTCGGTTGGTTGGTGGGGTCAGTTGGTTGGTTGGTGGGGTCAGTTGGTTGGTTGGTGGGGTCGGTGGGTTGGTGGGGTTGGTAGGTTGGTGGGGTCGGTTGGTTGGTGGGGTCGGTTGGTTGGTGGGGTCAGTTGGTTGGTGGGGTCAGTTGGTTGGTGGGGTCAGTTGGTTGGTGGGGTCAGTTGGTTGTTGGGGTCAGTGGGTTGGTGGGGTCAGTGGGTTGGTGGGGTCAGTTGGTTGGTGGGGTCAGTTGGTTGCAGTTGGTTGGTGGTGGGGTCAGTGGGTTGTTGGGGTCAGTGGGTTGGTGGGGTCAGTTGGTTGGTGGGGTCAGTTGGTTGGTGGGGTCAGTTGGTTGGTGGGGTCAGTTGGTTGGTGGGGTCAGTGGGTTGGTGGGGTCAGTGGGTTGGTGGGGTCAGTGGGTTGGTGGGGTCGGTTGGTTGGTGGGGTCAGTGGGTTGGTGGGGTCAGTTGGTTGGTGGGGTCAGTTGGTTGGTTGGTGGGGTCGGTGGGTTGGTGGGGTCAGTTGGTTGGTTGGTGGGGTCAGTTGGTTGGTTGGTGGGGTCAGTTGGTTGGTGGGGTCGGTTGGTTGGTGGGGTCAGTTGGTTGGTGGGGTCAGTTGGTTGGTTGGTGGGGTCGGTGGGTTGGTTGGTGGGGTCGGTGGGTTGGTTGGTGGGGTCGGTGGGTTGGTTGGTGGGGTCGGTGGGTTGGTTGGTGGGGTCGGTGGGTTGGTTGGTGGGGTAGGTGGGTTGGTTGGTGGGGTAGGTGGGTTGGTTGGTGGGGTCGGTGGGTTGGTGGGGTCAGTTGGTTAGTGGGGTCAGTTGGTTGTTGGGGTCAGTGGGTTGGTGGGGTCAGTGGGTTGGTGGGGTCAGTGGGTTGGTGGGGTCAGTGGGTTGGTGGGTCAGTGGGTTGGTGGGTCAGTGGGTTGGTGGGTCAGTGGGTTGGTGGGGTCAGTTGGTTGGTGGGGTCAGTGGGTTGGTGGGGTCGGTTGTTTGGTGGGGTCGGTTGGTTGGTGGGGTCAGTTGGTTGTTGGGGTCAGTTGGTTGTTGGGGTCAGTTGGTTGGGTCAGTGGGTTGGTTGTTGGGGTCGGTTGGTTGGTGGGGTCGGTGGGGTTGGTTGGTTGGTTGGTGGGGTTGGTGGGGTCAGTTGGTTGGTGGGGTCGGTTGGTTGGTGGGGTTGGTGGGGTCAGTTGGTTGGTGGGGTCGGTTGGTTGGTGGGGTCGGTTGGTTGGTGGTGGGGTCGGTTGGTTGGTGGGGTCGGTTGGTTGGTTGGTGGGGTTGGTGGGGTCAGTTGGTTGGTTGGTGGGGTTGGTTGGTGGGGTTGGTTGGTGGGGTTGGTTGGTGGGGTTGGTTGGTGGGGTTGGTTGGTTGGGCAGAGCAGGATGAATGTTTAAGTGAGATAAGAGGACATAGACACATCACATAAAGCAAATGTCAACAAATTAAAGAGGGGACAATTAGATGCCAGTGATAACATTTGGACAAGAAATATTAAAGTCAAGTTTTCTCTATCCCAAAGACAAAAACTCAAAATCGAAATATTTAACCAAAATAGTTATCTTGTTTTCAGTTTCCAACCTTAAATAACATCCATATTTTAATTTAATGTTTCAATTGTTTTTCCTTTTAATTACCAGACTTTATTATCAGATTAATCACTTTCTTTGATGTTTCAATTGTTTTTCCTTTTAATTACCAGACTTTATTATCAGATTAATCACTTTCTTTGATATTTCTTTATAAGTTTTTTGTTTTTTGAAAATCTTAAGCTAAAAACTGACAAGAAATTAAAAAACTCCTGACAAATCGGCCCATGACCCCATCAAATTCTAACCCCATCAGCACCTGACCCCCTCAGCTCCTGACCCCATCAGCTCCTGACCCCCTCAGCTCCTGACCCCATCAGCTCCTGACCCCATCAGCTCCTGACCCCCTTAGCTCCTGACCCCATCAGCTCCTGACCCCATCAGCTCCTGACCCCACCTGACCCCATCATCTCCTGACCCCATCAGCTCCTGACCCCACCTGACCCCCTCAGCTCCTGACCCCATCAGCTCCTGAACCCATCAGCTCCTGACCCCCTCATCTCCTGACCCCATCAGCTCCTGACCCCATCAGCCCCTGACCCCACCTGACCCCATCAGCTCTAGACCCCATCAGCTCCTGACCCCATCAGCTCTAGACCCCACCTGACCCCATCAGCTCCTGACCCCACCTGACCCCATCAGCTCCTGACCCCATCAGCTCCTGACCCCATCAGCTCCTGACCCCATCAGCTCCTGACCCCACCTGACCCCATCAGCTCCTGACCCCACCTGACCCCATCTGACCCCATCAGCTCCTGACCCCACCTGACCCCATCAGCTCCTGACCCCATCAGCTCCTGACCCCATCAGCTCTAGACCCCATCAGCTCCTGACCCCATCAGCTCCTGACCCCACCTGACCCCATCAGCTCCTGACCCCACCTGACCCCATCAGCTCCTGACCCCATCAGCTCCTGACCCCATCAGCTCCTGACCCCATCAGCTCCTGACCCCATCAGCTCCTGACCCCACCTGACCCCATCAGCTCCTGACCCCACCAGCTCCTGACCCCATCAGCTCCTGACCCCATCATCTCCTGACCCCATCAGCTCTAGACCCCATCAGCTCCTGACCCCACCTGACCCCATCAGCTCCTGACCCCACCTGACCCCATCAGCTCCTGACCCCACCTGACCCCATCAGCTCCTGACCCCATCAGCTCCTGACCCCACCTGACCCCATCAGCTCCTGACCCCACCTGACCCCACCTGACCCCATCAGCTCCTGACCCCACCTGACCCCATCAGCTCTAGACCCCATCAGCTCCTGACCCCATCAGCCCCTGACCCCATCAGCTCCTGACCCCACCAGCTCCTGACCCCACCTGACCCCATCAGCTCCTGACCTCATCAGCTCCTGACCCCATCAGCTCCTGACCCCATCAGCTCCTGACCCCATCAGCTCCTGACCCCCTCAGCTCCTGACCCCACCTGACCCCATCAGCTCCTGACCCCATCAGCTCCTGACCCCATCAGCTCCTGACCCCATCAGCCCCTGACCCCATCAGCTCCTGACCCCACCAGCTCCTGACCCCACCTGACCCCATCAGCTCCTGACCCCACCAGCTCCTGACCCCACCTGACCCCATCAGCTCCTGACCCCATCAGCCCCTGACCCCACCTGACCCCATCAGCTCCTGACCCCATCAGCCCCTGACCCCACCTGACCCCATCAGCTCCTGACCCCATCAGCTCCTGACCCCATCAGCTCCTGACCCCATCAGCTCCTGACCCCATCAGCTCCTGACCCCATCAGCTCCTGACCCCATCAGCTCCTGACCCCATCAGCTCCTGACCCCATCAGCTCCTGACCCTATCAGCTCCTGACCCCATCAGCTCCTGACCCCATCAGCTCCTGACCCCATCAGCTCCTGACCCCACCAGCTCCTGACCCCACCATCTCCTGACCCCATCAGCTCCTGACCCCATCAGCTCCTGACCCCACCATCTCCTGACCCCATCAGCTCCTGACCCCACCTGACCCCATCAGCACCTGGCCCCATCAGCTCCTGACCCTGACCCCATCAGCTCCTGACCCCACCTGACCCCATCAGCTCCTGACCCCATCAGCTCCAGACCCCACCTGACCCCACCAGCTCCTGACCCCATCAGCTCCTGACCCCATCTGACCCCATCAGCTCCTGACCCCCTCAGCTCCTGACCCCACCTGACCCCATCAGCCCCTGACCCCATCAGCTCCTGACCCCATCAGCTCCTGACCCCATCAGCTCCTGACCCCATCAGCCCCTGACCCCACCTGACCCCATCAGCCCCTGACCCCACCTGACCCCATCAGCCCCTGACCCCACCTGACCCCATCAGCCCCTGACCCCACCTGACCCCATCAGCTCCTGACCCCCTCATCTCCTGACCCCATCAGCCCCTGACCCCACCTGACCCCATCAGCTCCTGACCCCATCAGCTCCTGACCCCCTCAGCTCCTGACCCCACCTGACCCCACCTGACCCCCTCATCTCCTGACCCCATCAGCCCCTGACCCCACCTGACCCCATCAGCTCCTGACCCCATCAGCTCCTGACCCCATCAGCTCCTGACCCCACCAGCTCCTGACCCCCTCAGCTCCTGACCCCATCAGCTCCTGACCCCACCAGCTCCTGACCCCCTCATCTCCTGACCCCATCAGCTCCTGACCCCATCAGCTCCTGACCCCATCAGCTCCTGACCCCACCAGCTCCTGACCCCCTCATCTCCTGACCCCATCAGCTCCTGACCCCCTCATCTCCTGACCCCATCAGCTCCTGACCCCCTCAGCTCCTGACCCCATCAGCTCCTGACCCCACCAGCTCCTGACCCCCTCATCTCCTGACCCCATCAGCTCCTGACCCCATCAGCTCCTGACCCCATCAGCTCCTGACCCCACCTGACCCCACCTGACCCCATCATCTCCTGACCCCATCAGCTCCTGACCCCATCAGCTCCTGACCCCATCAGCTCCTGACCCCATCAGCCCCTGACCCCACCTGACCCCATCAGCCCCTGACCCCACCTGACCCCATCAGCTCCTGACCCCCTCAGCTCCTGACCCCATCAGCTCCTGACCCCATCAGCTCCTGACCCCATCAGCTCCTGACCCCCTCAGCTCCTGACCCCACCTGACCCCATCAGCTCCTGACCCCCTCAGCTCCTGACCCCACCTGACCCCATCAGCTCCTGACCCCATCAGCTCCTGACCCCATCAGCTCCTGACCCCATCAGCTCCTGACCCCATCAGCTCCTGACCCCCTCAGCTCCTGACCCCACCTGACCCCATCAGCCCCTGACCCCACCTGACCCCATCAGCTCCTGACCCCATCAGCCCCTGACCCCACCTGACCCCATCAGCCCCTGACCCCACCTGACCCCATCAGCTCCTGACCCCATCAGCCCCTGACCCCACCTGACCCGATCAGCTCCTGACCCCATCAGCCCCTGACCCCACCTGACCCGATCAGCTCCTGACCCCATCAGCCCCTGACCCCACCTGACCCCACCAGCTCCTGACCCCACCAGCCCCCTACCTGAAGTTGCCTGACGGAGATCCTCAAGTCTGACTCATTGAACCCGTAGGCAATGTTCCAGCCCAGGGGTCCAAACTTCCTCCTCTCCTGGACCAGAGCGTGGAAGAAGCAGAGACCAAACAGAAGCTTCTCAAAATTCTGGGGATTCAAACAAATTATTTTTGTTCTCAAAATTCTGGGGATTCAAACAAATTATTTTTGTTCTCAAATTTCTGGGGATTCAAATAAATTTTTTGTTCTCAAAATTCTGGGGATTCAAACAAATTTTTTGTTCTCAAAATTCTGGGGATTCAAACAAATTCTTTTGTTCTCAAAATTCTGGGGATTCAAACAAATTTTTTTGTTCTCAAAATTCTGGGGATTCAAACAAATTTTTTTGTTCTCAAAATTCTGGGGATTCAAACTAATTTTTTTGTTCTCAAAATTCTGGGGATTCAAACAAATTTTTTTTTTTCTCAAAATTCTGGGGATTCAAAGAAATTTTTTTGTTCTCAAAATTCTGGGGATTCAAACAAATTATTTTTTTTGTTCTCAAAATTCTGGGGATTCAAACAAATTATTTTTTTTGTTCTCAAAATTCTGGGGATTCAAACAAACTTTTTTTTTTTTTGTTCTCAAAATTCTGGGGATTCAAACAAATTTTTTTTTTTGTTCTCAAAATTCTGGGGATTCAAACAAATTTTTTTTGTTCTCAAAATTCTGGGGATTCATACAAATTTTTTTTTGTTCTCAAAATTCTGGGGATTCAAAGAAATAACTTTTTTTTTTGTTCTCAATTCTGGGGATTCAAATAAATTTTTTTCGTCAGTTTTTTCTTACTGTGATTTTTAAATCCACAATTTAAGTGCTGAGCTCTGGACTTCAAGCACATTAGACAAAGGCTTATGTTCAATAATTCAGTTTTTGTTACTTTTTTAACAAGAAGAGTATTTTGGTTAGTTTTTTCTTCATCTATTTTGGCTATTAAAGAAACTCAGGGACTGACAACTTATGTTAACTAGCCCAAAGGGACAGACAACTCATGTGAACACAAGGGACAGACAACTCATGTGAACACAAGGGACAGACAACTCTTGTTTACTCACCTGTTCCTTGCCCTTGCAGCCTTTAAAGAAGGTCTCGTCACTGATTGGGTCGTTGAGGTAGCTCTGTAGCATGTTCTGGCGCAGTCCAGTTGGAGGTTCATTTGTCATCTTGACGCCATTTTGTAAAACAGTGACTGGGAACTGGGAGGGGGGAGGTGTGTTGGGTTAGATTTCAACACTTACAATGAAATATATAACCAATGTCATCACACTTTTTTCAGAATGTCCTTCGTATAATTATAAATTATAGTGATATTTTTATTTTACTTTAAGGACATTTTTTAAATACATTTTTTTCTAAAGTAAATTATGATTAAAAAATGTTAATATATATTTCTATGTTAAACAGAAAACTAAAGAAACTTGTCAAATACATAAAGATCTAAAGCTTGTTATAAATGTGTGTAGGCCTACACTCTATGCCGTTTCTAACTTTCTAACATCAGTAAAAACAAAAGTTTGAGCCAAGTGTTGACTGGTTGGTGTGTAACTTATGTACACGGTCACATAAACATGGGCCTTACCTTGGGGGGTGGGTAGCTGGTCAGTCTAAAACCTGGGGCTTACCTTGGGGGGGAGGGGTAGCTGGTCAGTCTAAAACCTGGGGCTTACCTTGGGGGAGGGGTAGCTGGTTAGCCAGAGCCTGAGGGCTTACCTTGGGGGAGGGGTAGCTGGTTAGCCACTGGGGCTTACCTTGGGGGAGGGGTAGCTGGTTAGCCACTGGGGCTTACCTTGGGGGAGGGGTAGCTGGTTAGCCACTGGGGCTTACCTTGGGGGAGGGGTAGCTGGTTAGCCACTGGGGCTTACCTTGGGGGAGGGGTAGCTGGTTAGCCACTGGGGCTTACCTTGGGGGAGGGGTAGCTGGTTAGCCACTGGGGCTTACCTTGGGGGAGGGGTAGCTGGTTAGCCACTGGGGCTTACCTTGGGGGAGGGGTAGCTGGTTAGCCACTGGGGCTTACCTTGGGGCTTACCTTGGGGGAGGGGTAGCTGGTCAGCCTGAGGGCTTACCTTGGGGGAGGGGTAGCTGGTCAGCCTGAGGGCTTACCTTGGGGGAGGGGTAGCTGGTCAGCCTGAGGGCTTACCTTGGGGGAGGGGTAGCTGGTCAGGCTTACCTCAGGGGAGGGGTAGCTGGTCAGGCTTACCTCAGGGGAGGGGTAGCTGGTCAGGCTTACCTCAGGGGAGGGGTAGCTGGTCAGTCTAAAACCTGGGGCTTACCTTGGGGGAGGGGTAGCTGGTCAGCCTGAGGGCTTACCTTGGGGGAGGGGTAGCTAGTCAGGCTTACCTTGGGGGAGGGGTAGCTGGTCAGCCACTAGGGCTTACCTTGGGGGAGGGGTAGCTGGTCAGGCTTACCTTGGGGGAGGGGTAGCTGGTCAGGCTTACCTTGGGGGAGGGGTAGCTGGTCAGCCACTAGGGCTTACCTTGGGGGAGGGGTAGCTGGTCAGGCTTACCTTGGGGGAGGGGTAGCTGGTCAGGCTTACCTTGGGGGAGGGGTAGCTGGTCAGCCACTAGGGCTTACCTTGGGGGAGGGGTAGCTGGTCAGCCAGAGCCTGAAGCCAGAGTTGGTGCTCTCTGGTGTGAACTCCTCACAGATCTTCTCCAACGCGTTCATCCAGGACACGGCCAGGTGACAGTTCTGTAGCAGGACCCAGGTGCCCTCCTCTCTGGCCTGTTTGATCATCTTGGCCGCAATAGGACCCTGAGGAGGACAGAAATTGTGGCAATAGTTGGCTTAAATGTGGGGACATAAGTTGTGCGAATAGTTATATCAGACCTGGTTGAAAAATTGTGGGAATAGTTCTGTTAAACATGTGCCAATAAATTATGTTAACAGTTATATCATACCCTGGCCCTATGAGGTGGAGTTAAACCTACCTGACCCTATGAGGTGGAGTTAAACCTACCTAACCCTGTGAGGTGGAGCTAAACCTACCTGACCCTATGAGGTGGAGTTAAACCTACCTGACCCTGTGAGGTGGAGCTAAACCTACCTGAAACTATGAGGTGGAGTTAAACCTACCTGACCCTATGAGGTGGAGTTAAACCTACCTGACCCTATGAGGTGGAGTTAAACCTACCTAACCCTGTGAGGTGGAGCTAAACCTACCTGACCCTATGAGGTGGAGTTAAACCTACCTGACCCTATGAGGTGGAGTTAAACCTACCTGACCATAGGAGGTGGAGTTAAACCTACCTGACCCTGACCCTATGAGGTGGAGCTAAACCTACCTGACCCTGTGAGGTGGAGCTAAACCTACCTGACCCTGTGAGGTGGAGTTAAACCTACCTGACCCTATGAGGTGGAGTTAAACCTACCTGACCCTATGAGGTGGAGCTAAACCTACCTGACCCTATGAGGTTGAGTTAAACCTACCTAACCCTATGAGGTGGAGTTAAACCTACCTGACCCTATGAGGTGGAGTTAAACCTACCTGACCCTATGAGGTGGAGTTAAACCTACCTGACCCTATGAGGTGGTGTTAAACCTACCTGACCCTGACCCTATGAGGTGGAGCTAAACCTACCTGACCCTATGAGGTGGAGCTAAACCTACCTGACCCTATGAGGTGGAGCTAAACCTACCTGACCCTGACCCTATGAGGTGGAGCTAAACCTACCTGACCCTATGAGGTGGAGTTAAACCTACTTGACCCTATGAGGTGGAGTTAAACCTACCTGACCCTGGCCCAGGGAGATGGAGTTGAACTTGTTCCCGCCAAACCCCTTGTCCTCTGCGTACTTGAGCAGGCTCATGGTGGGGTCCGCCCCGGGGGAGAGGATGAAAATGAGGGGGGTGCAGCAGTTGGAGTCCACATAGCTCTTGGCCAGATCAAATGGTGGTGGCTCCACAAACTTCTTGCCCAGCTTCTCCATGACAAATTCTGTGATGGCCAGCCCAATCTGAAAGAATTTCAAGTCAAAGATAGAATTTTTTTTTTAATTACAAAAATTCACTTTAATTAACAAGTTAAACTGAAAATATTTTTCTGTCCCCTGACAGGTAAAAAATGTCTCCCACCTCTTACAGGTAAAAAATGTCTCCCACCTCTTACAGGTAAAAAATGTCTCCATCCTCTTACAGGTAAAAAATGTCTCCCACCTCTTACAAGTAAAAAATGTCTCCCACCTCTTACAGGTAAAAAATGTCTCCCACCTCTTACAGGTAAAAAATGTCTCCCACCTCTTACAGGTAAAAAATGAATCACTCCATTCTCACCTTATCTGCCCTGATGGTCCTCAACAAAATCATTTTCTGGAAGTCGTTTAGTTTTGTGTTCCAAGGCTCGGGTAACTCTACCTTGTGTGGCTCTTTTTCATTGTAGTAGTCTGCCCATTTGCTGATATTTTTTGCAAAGTCCTCCCTAAAAAATTGATGAATTTATTTTTACCTATAAAAACTACTCCTGTTGAAACAATTTTTAAAAAAATTGTCCTTTGATCTATAAATCTAACCTGAAGCCTTTAAAGTTTTTGAGGTCACTCATCCTGCAGATTTCATCCCAAGATTTGTCTATGAGCCAGGTAGGAGCAGGGTTTGCCAGTTTGTTTTCCAGACCAATTCCACCAGTCAAGAAAAACATGTACTCCTCCAGGTTCAACTCTTTTTTAGCTCTAAAAGTTGAAAACATGCAGCAATCAGAAATCTGCATTTACTTAGGTCATGTGAAATCATTTTAAATATTTTTAATGTTGATAAAATACAGGCATATATGTATTTAAATATTTTTTACATTAAAGATTCAATTATTTGCTTAAAATTTTATCTTAAAATAAATTACCAGGTTTAAATTTAAATTTATTTAAAATAATTTTACTAAAATGTCAACATACATTATAAATCATGCAACAATATTAATATTATTAATTATTAATTTATAAACTCTACTCTATCAAATAGTGAAGTCATCTAAAGTTAAATGTGAAATTCTATCTTAAAGAACTAAGTGCAGTTATAATTTTAATGTAAACAGAAGTCAAATGCAAACAGTAAGAAACAGCAAACAATTTTTTTTTCAATTTGGCAATGCAGTCCAAACCAAAATCTGGGAGGTGAATGCAGTAATCTGAAAACACAAGTGTTAAAGTGAAACTAGCCAAACCTGTGGGAGTTCTTCCCTGTGGGAGTTAGAAGTTATTTATAGCAGGTGTAAAGGCATTTGTTAAAACATGCAGTTTATTGCTAATCGCAGAACAAATTAAACATGTTCATATGCTCTATTTATTTTTTATTTATAAGATATTTTAAAGATTTTTCAACATAAATTAATGAGCAGAAAACTAATTAGGCTACATTTAATTTTGTGAATGTCAATGTTTCTGCTTTGACAATAAACTGCAGTTACAAAACATTTCTGCTCTAAATTTCCACCAATCATTTTAGCAAAGCTTTATTTTAATTCACACAAAAGAGGAATAACACACACAACTTTTTAGTGATGTAAATCTTTTTTTTAAAGATAATTATCATTCTAGTCTAATCTAGTTAATTAATTAGTCAAGAAAACAATAGTTTTAGTCTAATGATCACTCATTGACACCCAGAACACACAATACACAGCAAGCAGGGTCAAGGTCACTCAGTGAAAGCTAAACTTTCAGTGAAAAAAGAGTTCCATCCAAGCATTAATTAGCTTACAGCTACTTTTGAAAATATAAAGTTCTTAAATGTTTCATGAAACATGTTTAACTGTTTTAATTTATTGATTTTGAAAAAAAATATTTTAATCTTAAGTATAAATACAGATAATTTGAAGAAAAGACTGAATGAAATTGAAATGAGCACATTAGTTATTAACGTCAGGATTCTTTTTTCACTGATGCAAGGATGTTCTAGGTTTGAGGTGGCCAGCTATACTTACAACAAGATGTTTGTACAGAGAATAAACGAGAACAACAACTTGTCCTTCTCAAAGAGAGAACGACAAACATTACAATAGAGGTTGTAGGTGAAGTGGTCGGACAGGTAGCGTAGTCGCTTCTCCACAATTTTGGATTTGTTGCTGGGAAATTACAACAGGAAACAAGGATTAAATTAGGGCAGGGAACAAAATAAATCAGGACGCAGTTAGAGGATGAGTGGAGCTGGTTTCACTTGCTGCTGGGTCAACCTGTGGACAGCAAACATTACACAAGGGGGGGGGGGGGGGGCTACTGTACTGACAAATACGGAGCTGTGGATAAAAAGTCAAGACATTGAAGGCATGTGGTCTATGACTTACAACTGCATGTTGGCACACAGGATAAACGAGAAGACAAGTTTGTGCTTGGCCAGGAGAGACCGCGCCACGTTGTCGTACAGCTGCAACGTGAAATGATCGCTCAGGTAGCGCAGGCGGCGCTCAATTATTTTTGACTTATTGCTGGAATATAATGGCACCTGGTTAAAACATATCATTAGATGGTGTACACACCATGTTAAATTTTTTAATTTTTTTCAGTAAGCATTATTTTTATTAAAATAAAGAAGGATATTTTTATAAAACATTAAAATTTAGCAGAATATTGTTTTCCTGAAGACATTAAAAATGAGCTTTCTTTTTTATAGGCTAACTACAACTAACTAGTAGACTGAACTTACTGTAACCCATGGAATCCATTTCATTAAAATTTATTTTAATTTTAGCTTAAATTTTAAAACTGATTTTAGCTCAGCTATCAACTGAGATTTATTTCCTTATAGCAGTGCTGAAAAAGTCATGATAATTATACAAAAAGGAATTTTAAAATGACAGAAGAAAAATGAAATCAATGTCTCGAGCACTTGTCAAAGTTGTAACACTTGAAGCTAAAGGAGAATCTGGTGCAGAGCTTGGTGTCACTGGTGTCACCATGGGAGGTGTCACCACCCCATCCCACACCATCACACCCCACACCATCACACCCCACACCATCACACCCCACACCACCACAATATGAATTCATCATTTAACACTTGATGAGCTCACCCAGCTCCCATTTAGGAAAGACATCTGAGCATGGTGCCATGTGCAAGAAACAGACTCTAACTCTACTTCACCTTTCCATGGACTACCAAGTGTGCTTAAAGGAACCAGCTGAACTTTATTCTAGTTAACCACACTATCTCTTCATATGCTGATGTCACAGAAACAAGTGAACTCTACTTCACTTGCCCTATAGACCGTCAGGTTTAAAAAAGGGAACTTTACTTTTCTTCATACAAAAAGTTAAAAAAATGTCCAGACAAGAAAAAGGAGAGTTACCTGTCCTGGATGCTCATGATGAACAGGTTGACAAACCAGGTGAGTGAGTACTGGTACATGGGGTCAATATTGGGCAGGTCAGTGATGGAGAAAAACAAGGTCGACGAGTGCTTGGCTATTGGCCTGTAGCCAATTCGGGAGGCTTCAATTTTTTTCTCAGTTTCTTCAGCCACCTGCAGTCAAAGGAGTCAGGACAGTTAGACAGCTAGATGATGTGTTGTCAGGACAGCTAGACTTTACATGTGTAATGGTCAGACAGCTACACCTTACATGTGTAATGGTCAGACAGCTACATCTTACATGTGTAATGGTCAGACAGCTACACCTTACATGTGTAATGGTCAGACAGCTACACCTTACATGTGTAATGGTCAGACAGCTACATCTTACATGTGTAATGGTCAGACAGCTACACCTTACACGTGTAATGGTCAGACAGCTACACCTTACATGTGTAATGAGCCCAACAAACAAGTGCTCACCTTCTGTTTTTTAGAGATCTCGTCAGACAAGACTTTGGATGAGTCCAGCACCTGTATAGCCTGCTCGTCTTCCAGAATGTTCCCCTCCGAGGCAGAGAGTGTGTGTAGGATTTTATCTTCAATCTCCTTCAGCTGCTTCTTGTTGGTGGCGCTGGTCACAATCAGGGCCTGACGCTCTTCTTCTAGCTCTGGCCTGCGGACACACAAGTTCAGGGGTCAGAGGGGGGTGGGACAGAAGGGCAAGAGTAGGACTCACCAGAACCCGTTTGTTGAGCAATTTTTTTTGTCAACAGATTTTTTAAAATCCCAAAACTAAAGCCTGGGTTGTGGTATACGCAATCAAAAACCAAATTTATAAAACTGAATCTGAAATTCTGTCAAACACTAATCAAATATTTAATGGCATCAACCAAAGTAACTCTCAAACTGGACATTAATTTTAAAATTGTGGGGTAATAATATCTTGGGGTTTTTTTTAGGTGAGGGGGGGGGGGGGAAGGGGGGGGAGGGTTTTGCAGAGGGTTGTGACTATTTAACATATTGGACATATTTGTTGTTATATTAATTTTTCTAGCATATTTCTTATTTGATCTGTTTTACTTGCCATGCTTCATTAAATTCACTGCTCTAAATCTCACCAAAATTCTACCATATTTTGTAATCCCTAACACTACTGCATGAAACACTAAGTAAAATTTAAAACCATGTAAAAGAAATGTCTGAGAGTTACCTCTCCTTGGCTACCACAATGCCCAGCAGCTGATCCTCCAGGCCCTCTGGTGTGATCATGAAGTTGAGCAGCGACACCTTGGTGGACAGCTCGGGCAGGTAGTGAGGGTTGCGCAGCTTGGTGGTGATGTAGAACCTGAAGTCCTGGCTATACTCTATGATGTTGTCACCCAGGCGGATCATCTCCACGCCAGCTGGTGGCACAATTGTTTTTTATGTTACTTGGTGTTGTTTTAGTTTTTAAAGGGGTTACTTTAGGTAGTTTTATTTTTTGGGGGTTACGTTAAGCAGTTTGATTTTTTGGGGAGTTACTTTAGGTAGTTTTATCTTTATATCATTAAAAAGGTTACATCAGGTAGTTAGATTTTTTGGGGAGTTCTGTAGGGCAGATAGTCATCTGTTTGTTGACCTCGGCATTAGAATGGATGGTGTGGTCAGCACTATGGCCAGCTGTCTTTACTTTCCCTAACGTGAATCAGACCAATCAGAGCCAGGTGGACTCAACATTCTACAGATCTTAGCTCTGAACTCAAGTCACTCAAGCTAGCAGTTCAGCGCTCTACCATCTGACCACCTCATCTGCTGGTGGTGTTGGGTGCTAGGGGCACTGTGAGGGTCAAGGGTAATATAGAGGTGGACTGAGAGGTGGGCTGAGAGGTGGGCTGAGAGGTGGGCTGAGAGGTGGGCTGAGAGGTGGGCAGAGAGGTGGGCAGAGAGGTGGGCTGAGAGGTGGGCTGAGAGGTGGGCAGAGAGGTGGGCAGAGAGGTGGGCAGAGAGGTGGGCAGAGAGGTGGGCTGAGAGGTGGGCTGAGAGGTGGGCAGAGAGGTGGGCTGAGAGGTGGGCTGAGAGGTGGGCTGAGAGGTGCCAGCAGTATCTAGTTCAACAAGCTGACATGTGACTGGCATGTGGGTCAAATAGAAAACACCTGCTTCAACCTTTGACCCTGGATGAGAAAACCAACCCATGTAAAGTCAGTGTGTGGTAACAGCCACACACCTTGTGATGTGTGGTAACAGCCACATGTCTTTTGCTCAATATCAGAATTTGACATGCACAAAATGTATTATAAATAGTTCTCTGATACACAACCAATGGATGTTTTGTTTTGTCACAATTGAGTTCAAGTTTTTGATGTGTTCAGCCGGGGATACAAGGAAACATTTCAAGGACACAATATGGGACATTACGCTAAGATTCCCACTAGGACTAAAGATAAAAAGTGAAGTGGACAAGTCCACATACAAATTTACGTGTGAAAACAATTTGTAAAGTTGAAAAATTGCAAATATTAATATTATAAAATGTGAAAAAAAATATTAAAGAAAAATTGAATTGGATTTTTCTTCTGGAAATATTTCTTTAAGTTTGTGATAGATTTGAAGTTTGGTGCAGGTTTTGATATCAAGCAACCAAAACTGAATGACAGTGAGATCAAACAAAATGTGATAACAAAATGTATGTGACATCAGTGACATGTGACATCCTGACATGTGACAGGACAGGTGCTAACAATGACATCTGCTTGTCACAATAAACTCACCCGAGCCTGGTCGATCTTTCATAACTTGTTAGCAATATCAAAATTAATTAGGTCAAACATTAAGATATTTCAAATGTGACCTCTTCATTTATCAAAAATGTAACAATCATAAACAATAAAAACCATGCTATTATTCCATGCAAAGTGAAACCATTCTTTAAGAAAGAAGAGTTAGACCACACCCAGGTACACAAAACTGAATCACCATGGCTACCAACAGGAAACAAGATGGTGGAACAGCTTTAGTCCCAAGAGCCAGTAACTCTGGCCAGTCTGGTCTAACTCTTCACTACAAAAGTTTAACTGACACTTCTGTGTCTAACATTCTGTAATCTCATGCAAGTCAACGTTTTTACTGACTGGATCTAGGACATGCAAAGTGAAAAAGTATCTTAAAAGTTGGGGCAGGAAGATATCTGTCCAGTGACCCGACCCATTCCCAACTTATGAAAGAACTCTCAAATGTTTTCAACTTTTAAAAACCAGATTTCTCATGAAGTTTGGGTGTAAATCTTGAAGTCAGTAAAATGATTCAAGAACTGGCTGACAGTACTGGGGTTCTAGTAAGGGTCTGGTACTGATCTAGGGGGTTTAAGTGAGGGGTCAGGCTATACTGACCTAGGGGTCAGGCTATACTGACCTAGGGGTCATCTTGTACTGACCTTGTTTAAATGTTTGTTTGAGCAGCAGAGGTTCCAGGGAGGGGTCGAGCTCCTCCCCCACGTTCTCCAACAGCAGGGGGTTGCCAAACGTGACGCAGTTCTCCAGTGTGCGCATGTAGTCAGCGTCAGACAGCTTGATGACTGACAGCGTGTTGTCTTTCTCCGAGTTCTTCACCCAGCGGTTGGCCTGACCCTGGGGGTCAATCATCAGGGGCCTGGAGAGATGAAGTCATATGACATGGTGAGATGAAGTCACATGACATGGAGAGATGAAGTCATATGACATGGAGAGATGAAGTCACATGACATGGAGAGATGAAGTCACATGACATGGAGAGATGAAGTCATATGACATGGTGAGATGAAGTCATATGACATGTAGAGATGATGTCATATGACATGGAGAGATGAAGTCACATGACATGGAGAGATGAAGTCACATGACATGAAGAGAAGATGTCACATGACATGGAGAGATGAAGTCATATGACATTAGACCAATCAAAACAGAGCTAAGAAACATTTCATTAGATTAAATATAATTGGATCATACAGGAAAATATGATCCACACATGGTCACTTACCACTTCCCACCTTCCACACATGGTCACTTACCACTTACCACCTTCCACACATGGTCACTTACCACTTACCACCTTCCACACATGGTCACTTACCACTTCCCACCTTCCACACATGGTCACTTACCACTTACCACCTTCCACACATGGTCACTTACCACCTTCCACACATGGTCACTTACCACTTACCACCTTCCACACATGGTCACTTACCACTTACCACCTTCCACACATGGTCACTTACCACTTCCCACCTTCCACACATGGTCACTTACCACTTACCACCTTCCACACATGGTCACTTACCACTTACCACCTTCCACACATGGTCACTTCCCACCTTCAACACATGGTCACTTACCACCTTCTGGAGTTAGCCACAATGACCCCGTTGTCCACAGAGAAGCTGTCTTTGGGTAGACCAGCGATGTTCCAGGCCTGAATTTTGATTGGCTCACCCAACGTCTTGCTCAAGGAAAACTCAACGGAGCAGGGAATTTTCTTGGACTGCGGCAGAAAAAAATGTCATGCAACAAATATTTTTTAAATCTGTTAGAAGGTTGCTCTGTTAAATAAACCACCACCAGCCTACAGTAGTTGGCTGTTAATGGAGAGCACACAGAGAAACTTTGGATGACCCTGGAGACTCGCTATTACACCATTAAATATTGAATAGGAGAAGGCAGCACCCCGTGGGTCAGACAAACTATTCTCCACCCTAACCTTAACCAAGTGACTTCATGACAAACAAAAAATGATTTTTTTCAACTAGAGAAAATCATGTTTGACTTGCCGTGTTGACTCGAGTCAGCAAAAAACACAAAAATATCCTCCAGCGATACTTTTCTCATACCCTTTTTATTCACAACTCACCACACACTAGACTTCAACCCGTCTACCTTCACACATCTTTCCTGCCAACATACTCCATACACAAGTTTTACTACACTGGTATCTTGAACCCACCTGACACAACTTGATCCACCTGGAGGTCTCAGAGTCCCTGAATGAACGTGTGAAGGGGCCCAGGTAGGCGATGACGCCGGCGGAGATGAGGACGTCACCCATCAGGTTGTCGTAGATGCTCTGTAGCTCGGCCGCGGCGTTGGTCCACCGCTCCTTCTCCCCACCCAGGCCACCAATCAGCTTCTCCGCCCTGACCAGCTTCTTGCCACACAGGTCAACCTGGTAGTGTCACATGATGTCATGACAGTGGTCTGACAAATGTCACATGATGTCATGACAGTGGTCTGACAAATGTCACATGATGTCATGACAGTGGTCTGACAAATGTCACATGATGTCATGACAGTGGTCTGACAAATGTCACATGATGTCATGACAGTGGTCTGACAAATGTCACATGATGTCATGACAGTGGTCTGACAAATGTCACATGATGTCATGACAATTGGTCTGACAAATTTCACATGATGTCATGACAATTGGTCCCAGTCAAAAAACTGTTATAAGGATACACCAACATGATTTGTGTTTAACTAACATTACTCACAATTTTTATATAGCTTTATGCAAATCCGTCTCAGTTAGTCAAGTTTTACCTGAAACTTGTCATGTCTTTACCTGAAACTTGTCATCTCTTTACCTGAAACTTGTCAACTGTTTACCTGAAACTTGTCATGTCTTTACCTGAAACTCTAGCTGTTGCTTCTTGTCTGTCATCTCCTTGAACGTGTTCTTCAAATCCTCCAGCTTCTTCTGTACAGCGGCCAGCTCTGCCCTCTTGGCGTTCAGGTTCTCCATCATTTTACCCAGCTCGGCCTCGGCCTCTCTCAGCTTCTCCTTCTTGGGGGCCACCACCTTGGCCACCCTGTCGTAGACCTCCAGGGCCAAAATCCATTTACACAGACCTGAAAGTTTTTATATACCACTATACATTCTGTATCCAACAGAGAAATAACTCAGCTAGCCACAAATAAAAAGACAGTCCTACCTTGAGCAGCCGAGGAAGCAACCTACCTTCAACAGCTGAAGAAGCAACCTACTTTCAACAGCTGAAGAAGCAACCTACCTTCAACAGCTGAAGAAGCAACCTACCTTCAACAGCTGAAGAAGCAACCTACCTTCAGCAGCCGAGGAAGCGTTGGCCACAATCTCTGGCTTGAACATGGGGTTGGTGATGTATTCCTCCCTGATCTTCTTCATGATGCTGACTGCGATGTTGTCCTTGTCATACTCCAGCAGGCCTTGCAGGAAGTTCATGTCACCCAGGAGCTTTTTGCTGGGACCCCAGAAGTCATTCATCTGGGCAGAGATACAACCATACAGTTTTTTTACTGGGACCCCAGAAGTCATTCATCTGGATAGAGATACAGCCATACAAGTTGAAGACATGAGAACTAATACCCACTAAACAGAAGCCTGTTATAAAAATGCCAGACCCAAATGGTAAATATCCTCTTTAGACAATGACCCCTCAATCACTCCACTAAACAAAGACCCCAATTGACAAGGACCCCACTAGAGAATGACCACGCTAGCCAATGACCCCCACTATCATTCATGAAACAATAACCCTGCAAGACAATGACCCCAATAGTTTATAACCCCCATAAGACAATGGACAAACTAAAATATGACCCCACAAGACACTGACCCCACATGACCCACCTTCTGACCCGGCTTGTCTGGGTTGTTGACCTTCTCTGGTTTGATGTCCTTCATGACGCACACGGCTGCCATGACCAGCCTGACCCCCGCGGGTGGGTTGTTCATAGACTTGACGATGGTGATGTCTGCAGGCTAGAAGGGGCAAAGGTCAAGTGGATGTTAGGGTACGGACAACGTGAAAAATATTATTGGGTAAACAAGAAAATATTTTTTGTAGTTTCCCTTTTTAAAAGATCTTCCATTATTTGTTGTTATAAAGAAATGTAATTCTCTGCTGTAATTTCAAACGTGACCCGCTTGACCCTGACCTTGAGAGTGTTAAGTGCAGCTATAGCCATCTCCAGGGCTGGTATAGCTTCAGCCAGCTGGGCCTCGCAGTCATCCTTCAGGGCCTGGGCCTGCGATGCGCTTTCATTGGCAACAGCTTCATCGGCCTTGACCTTCTCTGTGGTCTTCTCTACGTCTGCTGAGTCGACCTCGATGACCTTCAACATCTTCTCATTCTCGGCTGCAGACACGACCAGCTGTGGCTGGAGCTCTTCCAGCTCTTTCTGCATGGTGGCCACCTGTGGGGGGGGGGGGGATCAAAGGTAGTGAATCTAAACAAACTTTTGGTGGGCCACCTGCAAGGGTGGAGGGTGGGGTAAGGCTTGAGAGTCTAAACAAATTTATATTGATCCAATTTCACTTCTAGGGACCATGTGGCCTACTGATAGAATGCTAGAATGCTAACCCAAAGTATTGAGTTCAAATCCAAGTTTTAAGCAACTGACCTATCAAACAACTGACCTATCAAACAACTGACCTATCAAACAACTGACTTATCAAACAACTGACCTATCAAACAACTGACCTATCAAACAACTGACCTATCAAACAACTGACCTATCAAACAACTGACTTATCAAACAACTGACCTATCAAACAACTGACCTATCAAACAACTGACCAATCAAACAACTGACCTATCAAACAACTGACCAATCAAACAACTGACCTATCAAACAACTGACCTATCAAACAACTGACTTATCAAACAACTGACCTATCAAACAACTGACCTATCAAACAACTGACCTATCAAACAACTGACCTATCAAACAACTGACCTATCAAACAACTGACCTATCAAACAACTGACCTATCAAACAACTGACCTATCAAACAACTGACCTATCAAACAACTGACCAATCAAACAACTGACCTATCAAACAACTGACCAATCAAACAACTGACCTATCAAACAACTGACCAATCAAACAACTGACCAATCAAACAACTGACCTGTGACGCAGCAAAAGCCAGTTTTTCCAGCCCAACCAGGTAACGCCTCTTAGCCTTCATGGTCTCGTCTTGTTTCTTCTGTAGAAGGTTCTTGAAGGAGTTGATCAGCTCCAGATATGAGGTTGGTGTCACGTAGTTGTGACGACCTAGTTCTTGAAGGAATCTGCACAGTCAAAAATATTTGATCACAAACTGAACTTCAAATGTAAATTTAGCTTTATTACGAAATTTATTTTGAGTTCGATTTTTATAGCTAATTTTTAGTATTTTTGTATTATTTCACTTCCCACCTTATTTTTTTATTAGAGTAACATTTTATATTTATTTTTATTTATATTTGAATTGATCATTTAAAGTTTATTAACAACATAAAAAATATTTTAGAAAAAAAAATGATGTAGTCTTTAAACAGAAAAAATTATTAAAATTATTTTCAGTATGATTTACGGTTGTTTAAAATTTCTTGACATTTCTCTACTGTGTCACTAGACTGGTTGACCAGTGGTCAGCTGCAGGCCCTACCTCTCTGACAGTTCCCTGACGCTCTGATGAAAAGATTTACAGATGTTGACGACCTCGACCTTCTCCCTGTCCTCAATGTCGGCCTCTTCTAGAAACTTGTTGGCCACGCGCATCAGGGCGTCGTCTGGCCATGCCTAGAAAAACATTTTTTAATTTCTTTTTTTAATAAGGATTTTTTTTTTAATTTTAAAATATCCCCATTATTAATAATAGTAGGCATTTCCATGATTTTAAGTATTTTAATAAAATGTCTCCTAATAAAAAATGTTCTTAAAAAAAAAATTTAAACATATCACAACAAACAAAAACAACTTAGAAAATAGCCCAAATAAATAAATGTGATAACAACCCAAGTAAAAAAAAATTTCAAAATAGCCCAACTATAAAAAGGTGTAAATAGCCCAACAAAAATTATCATTGACTGCCTACCTGGAACCAATCAATGGTGCAGCAATTAATTAGAGAAGGGAACTGACGCAGCCTGTTGCGGAAAGCGTCACCAATTGGGCTGAATGCGATGATGATGTGGAGGTTCTCTCGACAGCGGTTGACAAAAAAGGCAAAGAGAGCCAGGGGAGAGAAGTCAGCATTTTTGTTGCCAGCTTGGGCCACAGGTCTGACAGCCTACAACACACAAATACGTCAGTGGGGACTTGTTTGACACTTGAACCCAATTTAAATATAATTTATTTTTTAAGTCAATGTTATTTTTTTCTCATTAAAACCCAAATAAAGTTTTAAATCATCTGAAAAATCTATTTTATAAACATTTTCCCTATCTTATGTAAACTTTCATTTTCTTCCTGATTCTAACAAAGTAAAAAAATTTTAATGGTTGGAGCTGACAAATATCAGGAGACAGAAGGTGTGGAGTGGTCAGACAGCAGAGAGCAGGAAACAATTCTGGATGTCAATTTCTAAAAGATATTCCTTGAGTAGGGGAGACTTACAAGCTATGTACCAAAACATAGAATTATCATCCAAAAATTTTTTTAAAAAATCATCCAAAAAATCATCCAAAAAATCTTCTAAAAAAACCATCTAAAAATCCTCCTACCTCCATGATTTCAGCCTTTTCATCAGTGGCGAACAAGTTTGGGACCTCCCCAGTGTTGAGCAGGGAGTCAATGTCCTCCAGGAATGACTCTTGTTTGATCTGTGTGTCAGTGATCAGGAACACAGTTGTCTTCCCCTGCCCCCCAGCAGCATTCAGCACACTCTACACACAAGACATTATTTTAGACAGGTTCAGCCAATGTTTTTGTATGGCAACAATTAAATTTTTTAGACAGGCTCAACCAATGTTTTTGTATGGTAAAAATAAAATTCTTTTAGGCAGGTTCAACCAATGTTTTTGTTTGGTAACAATTAAATTTTTTAGACAGGCTCAACCAATGTTTTTGTATGGTAAAAATAAAATTCTTTTAGACAGGTTCAACCAATGTTTTTGTTTGGTAACAATTAAATTTTTTAGACAGGCTCAACCAATGTTTTTGTATGGTAAAAATAAAATTCTTTTAGGCAGGTTCAACCAATGTTTTTGTTTGGTAACAATTAAATTTTTTAGACAGGCTCAACCAATGTTTTTGTATGGTAAAAATAAAATTCTTTTAGGCAGGTTCAACCAATGTTTTTGTTTGGTAACAATTAAATTTTTTAGACAGGCTCAACCAATGTTTTTGTATGGTAAAAATAAAATTCTTTTAGGCAGGTTCAACTAATGTTTTTGTATGGTAACAATAAAATTCTTGGTCAAACCGTGCAGAGCATTTGTAATGTGTAAATAACACAATAAACAGTTTATAGTTTTTTAAAGCTAAACAAAAAAACATTGTATAGTTTTTCAAAGATAAAATAAGCAGCGTATAAAGATAAACAAGCAACAACCAGTTTATAAAGATAACAAAAAAAAACCAGTTTATAAAGATAACAATAAACAACCACTAAATAAAGCGAAACAAACAACTAGTTTATAAAGATGAATGAAAAACAACCACTAAATAAAAATAAACAAAAAACAACCAGTTTATGAAGATAACAAAAAACAACCAGTAAATAAAGCTAAACAAACAACCAGTTTATAAAGCTAAACAAACAACTAGTTTATAAAGATAAACAACAAACAACCAGTTTATAAAGATAACAAAAAACAACCAGTAAATAAAGCTAAACAAACAACCAGTTTATAAAGCTAAACAAACAACTAGTTTATAAAGATAAATAAAAAACAACGACTAAATAAAGCGAAACAAAACTTCTACCTTGACATCCTCTCTCCACTCGTTGGTGCCATAATTTTTAGAGATTTCTGGCTGGAACAGGTTGTGTCCAGCCATGGCCGTAGCCAGGCGGGTCAGTGACTGGCGGCCACTGCCACCCACACCCACCAGCATGCCATTACCTCCAGGCTGGCGCAAGATTCGACAGATACGGGACAGGTGTTCTAAAACATACCTGGGGAACAAAGAAAAACTTGGAATAAAAGTAAAGGTTCAAACTGTTTCAATTGAAATTACAAAAAAAAAATGTTAAATAAAAAATAAAAATTTAATTTAAAAATTAAATTGTAATAGTTATGGACAACCTAACATTTCAATATGTATGAGATTAATCTCTAGATGACCATACAGTACCTGAAAATGACCATACAGTACCTGAAGATGACCATACAGTACCTGAAGAGGACCATATAGTACCTGAAAATGACCATACGGTACCTGAAAATGACCATACAGTACCTGAAGATGACCATACAGTACCTAAAATGACCATACAGTACCTGAAAATGACCATTATGACCATACAGTACCTGAAGATGACCATACAGTACCTGAAGATGACCATACAGTACCTGAAAATGACCAGGTTCATGGCGTTCTTGTGTGTGTTGTTGTATTCCTCTAGGCAGACGGAGACCACGTTGTAGAACTCATCCAGTGACCCGACCTCCTTATAGACCCGGTCCTCTGGCATGGCGTCTGTGTCCATGTAGTCCCCAAACATCAAGCTGCGCAGGTCTTCCTCTTGTACCTATGTCAAGGTCAAGGTGTTGTTTCTTGAGACAACTCATTACCTCATTGGTTTTGTTCAATAATTGCCTCCATAATATATTAGATTTTATTTATTAATTGCTAATTGTTTTAGTGATTTTGATGTATTTTTTAATGTTTTTTAATTGAAAACTGTTAGGTAGTTTTAATTCATTAAAAATGTAACTGTTTACTTTGTTTTAGTTTGTTAACATAATGTATTGTTTAATGGGGTTTTAAAAAAACAAAATTTTGTGTTGCAGGTAAATATGAAACAAATACAATGATTCCTAGTTTTACAATACCCCACCTTGCCACCTTGTCCACCATTGGTCAGGTTGACAAACAAGCCGTCCATATTTTCCTTGAATTGGTCTTTAAGAAGGCCAGCCACAGTTCTACAAGGGCAGAACAATAATATAAATCATTAAAGTCTACTTGCCAGATAAACAAGTCTAATTAAAATCTCATTTAACACTTAAAGCAACTGGTTTTATAAAACAATGACAAGAAATGGGCATGTTCCAACTTATATCAGTTTTAAAAAGAAGCTCCAGATAAATTTTGTGTCAGTTCAAATAATTGTACAGAAACCAGCATCAACGACTTACTGGAAAAGCCAGGCTCTGTCAGCATCATCGACCAAACGATCATAGAACACCCTCATCACTTCATGGACCCACAATCTGCTCATGTAAAAATATATGTGAGGCATGGAACAAATATCGACTTAATCATCTTATACATTTTTAAAAATTTAATCACTTTTGTTAAAATATGAAATATTTCAAATTAATTAAAACAGTAAAGTTCAAACACAAAGAGAGTAAAGAGTACCATATTCTTATCAGTAATATCAGTGTAATTAAATACAGTAAAAAGTACTCCATACTTATCAATGTTATTGAATGTAAATAAAGTAAAAAGTACTCCATACTTATCAATGTTATTGAATGTAAATAAAGTAAAAAGTACTCCATACTTATCAATGTTATTGAATGTAAATAAAGTAAAAAGTACTCCACTCTTATCAATGTAATTAAATAAAGTAAAAAGTAGTCCATACTGATCAATGCTATGGAATGTAAATAAAGTAAAAAGTAGTCCATAAACGTACTTGATCAAAGTTTTCTTGTCTTGGACCTGGTCCTTCTTGATGAGGCAGACCCCGAGTATGACACGAGAGAAGTCCCTGAGGTTGAAGATGTAGTGCGACTTGGCTGGGGTGGGCAGAAGGTTCTTCATGGCTTCTTTGTACATCTCCATTGTTGCATTGACAATTGTTGTGCCAACACCAAAGTAGTCGGATGAGAATTCTTGTTGCTGCGTGATGATAGGTACATACAACATACTCTTGCTGATCCAACAAACTAATCCAACAATCTAATTGATACCACATGCAACATACAACATACTCTTGCTGATCCAACAAACTAATCCAACAATCTAATTGATACCACATGCAACATGTGCTAGCTGAACAGTACAAATCGATATCAGCTGACAACCAGTGTTGAATGAATGTGACAGTCAACCTGCGGTAATTAGGCTAATGTTTTACTGGAGGTTAACTTGTTAGTTAACATGTGGTAGTTAGACAAATATTAAGTTACTTGAGACACACATGTAACCTGCGGTAGTTGGACTAATATTACAGTTACATAAGACACACATGTAACCTGCGGTAGTTGGACTAATGTTACAGTTACATAAGACACACAGGTAACCTGCGGTAGTTGGACTAATGTTACAGTTACTTGAGACACACATGTAACCTGCGGTAGCTGGACTAACCCTGAGATATGTGCTGATGAGTGTGTTGAAGATCTTGGTCATGGACTCATCATTGAAAGGATTCATGGATATGATGTTGAAGTGTCGCATGAAGCGCAGGGTGATGGTGTTACGACCACCGCCAGGAGGACCCATGGCGGTCAGGAACTGTATGTCCTGGAGGACAATCTTGCTTGTGTCCTTAAGGTCATACCTGAAGTCAAGCAAGAGAACTTTTACTTTATGTGAGGAGTTAGGCTGGGTGTTACCAAATATATCTGTAGGCTGTTACCAAACCACACATTAAAACAAACCTGATTGGGATGACTAGCCCTAATGGCAAATACTAACCCTTGTACAAGCCATAAACCTATTTTAGCATCAACGCTTTTCACAAATTGTCTAAAAGTTGTGGTTGTGATGGTTTGATTAAAAACTCAATCTTAAAGATAGTAGCCATTTTTTTTGCAGTAACCACCCTTTCTAACACCAGGTTATAAAAAGTGAATAAGTTTTCCAATATAAACTAAATGTTGTACTATTTATGAAGTTAGCTTTGAGCAATAAAACATGGACTGACCAGTTGCCGTGGTCAATAAACTGTCGCAGCAGCTCTATGGGGGGCTGGGCTCCGTACACCTCTTTAGCTGGCATGTTCAGGTCATCAACAAAGATGATGGCCTTCTTGCCCACCTGGGGCCCAAACACGCCCTTCCTGCGCTTGTCCAGCCTGGACATGATGATGTTCTGGCGACAAATTCACTCATTCAATAGTCACACTTTATCAGCAGTTTAAATTAGTAAGGTCATTAAATTAATCAATAATATTATAGTAAAATAATGGTATCAAACATTGCTTTTTTAAGATGAAATTATGTTTTTAAATGTATTAATGTTTTTAAATTTTATTTTTTGATACACATTTGATTCAAAATGTGGGTGTTTTAATAAACTTACCTGAGTCATATTTGCACTTGTCTGGGCAGAAAAATTGATGAAAGTGGCCAGGTACTTGTCCTGTGGGAGCTCATGCATCAGTTTCTGCTGCACGTACGCACTTTTTCCTGTGCCAGTTGGGCCAACTAGTAGCAGGGGTCTAGAGGTCAAAAGAAATAAACTCCAGCTTTATTACAAACTGTACTAGAACATTCCAGACACAAGAGTCTTGTCATCATTACTAGGTCAATGCACCACCTCCTTTGATTACAATAAATCTAATTAATTTTTCCAAGACAAAATCAAAAGAACAAACATGTCCTCCTCTCCTCAACTTTTGTGATCAATGCACAGGTCCATGATGAAGGTGTAACCCCCCCCCCAACCCCCCCCCCCCACACACACACACTCCCCACACCACCCACCTGTTGTGATGGATACACAGGTCCATGATGAAGGTGTAGCCCCCCTACCCCACCCCTTCCCCCTTCCCCCCACGCCCACCCCACCAACCACCCCCCACACACACATACACCCCACCCACCTGTTGTGATGGATACACAGTTCCATGATGGTGTAGCCTCCCCCCAACACTTCCCTCTCCCCCCCCCCCCCCACACACACCCACCCACCTGTTGTGATGGATACACAGGTCCATGATGAAGGTGTAAACCCCCTCCCCCACCACCCCCACACACTCCACCACCCCACACACACACTCCCCACACCACCCACCTGTTGTGATGGATACACAGGTCCATGATGAAGGTGTAGCGTGCGGTGTCCATGGTTGGGACCAGCATCTCACGGATCTTGGTTGTCTTGGGTTCAGATCCTCTCAGCAGAACATTCCAGTGGTTCCACTGACCTTTGGCCTTTTGCTGAGATAAACAAACAACAAACCATTTCATGTTGACCTACTCAAGGAGAGGGGGATGTTTGGAGTAATCAGACAAACAATAAACTATTTCAAGTTGTATTTCAATATTGTGTTATCAAAGGGCAGAGCACATGACTGCTAAGTGTCACTTAAAACTCATGCTCCTGAGTCAACCCAGCCCTAATGAGTACCTGACTTTAGTGCATGGAAACACAATCAAGTCATATGCTAGGGTTATAGAAACAGACTAAGAATATATATATATATATATATATATATATATATATATATATATATATATATATATATATATATATATATATATATATATATATATATATATATATATATATATATATATATATATATATATATATATATAGGCATATATATATATATATATATATTCAATTTGGATAGTTGTCCAGAATTCTTGATAAAGTTACTTGTAAATCAACTTATATAAGAATATAATTATTCCTTTCTTCTTTTCTTCTTCTTCTTCGTTCTTAATTTTTGAATATGGTGGAGGATTCAGACAACAAGTCCAACTTCGTGGACAAACCGGACTGTGGTCTCCAGTTTGTCAGGTGTCCCATATAATTTTTCCCTGAGTGGGGTGGGCTGGGGCCAGTGTCTGACTCTTGCCTGGCTATACAAAGTACATTCCTGGAGTACGTGCTCCGTGTTTTCCGGGGCCTTGCCACAAGGGCACATTTCGCTACACCCAACCTTCAGTTTTTTGTGCATGTGTTGATTTAGTCTGTTGTGGATTATTCCTTTCAAATAATTACAAATTTTAAAATCCTAAACCAAAAAGAGAAAAAAAATGTTGACTCTTTTTGTTTAATTATGTTTTTTTTTCACCTCAGCATTTGAAAAAATCTGGCAACAAACCTCATAATAATAGTCATAGACCGGGTGTTCAGCTGGGATCATCATCTCCACTTTACCAATCTCCTTGGGGATGGGGTGGGCTTCAAACTTGCCAGCCACCAGCTCACGGTAGAACGAGTCAAACTTGGTCCTGCTGTCCACATCAATACAACCCCCAATAGACCAGGGAATGGAAAACAAGACTGCAGCCTGTAAGGGAGGGGGGGGGGAACAAAAATTTAAATCAGATGGAATGTACACAAGCTAAAAATTTAAATATTAAGGAAAATTTGAACAGTAACATGTAAAAATTGAAATCTGGCTAGCAAAAATTTCTATAGCTTATCCAGTTAGGGTGATGTATGGCTAAGCTTATTGTAGGTCTACAGTTCTTTTATAGTCTCTAGCTTATTTAGTTATAGTGAGATATGGATAAGCTAAGTCTATCATTTTTTTAAATTCTTTAGTTGTTTTAGAAGTGTTGTGGTATGACTAAGCTAAGAAGATCAAAATAATTTTGAAGCTTATAAAACATTTTTTGGTTTAAATAAACTGCACTAAAAGATTAAAAAATGGATGTCGAGGCAACTTTTCTTGTAAAGTTTGAGAACTGCTGGAGAATCATGGACTCACTGAAAGCCATGTTTTTAAATGGCGGTTTTCAGCTGCATCTTCTGCTGATATCCCATCATACATGAGCATGTCAATCATGTACATGAGAGACTTGGTCTGATTGGCTGGGCTGCCTTGAACATATTCCTAAAAGTTCAAACAGGAAAACCTCATCACTAAACATAACAGCTCAGTTATTTTAAATTCATGTCAACAGAAGTTAAAAAAGTGTAACTTCCCTGTAACATTAAACAAAACAAAAAACCTGACCGACCTTGCAGTTTTTCCTGACAAAGTCCAGACAAGGGTCCACCAGCCACTCCAGCATGGCATGCAGCATCTCTATGGCGTCCTCACCCACAACTTTGGGGAACAGGTGCAGCCACGACTTGACCAGGGGGCGCCACCCCAGGGTCGTGGGTTCCAGGTACACCATACCACATCGGCTGACAGTGGCAGGCTGGACAGAGGAAATACAACAGGTGTAACAATAACATGATAACAACAACAGGTGTAACAATAACATTATAACAATAGATAGTAACTGGGTAGAGGAAATACAACAGATGTAACAATAACAGATGTAACAATAACATGATAACAACAACAGGTGTAACAATAACATGATAACAACAACAGGTGTAACAATAACATAATAACAAGGTAACATAATTTTATTTGTTTAACAGTGAAGAATACACTGACATTATGCCAGGATTTATTTTGCTGGACCAGTGAAGGGTTTACAGTAAAGTAAAATGGCCTGAGCTAGTTTGACTTTGGGAACAGTGCATAAAGTTTTAGTTTACCTGTCAGAACTTGTTTCAATATCTTAAAGGATACAATATCAACACATTTCTTAAACTATTATTTTTTTTATGTAGTAATTTATTTAAATGAAAAGAATGTATGACTAAAGCTAAAATGTACTGACAACAGGTCTAGATCTTCCTGTGGGTAATTTTTTTAATATGGGTAAAATTTACAGTAGACATTTAATGTCTCAACATTTCTGGATATCCTAACTTAGGAGTGACAACAAGGCAACCAGTATTACTATTAGTATCACCGTTCATGTGACCACTATCACAAGCACCACTATCAAACCCAATGTATCACCAGTCATGTGACCTCTAGTGTTCATGTACAACCACCACTAATATGAAACCCAATGTACCGAGGCCTGGGAGAGGTCCATTGTCTCAAAGATCAGCGACATGACAGTTGACATCTGTATGATCTCTCCACTCATCAGACAAAGTTTTTTGTTGTCGTCCAGCACCGTGTTCATGTTTTCTATCCACAGCGCGTCAATGGGGCCGTCAAATATCACCCACTTCCTGTCCGGCGTGTCGGTGGAGGCAAACTCTCGGAACGTGTTGGCCACAACTCCGTCTGTCCACTGTTAACACAAGGTCACATTTTGTTAACATCATCACACAAGGTCAAAAAATTGTTAACATAATCACACAAGGTCACATTTTTGTTACGATTAACATCATCACATTAGTTGTGTGGGATAAATAGGCACAGTGTGGGAAAAAACACCATAATTTTACATAGTCTCTGATCTTATAGAGTTATGGATAACATAAAGTTATAACAGTTTTGCTTGAATTTAATCAGAGTTGTTTTTAATTATAAGTAAGAGGTGAATAAAACTTGTTTACATTACATTGATTAAAAAAATTTGTCAACCTATAATAGACATAAGAGTAGGCTACAATAAAACTGCTAAAAATCTGGACGTCATAAAATAATTTCCAAAAGCAAACACGCTCTTACCTCATGTGAGACCTGGTCAAACTGCCCAAAGAGCTGACCCATGGTGATAGACTTGGGGTTAATGATCCTAGAGATGACCTTCTCATACTCCTCCTCCCCCTCATTACTCAGCAAGGTCATCCCCTCCTGTAGGGTCTCCAGGACCTTGGTCTTCCCTCCAAAAGGTTCACCAACAAGCATAAAACTGGGGAGGGGAGGCAAAAGGTTCACCAACAAGCATAAAACTGGGGAGGGGAGGCAAAAGGTTCACCAACAAGCATAAAACTGGGGAGGGGAGGCAAAAGGTTCACCAACAAGCATAAAACTGGGGAGGGGAGACAAAAGGTTCACCAACAAGCATAAAACTGGGGAGGGGAGATAATAGGTTCACCAACAAGCATAAAACTGGGGAGGGGAGACAAAAGGTTCACCAACAAGCATAAAACTGGGGAGATAAAAGGTTCACCAACAAGCATAAAACTGGGGAGGGGAGACAAAAGGTTCACCAACAAGCATAAAACTGGGGAGGGGAGATAATAGGTTCACCAACAAGCATAAAACTGGGGAGGGGAGGCAAAAGGTTCACCAACAAGCATAAAACTGGGGAGGGGAGGCAAAAGGTTCACCAACAAGCATAAAACTGGGGAGGGGAGGCAAAAGGTTCACCAACAAGCATAAAACTGGGGAGATAATAGGTTCACCAACAAGCATAAAACTGGGGAGGGGAGACAAAAGGTTCACCAACAAGCATAAAACTGGGGAGGGGAGACAAAAGGTTCACCAACAAGCATAAAACTGGGGAGGGGAGACAAAAGGTTCACCAACAAGCATAAAACTGGGGAGGGGAGACAAAAGGTTCACCAACAAGCATAAAACTGGGGAGGGGAGACAAAAGGTTCACCAACAAGCATAAAACTGGGGAGGGGAGACAAAAGGTTCACCAACAAGCATAAAACTGGGGAGGGGAGACAAAAGGTTCACCAACAAGCATAAAACTGGGGAGGGGAGATAAAAGGTTCACCAACAAGCATAAAACTGGGGAGGGGAGACAAAAGGTTCACCAACAAGCATAAAACTGGGGAGGGGAGACAAAAGGTTCACCAACAAGCATAAAACTGGGGAGGGGAGATAAAAGGTTCACCAACAAGCATAAAACTGGGGAGGGGAGATAAAAGGTTCACCAACAAGCATAAAACTGGGGAGGGGAGACAAAAGGTTCACCAACAAGCATAAAACTGGGGAGGGGAGACAAAAGGTTCACCAACAAGCATAAAACTGGGGAGGGGAGACAAAAGGTTCACCAACAAGCATAAAACTGGGGAGGGGAGACAAAAGGTTCACCAACAAGCATAAAACTGGGGAGGGGAGATAATAGGTTCACCAACAAGCATAAAACTGGGGAGGGGAGACAAAAGGTTCACCAACAAGCATAAAACTGGGGAGGGGAGATAATAGGTTCACCAACAAGCATAAAACTGGGGAGGGGAGACAAAAGGTTCACCAACAAGCATAAAACTGGGGAGGGGAGACAAAAGGTTCACCAACAAGCATAAAACTGGGGAGGGGAGACAAAAGGTTCACCAACAAGCATAAAACTGGGGAGGGGAGATAAAAGGTTCACCAACAAGCATAAAACTGGGGAGGGGAGATAAAAGGTTCACCAACAAGCATAAAACTGGGGAGGGGAGATAATAGGTTCACCAACAAGCATAAAACTGGGGAGGGGAGACAAAAGGTTCACCAACAAGCATAAAACTGGGGAGGGGAGATAATAGGTTCACCAACAAGCATAAAACTGGGGAGGGGAGACAAAAGGTTCACCAACAAGCATAAAACTGGGGAGGGGAGACAAAAGGTTCACCAACAAGCATAAAACTGGGGAGGGGAGACAAAAGGTTCACCAACAAGCATAAAACTGGGGAGGGGAGATAAAAGGTTCACCAACAAGCATAAAACTGGGGAGGGGAGATAAATCTTTTTTCAGGGAAACATAGGCAGGGGAGACAAACAGTCTTCAGTGAAACATTGGAAGGGGAGAAAAAACTCTTCAAATAAAAGTTGCAATTTTTAAACTAAAGATCGATATTAGTACTTTTTTGTGTAACATTTGTATAAATCACAACATATTGCCTATGTATACAAAAGTTGAAAAGATATTTTTTTAATAACTTTTCTATAAAGTGAACCAACAAAAATTGTTCTATAAAGTGATCCAACAAAAATTGTTCTATAAAGTGATCCAACAAAAATTGTTCTATAAAGTGAACCAACAAAAATTGTTCTATAAAGTGATCCAACAAAAATTGTTCTATAAAGTGATCCAACAAAAATTGTTCTATAAAGTGATCCAACAAAAATTGTTCTATAAAGTGATCCAACAAAAATTGTTCTATAAAGTGATCCAACAAAAATTGTTCTATAAAGTGAACCAACGTACCCGTGTCTGACTATCATCATCTCGTACGTCTGGATGATTTTCTCTTTGAAGAACTGGACAAACTGGAGGTTCTTCTGGTCTGAGACTCTGACCATGGCATCAAGGAACACCTGGGGGAGGGGGTGGGACATGCAACAGTTGTTTCAAATTTCAAAAAAAATATTTTATATTTTATATACAGATGTCTAATTTTATACCATTAAAGTAGGATCATAAAAACTATAAAAAATATAGACCTAAGCATGTTAGTTTTACCAGCCAAGCATTTTTTAAATACAAAAATGAACGGTAATAAGCTGTAAAGAAATCGGAAAATATTTAAATTTTTAAAAATTTGTTTCACAAAATTTGACATATTTTGCTAGATGACAGTTCTATAACAGAGGAATGACTGGGGTTCTACAGACCTTATAGTCTGCTTCAGGCAGCTGAAGCCCAGGAAACAGATCTGATATGATGCCAGTGAAGAGAGGGATGTCGTGGGACAAAAACTTGGGCAGGTTCACATCCATGATAGACCTCAACAGCTGGGGAGAGAAACATTTGGCATGCAGGAATAATTCTATTTGTTGCTTTTTACTAAAACTAAGTATTCTGAATAAAATAAATTATAGATTGAAACATCCTTGGCTGTCCCTTGTGACCCCACTGACTGGTTGCCCATGTGATCTAAGGACCAGTTGACCCTGGCAACCCCATTAACTCTAAGACCCCACAGACCGATGTGACCCCACTGAATCACTGACCCCTGTGAGCTCACTGACCCCTGTGAACAGTTGACTTATGTGATCCTTGTTGACCCCTGTGAGCCTACTGACCAGTTGACCCCTAAGACCCCACTTGACCCCTATGACCCCACTGACCAGTATATCCTCCGCCTCATCAGGGAACTTGAGCTTGAGATTGCCAGCAGCAGACAACACAGCCTTGACAGCTCTCATGCCATAGTCGTAGTGGAACTGTGAGGACAGCTGCTCAGAGCACAGCCTGTACGTGGTGACAATCTTCACGGCCAGACTTCTGGCGTCCAGGAACCCGTAGGAGTAGAGGGAGATCTCGGCAATCATGGCATAGTCAGGGACCTAAAACATCAGAAGGGGGGGGGGGGGGGAGATTTCAGAAAACATGGCATAGTAAAGGTTTTAAAAGTCCAAAATTTTAGTAACACAATTTTTTTTTTAAATGGAGAGCCAAAAACAACTTTAATAGCTAAAAAAGTTGGAACAATAAAATAAAATACAATTTTAATTAATAGTATGATTTATCTCAACTGAAAATTAACAAGACAAATTATACTTTTAATTTGCTATAATGTGACAACAATAATTAATTATTGTGCACTAATTAGTGTGGGAGTAAAATTACCATCATGGCGACCGTCCTGAAGAGAACTTTGAGATTATCTGGCAGCTCTGAGCGGCCAGCGTAGCCAGGATTCATCGTGATGCAGACGTAGCAGTTTGGGTTGAGGTTCAGCTCTGTGCCCTCAAACACAAACCTGTCCACGTGGGCTTGGACAGCTCGTATGATGCACAAAATCTAAGTCAGGTGAAAGATTTAACACAAAATCTAACAAGTCAAGTGAAAGATTTAACATACAAAATCTAACAAGTCAGGTGAAAGATTTAACAATAAAAAATTAGTTTGCACTTTTAAAAAATTAATATTTATGGTTGTTTTTTTAATTGGAAATTAAAATATCTAGGCCTATATAATATTTATTATTTTTTTTTAATTTGATATAATATTTTTTTTATTTTATTTTAAAATAAAAACTTTTCTATGAAGATGAAATCAAACAGACAGCAACAATCTCTCACCTGCTGGGCTACAACAGACAGCACCTCCAAGTCAATTCTGTTGAACTCATCAAAACAAGCCCAGGCACCAGCTGAAGCCAGACCTTTAAAAAACTGGATTCAAAGTCACAAAACAATTAGAATTACATAATACAACAGCTTGCATTAAAAATATTCCACCACTGTCAGTTTAATTTTGTAAGTGCAGAGAGTAACGCACCTTCCCCATAGCAATGTAGTCCAGACCATCGGAGCAGTTGAAGACCACACACTGGACGGCGATGGCTTTAGCCAGATCTTTTGTTGTTTCCGTCTTGCCAGTCCCTGCTGGACCCTCAGGGGCCCCGTTAAGGTTCAGATGGAAGGCACCAACCAGAGTCCTGGCCATGAGGAGATAACTCTGATCAGTTTTCTTTTATTAAACTTTCTAATCAAATATTTAATTTTTAACCACTAGGCTAGCTCTGTGTGCAGTACAGTCAGTCACTACCTTAAGCTTTAAATATAAGAGTGAGAGAGAGATTTTATCTTAAAAAACAGCATGTCAGTGACAGTATAGATGTTATGGTTGCAAACCTTACAAACAGTTCATATTAGGACAGCTACCTAGGGGGGGTCAGTAAATGACAAAACTACCTGAAGCATCTGTCAGTGACAAAATTACCTGTAGCATGTCAGTGACAAAACTACCTGTAGCATCTGTCAGTGACAAAATTACCTGTAGCATGTCAGTGACAAAACTACCTGTAACATCTGTCAGTGACAAAATTACCTGTAGCATGTCAGTGACAAAATTACCTGTAGCATGTCAGTGACAAAACTACCTGTAACATCTGTCAGTGACAAAACTACCATCTGTCAGTGACAAAACTACCATCTGTCAGTGACAAAACTACCTGTAACATCTGTCAGTGACAAAACTACCATCTGTCAGTGACAAAACTACCATCTGTCAGTGACAAAACTACCTGTGACATCTGTCAGTGACAAAACTACCTGTAACATCTGTCAGTGACAAAACTACCTGTGACATCTGTCAGTGACAAAACTACCATCTGTCAGTGACAAAACTACCATCTGTCAGTGACAAAACTACCTGTGACATCTGTCAGTGACAAAACTACCTGTAGCATCTGTCAGTGACAAAACTACCTGTACCATCTGTCAGTGACAAAACTACCATCTGTTAGTGAAAAAACTACCATCTGTCAGTGACAAAACTACCATCTGTCAGTGACAAAGTATCACCTGTCAGTGACAAAACTACCATCTGTCCGTGACAAAACTACCTGTGACATCTGTCAGTGACAAAACTACCTGTAGCATCTGTCAGTGACAAAACTACCTGTACCATCTGTCAGTGACAAAACTACCATCTGTTAGTGAAAAAACTACCATCTGTCAGTGACAAAACTACCATCTGTCAGTGACAAAGTACCACCTATCAGTGACAAAAGTACCTGTAGCATCTGTCAGTGAGTGGGGTGATGACCAGACGCCCTGAGTTGCCCAGGTACTCATTGCAGTACTTGACGGTGGCGTTGGTGATGCGCACCAACATCCTCGACTCCTCCCAGTAGTAGCGCAGCTGTGCCAGCCAGTTGAAGTCGTTCTCTGTGGCCACACCTGCACAACAACATTCAATACAACAGTTTCAGTTTTTAACCAATCTATTGTCCAGTTTGAGACATGCAATTTTTTATGAGCCGCAGCAAATTCTGTCTTCAAATATCCTGGCCAACTGTAGCCTCGAACTGCATGAAAATCTTTAATCAACAACCCAAAAAACTGTTCAAAGCTGGTGGAACTTAGAGGCTAGTAATTCAACTTGAGACCTACAAGAGGTCCCCAGAGAACTACAAAAGGTCCCAGAGAACTACAAAAGGTCCCCAGTCCTACAAGAGGTCCCCCAGAGACCTGCAAGAGGTCCCCAGAGACCTGCAAGAGGTCCCCAGAGACCTGCAAGAGGTCCCCCAGAGACCTGCAAGAGGTCCCCAAGAGACCTGCAAGAGGTCCCCAGAGACCTGCAAGAGGTCCCCAGAGACCTGCAAGAGGTCCCCAGAGACCTGCAAGAGGTCCCCCAGAGACCTGCAAGAGATCCCCAGAGACCTGCAAGAGGTCCCCCAGAGACCTGCAAGAGGTCCCCCAGAGACCTGCAAGAGGTCCCCCAGAGACCTGCAAGAGGTCCCCAGAGACCTGCAAGAGGTCCCCAGAGACCTGCAAGAGGTCCCCCAGAGACCTGCAAGAGGTCCCCAGAGACCTGCAAGAGGTCCCCAGAGATCTGCAAGAGGTCCCCAGAGACCTGCAAGAGGTCCCCAGAGACCTACAAGAGGTCCCCCAGAGACCTAAAAGAGGTCCCCAAGAGACCTGCAAGATGTCCCCAGAGACCTGCAAGAGGTCCCCAGAGACCTGCAAGAGGTCCCCAGAGAACTGCAAGAGGTCCCCAGAGACCTGCAAGAGGTCCCCCAGAGACCTAAAAGAGGTCCCCAAGAGACCTGCAAGAGGTCCCCAGAGACCTGCAAGAGGTCCCCAGAGACCTGCAAGAGGTCCCCCAGAGACCTGCAAGAGGTCCCCAGAGATCTGCAAGAGGTCCCCAGAGACCTGCAAGAGGTCCCCAGAGACCTGCAAGAGGTCCCCAGAGACCTGCAAGAGGTCCCCAGAGACCTGCAAGAGGTCCCCAGAGATCTGCAAGAGGTCCCCAGAGACCTGCAAGAGGTCCCCCAGAGACCTGCAAGAGGTCCCCAGAGACCTACAAGAGGTCCCCCCAGAGACCTAAAAGAGGTCCCCAAGAGACCTGCAAGATGTCCCCAGAGACCTGCAAGAGGTCCCCAGAGACCTGCAAGAGGTCCCCAGAGACCTACAAGAGGTCCCCAGAGACCTGCAAGAGGTCCCCAGAGACCTGCAAGAGGTCCCCAGAGACCTGCAAGAGGTCCCCAGAGACCTGCAAGAGGTCCCCAGAGATCTGCAAGAGGTCCCCAGAGACCTGCAAGAGGTCCCCCAGAGACCTGCAAGAGGTCCCCAGAGACCTACAAGAGGTCCCCCAGAGACCTAAAAGAGGTCCCCAAGAGACCTGCAAGATGTCCCCAGAGACCTGCAAGAGGTCCCCAGAGACCTGCAAGAGGTCCCCAGAGACCTACAAGAGGTCCCCAGAGACCTGCAAGAGGTCCCCCAGAGACCTAAAAGAGGTCCCCAAGAGACCTGCAAGAGGTCCCCAGAGACCTGCAAGAGGTCCCCAGAGACCTGCAAGAGGTTCCCAGAGACCTACAGAGGTCCCCCAGTGACCTACAAGAGGTCCCCAGTGAGGTCCCCCAGAGACCTACAGAGGTCCCCCAGTGACCTACAAGAGGTCCCCAGTTAGGTCCCCAGAGACCTACAGAGGTCCCCCAGTGACCTACAAGAGGTCCCCAGAGACCTACAAGAGGTCCCCAGAGACCTACAAGAGGTCCCCAGTTAGGTCCCCCAGAGACCTACAGAGGTCCCCCAGTGACCTACAAGAGGTCCCCAGTGACCTACAAGAGGTCCCCAGAGACCTGCAAGAGGTCCCCAGAGACCTGCAAGAGGTCCCCAGAGACCTGCAAGAGGTCCCCAGAGACCTGCAAGAGGTCCCCAGAGACCTGCAAGAGGTCCCCCAGAGACCTAAAAGAGGTCCCCCAGAGACCTGCAAGAGGTCCCCAGAGACCTGCAAGAGGTCCCCAGAGACCTGCAAGAGGTCCCCAGAGACCTGCAAGAGGTCCCCAGTGACCTACAAGAGGTCCCCAGAGACCTACAAGAGGTCCCCCAGAGACCTACAAGAGGTCCCCCAGAGACCTACAAGGTCCCCAGAGACCTACAAGAGGTCCCCCAGTGACCTACAAGAGGTCCCCAGTTAGGTCCCCAGAGACCTACAGAGGTCCCCCAGTGACCTACAAGAGGTCCCCAGAGACCTACAAGAGGTCCCCAGAGACCTACAAGAGGTCCCCAGTTAGGTCCCCAGAGACCTACAGAGGTCCCCCAGTGACCTACAAGAGGTCCCCAGTGACCTACAAGAGGTTCCAGTGACCTACAAGAGGTCCCCAGTGACCTACAAGAGGTCCCCAGAGACCTACAAGAGGTCCCCCAGAGACCTACAAGAGGTCCCCCAGAGACCTACAAGAGGTCCCCAGAGACCTACAAGAGGTCCCCAGTGACCTAGAAGATGGACACTGACCTTTGTCTGCCATCTCGAGGATGACATCTCTAGCATGGACGTCAATAGTGACCAGAGCGCCCAGCGTGATGCGTTGTTGTTTGGTCAACTTGCCTCGCACCAGGGCAACCAGTTCATTCATCTGTAAACAAATATCTATCAAAAACTGGCCACTTGTAAACAAACACCTTTCAATAACTGGCCACTTGGTTTTTACTAACACTACATTGTGTAAAGTATGCCCTTTAAACATGTCTTGATGGAAAGGTTAACAGTGGAAGGGTTAACAGTGGAAGGGTTAACAGTGGAAAGGTTAACAGTGGAAGGATTAACATTGAAAAGGTTAACAGACCAACAAAGAGTGCCAGACCTGTATCTTTTGCTTCTCGTAATATTCCCTCAGCCCCTGGGGTCCACCTGGGATGACCTCGTGAACTTCTCTTGTCCAGAAGGCCTAGCAAACACATTTTTAAAATACAAAAAATTAACGGTTACATTTTTTTTGTCGAGTTCATTAGCTTAGATTTATCCAATTACTTTATTTACATGTGTTCTCGTGTATACCATAATTAAATTGTTTCTTTACTGCTAGATCTACAACTGACCTGTGACACACACAACTGACCTGCGACACACACAACTCACCTGCGACACACACAACTCACCTGCGACACACACAACACCACCTGCCCCGGCCACACCTTCACCCATTCAGTACGTGGGGTCATTGGGTACGCCTAAAATAATTGGATATTATTATACATACATCAGATGACTTACATATTGAATACATAAAAATGATTTTTTAACTTTATTCATAAGACATGCTCAGTTGAAAACATCAACATTACAGTGAAGATATGGGATGATAAATTATCAACAACATGGTGAATATAAATGATGAAAAATATCAACATTACAGTGAAGATATGGGATGATAAATTATCAACAACATGGTGAATATAAATGATGAAAAATATCAACATTACAGTGAAGATATGGGATGATAAATTATCAACACCATGGTGAATATAAATGATGAAAAATATCAACATTACAGTGAAGATATGGGATGATAAATTATCAACAATATGGTGAATATAAAATGAAAAATATCAACATTACAGTGAAGATATGGGATAATAAACTATCAACAACATGGTGAATATAAATGATGAAAAATATCAACATTACAGTGAAGATATGGGATAATAAATTATCAACAACATGGTGAATATAAATGATGAAAAATATCAACATTTGTTGATGTCTGCTAGCTAACTACACTAGTTGCGTGCACTAAACACAACATCAAAAATGTTGTGCTCAAAACATTCTATGAAACATTTCAAATGTTCAAAAATAACTGAGTTAGGCTACATGTAAACTAACATACAGAAACTGAACAAAAGTTAACAAACAAGATTTTTGTACCACTTCTTCAGTGGGATTTGATACACACAGAAACTAAACAAAAGTTAACAAACAAAATTTTGAACCACTTCTTCAGTGGGATTTGATACAAACAGAAACTAAACAAAAGTTAACAAACTAGATTTTGAACCACTTCTTCAGTGGGATTTGATACACAAACTAGACAATGTTGCTGTGATCTAAGGTCAAAGGGTGAATCTAACAAACTATTTATAGTAACACCAAATCACCTTTCCTGGCTTGGGGCAAAGTTTTGGCTGTCATTTTAAAGGGAAATAATTTTAAAATTTGTAATCCAGCTTTTAATTAGGCCCATCCCACAACTTACATTTTAAAAGAAAATAATTTTAAAATTTGTAATCCAGCTTTTAATTAGGCCCATCCCACAACTTACGTTTTAAAAGAAAATAATTTTAAAATTTGTAATCCAGCTTTTAATTAGGCCTATCCCTCAACAAATTTTTTTTTTAAATAATTTAAAAATTTGTAATCCAGCTTTTAATTAAGCCTATCCCACTAACTATAAAAAAAATTCATAAATTAACACACAGTAAACAGAAGTAAACAAATATTGAAGACTGTCACTAAATCAGTGACATTAATAAAAGAAATTCTAATTTTAGATTCTATTTTAGATTTCACTTCCTATTTCAGTTTGATAAAGTTGTGTTTAATATTTATGATGCATTTTTAAAAACTTGTATTAAATTGTAGTTGAAGTAAACAGTTTTTTTTAAACTGTGAGTTAAACTGACACAGATAAATTATTTTAATATTAAAAAAATGTCAGATCTCACAGGGTAACCTTACAAATGGCGGACATCAGAGCAGTTTTTTAACTTCAAGACCAGGAGAGCACAGTCAACACAAGGTAGAAAAAATTGAATACAAACCTCAACAGCTCTCTCAATGACATCTCTGACTGACATCAACATGACATCTTGTACCTGAAGCAGCCACTTCTCCACCGCACCTCTGGCCTCGGACGTTGAGATCACCTGATGTACACAAACCATTTTTGTGATCAAACACACAATTCAAGTACTACACAAAATATCTCGGGTTTTTTTTAAATAAAATGTAGAGAATAAAAATCCCTTTGTGGAAATATTCCATTACAGCGGCAAAGTCTGAATTGTGCTAAAAATATATGTTAAAATGTTGACCATTTCAGCATGATAGATCAATACCTCAGTGCCATTGCAATTACCTGACTTAGCTTGATCTCCCCTTAGAATTGTAATTTTGTCAGACAGAGTTACCTGACTTAGCTTGATCTCCTCCCCTTAAAATTGTAATTTTGTCAGAGTTACCTGACTTAGTTTGATCTTCTCCCCTTAGAATTGTAATTTTGTCAGACTTAGTTTGATCTTCTCCCCTTAAAATTGTAATTTTGTTAGACAGAGTTACCTGGCTTAGTTTAATCTTTTCCCCTTAACATTGTAATTTTGTCAGACAGAGTTAACTGGCTTAGTTTGATCTTCTCCCCTTAAAATTGTAATTTTGTCAGACTTAGCTTGATCTTTTCCCCTTAAAATTGTAATTTTGTCAGACAGAGTTACCTGACTTAGTTTGATCTTCTCCCCTTAAAATTGTAATTTTGTCAGACAGAGTTACCTGACTTAGTTTGATCTTCTCCCCTTAAAATTGTAATTTTGTCAGACAGAGTTACCTGACTTAGTTTGATCTTCTCCCCTTAAAATTGTAATTTTGTCAGTCAGAGTTACGTGACTTAGCTTGATCGTCTCCCCTTAAAATTGTAACTTAGTTAGACCGAGTTACCTGACTTAGTTTGATCGTCTCCCCTTAAAATTGTAATTTTGTCAGAGTTACCTGGCTTAGCTTGATCTTCTCCCCTTAAAATTGTAATTTTGTCAGACAGAGTTACCTGGCTTAGCTTGATCTTCTCCCCTTCACTGCTGAACATGGCGTGGATGTCCAGTTGGTTGTCAAACTCCAACTTGGCGATGCCCTCAAAACATTTCTTCAGGTGAGGCTGGACACGCGTTGGGTCTTTGGTCTCGGACAAAATCTCCAGCATCTCGTCGTTTGACAAGAAAAAGAACCTGCGAGAAAAATGACAAAAAAATGACAAACAAAAAAATTATTTCATGACAAGCTTCAATGTACTGTGTCTAAAAAAATTGAATTCATATATTGTATGAAAGCATTTTTTTTTATTTAATAAAGTACTTTAGAAAAGCATGATTAAAGTATCATTTTTAGGTACAATGAATTTTAAAAATTAAAAATAATTTTAAAGTATTGGTAAATAAGGAAAACATTAAAATAACTGTGGATGACTATGAAATGCTAATTAAAATAACTGTGGATGACTGTGAAATGTTAATTAAAATAACTGTGGATGACTATGAAATGCTAATTAAAATAACTGTGGATGACTGTGAAATGCTAATTAAAATAACTGTGGATGCCTGTGAAATGCTAATTAAAATAACTGTGGCTGACTGTGAAATGCTAATTAAAATAACTGTGGATGACTAGGAAACAATACCTTGGGAAGAAAAGACGTTTCTTCTCTAGATAAGCGTTCAGTCCCTTGTTGATCTTGTCCAGCAGACCGTTACTGTCCTGTAGTTTGTCCAGCAGTCCTGGCACGTTGCATGCAACTAGCACCTGGCCAAACAACAACAAACATCAGCCATTTTGTTGGGTGTATTACAAAATATATAATTACACATAAAATAAACACCTGAAGTATATGATTATCTCCACACACACGCCTCTCCCCCACACACCCCATAGGATTTTGCCCCACCCCACATTTCACTCTAGGATATTTGCTGGTTCCCATTTCCCCCCACCCCATCTGTTGACCACCCCCACCCCCCATCTGTTGTCCACCTCAACCCAAACTGTTGACCCCCATCTGTAGTCCACCCCCACCCCATCTGTTGATCATCCCCACCTCAATTGTTGACTGCCCCCATCCCCCCACTCACCCTGGGATCTTTGCTAGTGTTCCTCATGATGTCCTTCCAATTCCTGCCCCCCCACCCCACCTCCCCACCCCACTCACCCTGGGATCTTTGCTAGTGTTCCTCATGATGTCCTTCCAATTCCTGCCCCCCCACCCCACCTCCCCACCCCACTCACCCTGGGATTTTTGCTAGTGTTCCTCATGATGTCCTTCCAATTCCTGCCCCCCCACCCCACCTCCCCACCCCACTCACCCTGGGATCTTTGCTAGTGTTCCTCATGATGTCCTTCCAATTCCTGTCCCTCCCCCCACCCCAAATGTTACCCCCCCCCCCCCCACCCCCCACCCCACTCACCCTGGGATCTTTGCTAGTGTTCCTCATGATGTCCTTCCAATTCCTGTCCCTCCCCCCCCCACCCCAAATGTTACCCCCCCCCCCCCCCCCACACCCCCCACCCCACTCACCCTGGGATCTTTGCTAGTGTTCCTCATGATGTCCTTCCAATTCCTGTCCCCTCACCCCATATGTTAACCCCCCCACCCCCACTCACCCTGGGATCTTTGCTAGTGTTCCTCATGATGTCCTTCCAATTCCTGTCCCCTCACCCCATATGTTAACCCCCCCCACCCCCACTCACCCTGGGATCTTTGCTAGTGTCCCTCATGATGTCCTTCCAATTCCTGTCCCCTCACCCCATATGTTAACCCCCCCACCCCCACTCACCCTGGGATCTTTGCTAGTGTCCCTCATGATGTCCTTCCAATTCCTGTCCCCTCACCCCATATGTTAACCCCCCACCACCCCACCCCCCTCCACCCCACCCCCTACCCCCCCCATCCCCCCCCCCCACCCCCACTCACCCTAGGATCTTTACTAGTGTTCCTCATGATGTCCTTCCAGTTCCTGTCCACCATCTGGAAGAGCCTGCCTTCCTCTGGCATCTGCTGCATGATGTCCTCCGAGGAGAAGATGGGCTCCAGATACAGCCACTGGGCCTGCACCTTCAGCCACTCGTCTATGGTCTCCTGGGTGTGCATCAGCTTGTCCTCCCAGTCCTGGGGAAATCAAAGTAGTGCTACAAATTTATTTACTGCTATCATCTACAACAATTTGTCCACTCAAACTTGAAGAAATCAAAATAGTGCCACAATTTTTTTACTGCTATCAACTACAACATTTCGTCCTCCCAAACTTAAGGAAATCAAAAATAGTGCCACAATTTTTTTATTGCTATAAACTACAACATTTTGTCCTCCCAAACTTAAGGAAATCCAAATACTTCACCAATTTTTTACTGCTATCAATTGTATAAAGTGAATGGATTTGTCTATGCAACAGACCTTCATCTCCTTCTCAAAAGGTTTAATGAAGGGCGAGCCTCTCATGGTCTGTGTCTTGACAATCTGGTCATCCAGTGTCGTCTGCATGTCATCAACTGACGCCAGGATGCTGACACCTGTGTCACGGTACTGGAAGGCGGGGGGGGGGGGAGAAAGTTATTAAATTAAAGGTAATTGAGTAAAGATTTTAAACTTCCTGTGGTTATTGTGGTAGGGCTAGGGGAAGCCTATGTCATGGCTGTGGATTATGGCTATGGTTGTGTGTATGATATCAATGTTTTAAAGCTTATATTTTGATAGTTGTATAGATCCTCTCTAAAATAAAAAAGTGCTACTTGTATGAGTGTTGTAGTGACCCTCCCCAAAAAAAACTTTACCTGTATGAGAGTTGTAATGAACAAATTTTTTTTTACCTGTATGAGAGTTGTAGTGAAAAAACTTTTTTTACCTGTATGAGAGTAAAGTTTATGGACTCCCATTCCTCCACCATCTTGATGTGAGCTTTCTCCAGAGAAAATTCCTGACAAAAACATTTTAAAACAACTTTGTTAAAAACTAGAAACTCATTCTAACTAAACAAATACACACGAATTGTTTAAACTAGTAACTAATTATGTGATGCTATTTTAATCAATTTTTTTTTTTTTAAAAAGTAATTTTTTTCATTTAAAGAAATTATTAAAAATGTATTTAAAAAAACAATTAATTCTAATTATAAACAACTTATTACAGTTACTAGCTGACCATCAGAATTTGGACTAGTTATCTATAAGTGAGAACACCAGACACATGTAGCTTGCCTACCTTTGAAGCAGACCCTGAGATGGTCTCAAACTGTTCCAGGAAAGGCTCAATGTTCAGCTTGAGCATCTTGCGCAGGGTGGTGCCTGCGTCAGGGGTCAGGTTAAAGCCTGCGATCTCATTCATGCGGTCCCAGTGGCGCTTGCGTATGCCGGGGTTGCACATGATGGCAATCACTGGAATCACTTCCTGTTTCAAGAAATCAAAAGTTTGTCAGCCTGTTGTAAACTTTCATTACCTGCTTTTTGTTTGCTGATTTAAAGTTTGAGACCCACTGAAGTATCACAACATAAAGTTTGAGGTGATTGAGTAAGCTTGGTCAGCTTAGAATAAATTTAATATTTTTTAAAAATGTGTATTTTGATGATGTAAGCTTTGTGGGAGAATCTTAGCAGACACCTATGATAAAATAGTTGATAAAGATTTTGTTTGCCCTAAAAGAACTCCAGTGGGAGCCTTGTATTATTTGATTAAACTTGGTGAGATCTTAGCTATCCACCAAGTAAGCCCCCCCCCCCTCCACCCAACACCAAGGTTTGGAAATGATCTAGCTGGCAGACTTCTAACTGACAAAAACATTCAAAGGTTCAAGATCACCCAAGTAAAGGGCAGCCACTGGTGTATGGTAAGTGACCTTCACCTTGAACTGTCTGATGGCCTCCATGGTTGTGTTGATGATGTTGATGGCCTCTGGGATTCTCAAGGCCTCCTCCTCCTCTGGTTCTGTTGACGGCGCCTCCCCATCCTCGTCCTGCAGCCTCTTCTTCTTCTTCTTCTCCCTCTCCATCTCCTCCTTCTCTAGCTGCATCTTCTTCACCTTCTGGTTGAAAACTTTCTGGGTCTTAAACAGGTCTCTGGAGGTAGAAAGATATCATCAAATTACCTCTGTAGGTAAAGGGAATCATTCAAATGTATATCCTCATGATTTGATTGTATTGTGAATTATGTTTAGTTTTAAATAACAATAATATTTTTATAAATCTCAAATTTCATAAGATTTATGTGAGATGTGGGTAAAAAATATCACATTCTAGCATATAAACTAACAAGAAACTTTACCATGGCCACAAACTAACAAGAAACTCTACCATGGCCACAAACTAACAAGAAACTTTACCATGGCCACAAACTAACAAGAAACTCTACCATGGCCACAAACTAACTCTACCATGGCCACAAACTAACAAGAAACTCCACCATGGCCACAAACTAACAAGAAACTCCACCATGGCCACAAACTAACAAGAAACTCCACCATGGCCACAAACTAACAAGAAACTTTACCATGGCCACAAACTAACAAGAAACTCCACCATGGCCACAAACTAACAAGAAACTCCACCATAGCCACAAACTAACAAGAAACTCCACCATAGCCACAAACTAACAAGAAACTCCACCATAGCCACAAACTAACAAGAAACTCCACCATGGCCACAAACTAACAAGAAACTCCACCATGGCCACAAACTAACAAGAAACTCCACCATGGCCACAAACTAACTCCACCATGGCCACAAACTAACAAGAAACTCTACCATGGCCACAAACTAACAAGAAACTCCACCATAGCCACAAACTAACAAGAAACTCCACCATAGCCACAAACTAACAAGAAACTCCACCATAGCCACAAACTAACAAGAAACTCCACCATGGCCACAAAATTACCTGTAGAACTCATCCACCTCTGACTCTATAGCCTCAGCATTTTGCTCAAGAAAAGCTCCATCCATTGTCCTAAGGAAGAGAGAAAAAATTATTTACTCTAAATCTTGTACTTTAAAGCTGTGTAAAAAACATGAAATGAAAAGGTCACACAGTTAAATCAACAGCAACAAACAGTCACTAGTGAGTTAAAAACCTGAAACAGCAAATTGTGTGAAACAAATATTTACTTTTTCTCAGCTCTCTGCCACTTGGAGATGACAGTGAACAACCTTAAGAATGGATCGAGGGAGGAGCTGATGTCCTCGATGTCTGGATATGTGGATATTGGATACTTGTACAGTTGCTCCTCTTTGTTTATCCAGTTGACCTGGGAGAAAATTATCACAAATAAAAATATCATTTCTGTCACAAATAGAAATCTAAACTTTCCAATCACAAATAAAAATCTAAACTTTCCAATCACAAATTAAAATCTAAACTTTGTCACAAATAGAAATCTAAACCTTCTGTTCGTGAACCTTACTTATGTTATCTTTTAATTATCATAGAAGTCAACTCAGGTTACTTTAAATAAATAACCCAGCTATAGCCATTGAAAAAGTTAATGAATAAGCAAGACAAAGACCTGTTCGTTAAGGTCCTGAATGCGGCGCTGGACTTGACGAACATCCTGGACGTACTGCTGCATCATGTCCAGCTCCCCGTAGTCGTTGAACTCATCCACCCTCATCCGCAGTTTCTCCAGCTCCAACATGATCTTCTCTCTCCTGTGGATCAGCTCCTTCTCTCCCTTCAGTCTAGACTGTTCCACCAACTAAACATGGGACAATCAGTAGAAAATCAAATCTATTTATATCATGTCTAGTCTGCTCCACCAACTAAACATGGAACAAGCAGTAGAAAATCAAATCTATTTATATCATGTCTAAACAGTAGACTGCTCCACCAACTAAACATGGAACAAGCAGTAGAAAATCAAATCTATTTATATCATGTCTAAACAGTAGACTGCTCCACCAACTAAACATGGAACAAGCAGTAGAAAATCAAATCTATTTATATCATGTCTAGACTGCTCCACCAACTAAACATGGAACAAGCAGTAGAAAATCAAATCTATTTATATCATGTCTAGACTGCTCCACCAACTAAATATGGGACAAGCAGTAGAAAATCAAATCTATTTATATCATGTCTAGACTGCTCCACCAACTAAATATGGAACAAGCAGTAGAAAATTATCAAGGTAAAGAGCAAGACTGGATTCTTCATACATTTAAAATTATGTATTTTTAGAAAACTGGCTGTTCAAACCAGATGGAGTATAAATGTATTTTCTTCTCTCAGTTTTATCTTCAGCTGTCAGGCTCTAAGTGGCCTAAAGAAATTGAGGAAAGAGTTTCTTCACATGAACTTGTACAAATACTTTAGGAAGTTGTTAGGCCAAAACTTACAGTGTCGTTAGGTGACAACTTACAGTGTCGTTAGGTGACAACTTACAGTGTCGTTTTCATCAAAGATGGGCATGATCCTGGTGGGCCATGTGAGAACCTCACAGTTCAGCTCAATATCTTTTGGCTCAAAGAAAAACACATCTATCAGGTAGGCCAATCTGTCTTTGGATTCCTGAAAAAGTTGCAACATAAAACGGTTGTGAGTTACGGCTGATTTTACAAAACAAATATTGCAGTTTTAAAAAGGTATATTTACATTTTTTAATTAAATCAAAACAGTGCAGCCAAATCAAGCATATGATAGTATAAAACCTACTGTAATCCTTATAAAACCTACTGTAATCCTCATTAAACCTACTATAATCCTTATAAAACCTACTGTAATCCTCATAAAACCTATTGTAATCCTTAGAACACCTACTGTAATCCTTATAAAACCTACTGTCATCCTCATAAAACCTACTGTAACCCTCATTAACCCTACCGTGCCCCTAATTCAACCTACCGTAATCCTCTCGTTAAGCTTGATCATGCCCATGGTTCTGGCAGTCTCAACAAATGTCAGCATGTCAATCAGTTCCTCACTGGAGTTGGGAACTGTCAGCGAGCGTTCCTTGATCAGCTGGAACTCCTTACAGATACTGTGGAACACAGAAAGTTTTAGTCCGACAGAAGGTTGGCGACCAATCATTAAACACATTCTGTTGTTTAACTCAGGCACACGATGAAACATTTATTTACATATGCAGAAATTCAACTTGACATAAGAAAAACAGCTTGACATAAGAAAAACAAGTTGACATAAGAAAAACAAGTTGACATAAGAAAAACAACTTGACATAGGAAAAACAACTTGACGTAAGAAAAACAAGTTGACATAAGAAAAACAACTTGACATAAGAAAAACAAGTTGACATAAGAAAAACAACTTGACATAAGAAAAACAACTTGACGTAAGAAAAACAAGTCGACACAACGTAAGAAAACATACCCTTCATTCTCTCTACGATGATCACTAGAGACTCGACTGAGCAGCTCGTCTGCGTGACTTCTGCAGACCCTGGCCAGGCCCCGTTTCAGGTCCTCACAGTCCAGACGTATCATGTCAAAGTGCTCAATGCTGGGCAGGCCCATAATTTCTGAAGCCAGGCTACGGAATTTTTCAATCTCCTGAAATCAGAAAATGTGGAATTTTTTAAGGATCAAAGACATTGAACAATACTACTGAAATATATTGTAAATATATGGTTAAATTCTTTATTTTATATTAGACAGCTATGACACAACTTATTCTATATTTTAAAGTTACCCCTAGACATACCCTGTGTTTTTAGAAGTTACCAAGACTTATCTCAGTTTATTTTAAAGTTACCAATTTACCCCAGTTACCCAGGATTACCCCAGTTACCACAAGACTTACCCCAGTTACCACAAGACTTACCCCAGTTACCACAAGACTTACCCCAGTTACTACAAGACTTACCCCAGTTACCACAAGACTTACCCCAGTTACCACAAGACTTACCCCAGTTACCACAAGACTTACCCCAGTTACCCTGACTTACCCCAGTTACCCTTAGACTTACTCCAGTTACCCAGACTTACCCCAGTTACCCCTAGACTTACCCCAGTTACCCCTAGACTTACCCTAGTTACCCCTAGACTTACCCCAGTTACCCAGACTTACCCCAGTTACCCTTAGACTTACCCTAGTTACCCTGACTTACTCCAGTTACCCCTAGACTTACCCCAGTTACCCTGACTTAACCCAGTTACCCAGACTTACCCCAGTTACCACAAGACTTACCCCAGTTACCACTAGACTTACCCCTGACTTACCCCAGTTACCCCTAGATTTACCCCAGTTACCACTAGACTTACCCCAGTTACCTAGACTTACCCCAGTTACCCATACTTACCCCTGTGTACTCAGCAAAGGTGTGCTCATCCTTCATATACTCCTTGATCTCAGCGAGAGCCTCCCCATTCACAATGTAGTTGTACTTTTGCACTGGAGGAATTGTTTATGCATAATTAGTTCCTTATGACAAGCTCAGTTGGATATTTAAATAAATAGGTTAATTTCTAATCAAACAGTAAACTTGAAATAAAAAGTTCTTTATTAAAAAATTGGAAAATGTACAGATATTGTGAAATAGTTTGTCAACCAATGTATAGAATGTACAGATACTGTGAAATAGTTTGTCAACCAATGTCGATAGACCATGAAAACTCACTGAATGCCTCCAGGTGTTGTTGTGGACCCTCAAACAGACGCTTGACCGCCTGCTTGAGCATTTGGACATACTTCTCCAGGATGTGTGGGGATATCTTGGCGTCTGTGAAGCTCACTGTGTTCCCCCCTCCTAGCCAGGACTGTACTGTTGGAACCTGAATTAGAGTTATTGTTCCTGATAAATCAGAGTTACTGTTCCTTGGTTACAAAAGTTATTGTTCCTAGTTAACCAGAGTTGCAGCTCTTGATTAATCTAGTAAATATTTAAAATTACATTTTCTAACTATCAAATAATTCAATCAATACAAGGAACATACACAATGTGATGTAATAGAAAATCAAAGAAAACAATAATTTAAAACCTATATTTTCATTGTGTAGTCCCAATAATATCTAGTGTCAGTTATATAATACTGACACAATGAATACATTTTTGTACAGGGACATAACTCAGCAATCAATACAATACAGCGACTTCCCCTACCTGCTGCATAGTTTTACAGATCTGAGTGAGGACAAACAAAATGGTTTCCTCCAGGTCCTCCACTGGGGGGTAGAACTGCATCGTCTGGTCATCAAAGGTCAGCTCCATCTTGAGGATGGGCAGCAGCAGGTGGTTCTCTGGCTCAAACAGGCTTGTGTAGGCGTCCAGGGTCCGCACTAGCAAATCTTTGAGCTGGGGATGGCAGTTCATTCAAACATATTAACTTTCTGGGCTCATCAAAGTAATTTAAACTTTCAACCAAATGGATCATTTATTATATTAACATTTGGGGCTAAATATAAACTTTAGACCCTGGTGCAGCCTATGTTTACATCATTTAACCCAGGTTAAAGGTCAAGCTAACTTGACCTTTGGAGTAATTTAACCCAGGGTGAAGGTCAAGCTAACTTGACCTTTGAAGTAATTTAACCCAGGGTGCTGGTCAAGCTAACTTGACCTTTGAAGTAATTTAACCCAGGGTGAAGGTCAAGCTAACTTGACCTTTGAAGTAATTTAACCTGGGGTGCTGGTCAAGCTACCTTGACCTTTCAAGCAACTGACCTGGTTGGATATGAGGGTTGTGACACTGCGATAAAAGGCGTCGATGTCTTGGACACCCAGGAAGTTGTTCTTGTCTGTGAAGATGTTGATGATCCCAGGATGCCAGCTACAAGAGAGAGAGAAAAATGGAAGTGCCAAAAACAGTCTAACTAGGCCTACGCATTTCCTATTGGTAAATAAGGAATTCATAACAAATAATTGTAGTGGTTCTGCACCAAAATAATAAAGTAAAAAAAGATGGTAAAGTAGAAATACTGGATGATAAAGTAGAAATACTGGATGATAAAAGTAGAAATACAGGATGATAAAGTAGAAATACTGGATGATAAAAAACACCACTTCTCACTTGTGCATGAGTTTTTCCTCTGATTTTTCCAAGTCCAAGACCACATTATTTTTCAGACTGTCAAACTCTATAGGCCCAGCCAGGCTGTCGATGGAATAAACAGATCTGACGGTCATGTGACCAAACATTCAAAGTGTAAATTGCTGTGTAACAATGACAGAAATGTGAGGAATGTGGGAAAAGTTAAAACATGACAGCCAATGGAGCAGCTGAAGTAGAGTTCACCTGTATCTCAGTATATTTAGGCATAGTGTGATAAGCCTAGCTCCCTTTAATTTCCTTATCAGGAGTAAGGTACCCAATGTGCTGGGTGGACTCACCTAACATGAGTAAGGTACCCAATGTGCTGGGTGGACTCACCTAACATGAGTAAGGTACCCAATGTGCTGGGTGGACTCACCTAACATGAGTAAGGTACCCAATGTGCTGGGTGGACTCACCTAACATGAGTAAGGTACCCAATGTGCTGGGTGGACTCAAGGATGTCCAGCAGATTTGAGTCATGCTTAACTACACTCAATTATTTTCTCTTGCCACGAGACTTACCATAGTCCTATGTGACTTCAAACGTCACCTGACTTTAAAAGTCACCTGACTTAAAAAGTCAGCCGTGACTTACCGGTACTGTGTGACTTCAAAAGTCACCCGACTTTAAGAGTCACCTGACTTCAAAAGTCAGCCATGACTTACCGGTACTGTGTGACGTCCACAAGGACCATGTTTCCCAGCGTTGTCTGACACATGCGCAGCACTGTCTGGTGGGAAGGGTGCAGGCTGTACAGCTGCTGTTCTATGGTTTTCTGGCTCTCAACAAATGTCTGGTGCCACGGCTTAGAGTAGTCCAGGCCACTGAAACAAGGTTATCTACAATCTTACAGGTCATGTTGACAGTTTTACTGGTCATGTTAACAATTTGTCATGTTAACAATTTTACTGGTCATGTTAACAATTTTACTGGTCATGTTAACAATTTTACTTGTCAAGTTAACAATTTGTCATGTTAACAATTTTACTGGTCATGTTAACAATTTGTCATGTTAACAATTTTACTGGTCATGTTAGCAATTTTACTGGTCATGTTAACAATTTTACAGGTCAAGTTTACAATTTTACTGGTCATGTTAACAATTTTACTGGTCAAGTTTACAATTTTACTGGTCAAGTTTACAATTTTACTGGTCATGTTTACAATTTTACTGGTCAAGTTTACAATTTTACTGGTCAAGTTTACAATTTTACTGGTCAAGTTTACAATTTTACTGGTCAAGTTTACAATTTTACTGGTCATGTTAACAGTTTTACTGGTCATGTTAACAATTTTACTGGTCATGTTAACAATTTTACTGGTCATGTTAACAATTTTACAGGTCAAGTTTACAATTTTACTGGTCATGTTAACAATTTTACTGGTCAAGTTTACAATTTTACTGGTCAAGTTTACAATTTTACTGGTCAAGTTTACAATTTTACTGGTCAAGTTTACAATTTTACTGGTCATGTTAACAGTTTTACTGGTCATATTAACAATTTTACTGGTCATGTTAACAATTTTATTTGTCAAGTTAACAATTTGTCATGTTAACAATTTTACTGGTCATGTTAACAATTTGTCATGTTAACAATTTTACTGGTCATGTTAGCAATTTTACTGGTCATGTTAACAATTTTACAGGTCAAGTTTACAATTTTACTGGTCATGTTAACAATTTTACTGGTCAAGTTTACAATTTTACTGGTCAAGTTTACAATTTTACTGGTCATGTTTACAATTTTACTGGTCAAGTTTACAATTTTACTGGTCAAGTTTACAATTTTACTGGTCAAGTTTACAATTTTACTGGTCAAGTTTACAATTTTACTGGTCATGTTAACAGTTTTACTGGTCATGTTAACAATTTTACTGGTCATGTTAACAATTTTACTGGTCATGTTAACAATTTTACAGGTCAAGTTTACAATTTTACTGGTCATGTTAACAATTTTACTGGTCAAGTTTACAATTTTACTGGTCAAGTTTACAATTTTACTGGTCAAGTTTACAATTTTACTGGTCAAGTTTACAATTTTACTGGTCAAGTTTACAATTTTACTGGTCATGTTAACAGTTTTACTGGTCATATTAACAATTTTACTGGTCATGTTAACAATTTTACTGGTCATGTTAACAATTTTACTGGTCATGTTAACAGTTTTACTGGTCATGTTAACAATTTTACTGGTCATGTTAACAATTTTACTGGTCATGTTAACAATTTTACTGGTCATGTTAACAGTTTTACTGGTCATGTTAATAATCTTACTGGTCATGTTAATAATCTTACTGGTCATGTTAACAATTTTACTGGTCATGTTAACAATTTTACTGATCATGTTAACAATTTTACTGGTCATGTTGACAATTTTACTGGTCAAGTCTACAATTTTACTGATTAGGAACTTTACTCATCAAATAAAAATTTTACTTGTCAAGTTTAAGAACTTTAATTGTCAAGTTCACAATTTTACTGAAACAATGACTGTATTTTTAGCCTGGAGTATTTAGAAAAAAAAAGTGTAATAAATTTTGTCACTAACATTGGTTCCTCTGGTGGGGGTCCTGCCACTTCATCCTCCAACCCCTTGACACTTGGTGTAATCAAAACATGCTGAGCTAAAAATAGAACAGAGGAAAAAATATCCAATCATATGGATACGATTCTTCAAACAAGATTTATTACTAACTATAGTAGAGAGACATTAAACTGAGCTACAGACTCATAAACCTGTACCAAAATAATTTATAGATCTAGGTTAATTAACTGGGGCTAATCGTTTGTTTCGTACCCATAGATTTTCTCATGCTAGTCTCAAAGAGCGCCTTGACCTCTGTCAGTAGCTCCTGCATGAGATGGTGCAGCACCCGCCCATGTTTCAGGTGCTCTGGGATCATCTTCAGGATGCCTTCCTGCCAGGTGTGCTGCATGGGTTCCACTGGGCCGCTCTCCACACAACTCTTCAGGAAGCGGTAGTTCAGCTGGCGCAGCAAGAGAAAATAATTTTGGTAATTGGTAGTTCAGCTGGTGCAGCAAGAGAAAATAATTTTGGTAATTGGTAGTTCAGCTGGTGCAGCAAGAGAAAATAATTTTGGTAATTGGTAGTTTAGCTGGCGCAGCAAGAGAAAATAAATGGTAATTGGTAGTTCAGCTGGTGCAGCAAGAGAAAATAAATGGTAATTGGTAGTTCAGCTGGTGCAGCAAGAGAAAATAAATGGTAATTGGTAGTTCAGCTGGTGCAGCAAGAGAAAATAATTTTGGTAATTGGTAGTTCAGCTGGTGCAGCAAGAGAAAATAATTTTGGTAATTGGTAGTTCAGCTGGTGCAGCAAGAGAAAATAATTTTGGTAATTGGTAGTTCAGCTGGTGTAGCAAGAGAAAATAATTTAGGTAATTGGTAGTTCAGCTGGTGCAGCAAGAGAAAATAATTTTGGTAATTGGTAGTTCAGCTGGTGCAGCAAGAGAAAATAATTTTGGTAATTGGTAGTTCAGCTGGTGTAGCAAGAGAAAATAATTTAGGTAATTGGTAGTTCAGCTGGTGCAGCAAGAGAAAATAATTTTGGTAATTGGTAGTTCAGCTGACGCAGCAAGAGAAAATAATTTAGTGACAAACATCTTGACATTTAGTACTTAGTGAAGCAAATCATGAACTGATAAGTTGAGAGAGTAGCTCAATCAAATAAATTAGCCTCAACATTATATAGTTTTTATGTTTATATCAAGATGAATTTATAAAAATATTAATTATCACTCAAAGAGTTTTAAAAAATTTTAACTACAGGGCAATTAATCTACCTATCATTTATTTTGTGCTGATTAACTGAACAATCTTCCTATTATTTATTTTATTTTGGTTAACTGAACAATCTTCCTATCATTTATTTTATATTGGTTAACTGAGCAAAAGCAAGCACAAAACTGAAAAAATATGAGAATGTATTTGAAAATGTATTTGAGAATGTATTTGAAGCTAAAATAGTTGAGGTCCTTAGCTATGTATCACACCTTTTTATTTTAACACAATAAATATTGTGCGTATGCTGTCTGCTTTACAGTGGGGCTATCTTTCTTATAGTCTCAAATCTGATACAAATTGTTAGGTATAAAATAAATGTTAATCTCCTATATAGATATTATTGGAGCACTTTACCTGTATCCTTCTGTCTTTGCTCATCATCTGAAATATTTTCATAAAAATTTTTTAATATTGTATACAAATTTTAATTAACATAGATACACAATCTTATCAAGTTATAAAAACAGCTATTGACAAATGAAACAGAATATCTCCAACCTCGTCTGGCATTTGGGGCTCAACTTTCTTAGGATCATCTTTGTGGTCTTTAAAGTACTGTTTTTCTTCAATGGCCGCCTTTTCAGCCTCTTCATTTCTAGAGATAAAAACAATTCAAAACTTTGTATTACAGGGCTGCAGGTAGAAGGTATAGTTATGCTTTGTCTTACAGAATGTTATGTGTATTGTGCTAGTGAGCTATTTATTACAAAATAATAATGTATAAACTATCTTTAGTTAAACACAAAGTATATTAAACAAAAGCTAAAAAATATAATGCTGAAAAATCAAGAGTATTGAGACAAACTATTACATAGTGATCTTTTTTACACAAATTTATTTTATTATTCAAAGCCTTAGCCTAATTTACTTAATTATTACAATTTAATATTAAACAGCATATTGCTGATAAGAACAGCTTACAGAATTTTAATCAGTAAGTTCTTCTGGTGATTGGCAAGTCTGAATGTCATAAGTTTGCTGTTAGCAAATGGGTCACTTCTTGTTTCTGGCTTTGTGATTGGTGGCAAGATGACACGAGATCCTCCCCTCAAGGAAGATGCACTTCCAAGTCGCGTCCCATCATCGGTTCTCGGGGAGCCTTGAAGTTTGATGATTTCACTTTGAGTGGCCATGTCTGCACACAGCTAAAAAAAAAGATTGTATTATATGTATTTTATCTCATTTTGTTTTATTAAATAATGGAATAACACATTTTTAAAAAAAAAACTCTTTAAAATTTTCAGAGAATCGAATTTGTTTGATAGCATAGATTTTAGGTATAGCTAGACTGTAGAACGGGGTTATACTTTGATTATCGGCCTGCTATATGTTCTTATTATTTATAGTGTTTAAAAAAAACATTAACAAGCACATAAAAGTATTATGTTAAATGTTAAAGGTCATCCACATATGTGAAAACATGTGGACTGGTGTGGGAGGGGGGGGGGGGGATTATTCATGTACATGTAAGCAGGCTATATAACTTGATCATTGGACAGCATTTAACTGATTTTTAACAGCCCTAAATGTGTGCTGTTGGTAGATGTCAGGATGAGGCATATACAAGACACAGATCCAATATGCCAGACCAAATAGTGTACCTAGCAGTGTTTGTGGTCAGTGAATGTGGTCAATTTAAAATGCAAATGGATGAATTACATTTCCTTACACACACCCACTAATTAGCTATTTAGTTAATATATACTTTTATATAATATTCTAGTTTCAATTTAGATTGCTGCTTTATAAATAACTCTACGTAATTTTACTGTCATAAACATCTGCCATCTGTAAATTAGAGGGATTTCCCCTAAATCTCTTACAATAAGTAACAATAGGTTTACAAAAAAAAAAATGGTTAATTGAATTAAGTAAACGATCTTGGTTGCATCTGGTGAAAACATCGCTAAACTTTATTACTGAAAAGTTTCACTAAAACTGTTTATAGACAGGTACATGAATCATTTTAAACTTCTGAAACATTTAAATCCTCGTAAAATTGTAAAATGATTAGGCCTACTAAAATAATATTCAATATAATGAATAATGGGTGAGTAACCTTTCCTTCTCAATCTCGTTACTAGCCACAGCCCATTATTATGTACCTTACCAGATAGATTACATTAAACTATATTTTACTTATTAACTGACGGCCCAGATAATATTTTAGTTATATTATTATAATTAATATTATTAATTTATTATTTTAATTTTAATATATTTTAAGATTTTAAGAAGTAGGCTAAGTGACGGGTTAGGTTAAATGTTACGTCTTAAAAATATTAAATTTGATAGAACTATAAATACAACCTTTATAATCGTTGATGTCACAGTTACTTTTTATTGTGTAATCATTATTTATTTAATTGTGTATCTTGTGTTCACAATGTATTCTAATTATTTTCATCAACAAAAAGTTTCTATACAACCACAGGCATCGAATTTAAACTAACTTAATACAGATATGAAATCTTCTTTTCGATTGGATATTTCCAAATTCTTAACCAATGAAATTCTCCCTCTCTTTAACGTTAAGGACTACCCTAGTAACCAATTCTCCAGGTTAAACAATCTTTTGCGGAAGCATTACTAATGTAGTCTCGGGCCAAATAAATAATTATAAGTATCCTTTCAAGCAAAGCTGTTTCATTTTAGAAAATATATACTTATTTTTGGAATTATAATAGAGTATCAAAAGATTAACCAAAATTATTCAACTAAATTTTCAGCAATAATAAATATCACGAATGTGTCTTCTGAGTTTAGGAATATATATTTTATGTCAGCCACATTATCATCGCCTCGGTAGCGCAGTAGGTAGCGCGTCAGTCTCATAATCACACAATGTCCGAGCGATCTGAAGGTCGTGAGTTCGATCCTCACCCGGGGCAGTTTTTTTTCGGGTTTTTGTTATATTTTTTAGTATCAATGTTTTTCTTTTAAAAAATCGGCATATGATAAGCTTAAGTTATTTTGTGATGCAATTAAAACTAAACATGTTTTTGTTAGTATGTAAACTTTTGAACACATTTTTGTTATTTTAACTTCTATAGCTAGACGATTTATTTTTATTTTTTATGATTTGTTATCTTATATCATTTTAAATGTGTAACAAAAATCTTAGTTTAGCATTCACTTTCGTTTGGACAAAATGGATCTTCATTAAATGCTAAATTGAATCAGTCCATCTATAAAAATCTAAATCATGATCGCGATTGGTAGCATGTTAGTAACTGATCAACATTTAATTAACTGCTATCTATAATCTATATATATAATTCTCTTCTGGGAGACATTAGAAAACAAGCTGCAAGCGCGCCTTGCAGTCCCCTCTCTTCCTCTTTATCGCGGGTCGGCTCGTAAACTATAAATACATCAATATGACTATGAGACATTTTGTTTCATTCCCTAAAGGGGGTCTAACCAGATTATTTTCATTTTCCTGAAAATATTATATGAGTTGGCTCCCTTAATATTGATAATCGCCAAAGAATATTGATATCATCATCATCAATTTTTTAGGTGTTGGCAAGTATACTGTATAGCGAATTAGAAGAAAACAACACTGGTCACTACCATTGAAACTTTTACCAAATCCGGGTCAATGTTATATGTATTGATGAATTCTTACAACAATTCATAAAGAAAGTAGGGCGTAATTGAGAAATGTAATATAATTCAGAATAAAAAATACCGTGTCACACATGCTCACCCATCCCTCCCCCCCCCCCCCCCTCGACTTCATTTAATGAAAACAACCCAAAATCCCTCTCCAACTCCACACCCTTTCACCATCTATTGATGCCATCTAACCGAGTTTGTTTTGTTTGTCAACCCTTGTCAATTAACATCTTCCAGTCCTAATTCATCATATGATGGATACGGTTGTAATAAAGATCATCTTATATTTAAAGCCAATATGTTTATATAGTTTTTGTAAGCCCTAGGAATAATTAAAATAGTTCTAGATATCTTGATCTAGATTCTAGGCCTAGCTTAGTGTCATTTCGGTATTATTTCGATTTCTTGATGCTTAGACTGACTTGCTACCAGTACTAAACAAACTAAACAGTGCCAAAGACATCATTTTGAACTGCAAAAAGTAAAAATGGTATGCTAAATATTTTTCTGGTTTTTTTTTACTATTTAGATATACTTCTAGATTAGATCTAGATCTACTATTTTGAAAAGGAAATCTACCAAATTACTGAAACTAACTAACTAGATCTAGAATAGATATTTATTATTTTTAGGCATTTTGGTAAAAGTAATTACTAAAAATTAGTTAAATTAGTAGGCTAATTAATTTAGGTATTTATTTTTATTCATTATGCCCTACGGCCTATGCCCAGCCGCCTTTACTTTCCCTAACGCCCTAACGTACGTGAGTTACACTAGCTCACGGGTTCCCAACCTGGGGGTCGCGACCCCCCTGGGGGTCGCGAAGGTCTTTCTGGGGGGTCGCCAACTGGTATACTAAACCTTAGTAATTTGAAACAAAACATAACTATTAAAAGAATTTTTGAAATTCGGCTTCATTAAATCACTGGAAATGTAATAGAGAAGAAACAAAGCGCACTGTACAAAGTTGTTCTCAGTCACGAATCTATGAAATCTTCAAAACTAAAACGTCATTTGAGACGAGTCGTTCGGAACACAAAAAATATATGGAGTTCTTTCGTCGGTAAGAAGCTAGTTGCAAACGCCAGAGACTTGATCGAACAGGAAGTTTTCACCAGCATTAGTGCAAGCATCAAATGAAGTCGCGATAGAAAGTGCCAAGAAAAAAAAAAAACAATAGGAGAAAATCTCATCAAACGCTGCATGTACGTAAATGTTAAATAACACATTGTTATCGAAATTAAGCTTTCACCATTGTTTGCTTTTCAAGTTGATAAATCAACAGACGTGAGTTCGTGTTCGCAGTTGCTGGTCTGTGTCTATATTCATGCGGATGATAGCAAAGAAGAGTTGCTCTTTTGTGAAGATAGCATGGAGAAAATAAATACCTTTTTTGAAACTGGATGATTAAAATGGGTTAGAACGGCTGTGGGGGTTTGTACGGATAGTGTGCCATCTATGTTTAGCTCAAAATCGGACTTTCAGAAAACAGAAAAGATTTAGCTTTCTAACCACTGCCCTAACCAATCGACATCAAGAGTCCATTGCTAGTATAAGTTGTAAATTATATAAAATCTGGAGCCTTCAAAGAACTGAGCAAAAACATTTATATAGATCACGAGGTTCTGCTCTTCTACAATATAGTACGCTGGCTGTAAAACGAAATGTTGTAAATTGTGTTTTTGAATTGAAATCTGAAATCAAATTGTTCTTGGAAGTGCAAAGGAAACAAGACTTTTTGGTATACTTAAAACGACATAGAGTGGTTGGAGAGAGTATCAAACCTAGCAGATGTGTTCGAACATCAAGATAAGCTTAACCTGAAGCTTCAGGGAAAATGAACGAATATTATAACTTTCATGATAATCTCGGGGCATTTTTATCAAAGCTGCAAAATCGGTAAAGAAAATAAATCTTCGAAATATTGTAAATTTGAGAAACTCTGCGGTGTGGTAGATGAATCTGTGAGATAATTAAAATTTTGAAAGAAGCGATTTCTGGGCATCTTGAATCTCTTGAAAACGAACTGCATCGCTATTTCTCTGAGCTGAAAAAAGAAGAATCTGCATTTACGCATTACCCATTCTCTTCTTCCCTTGATGTTGCCAGCATTCCCGATGAATTACAAGATGAATTCTTTGATTTGCAGAATGATTCCGAGTAAGATGAAAAACTGCAGACACAATTTTGGTGTAGTATTCACCATTCATACCGAAACGTAAAATTGATTGACTATTCGAGAATATATTTTCAACACTATTCTTCGGTTAAAAATAAAATTAAGATAATTATAATGACATAGGTTGGCGTTAACAAAAATTTTTTTAAATTAAAAACTTAACCACAAAGGCTTAGTGAATAGTATGCAAATTTACTCATGCTATTCAAATAGTTATCAAGAGTAGTTCATATTGAAAGTCTACTAGACCATCTTATTTTAGTGCTTATTAATTTCCATACTAATTTCTGCTTTTTAATTCTATGGGGGTCGCGGGTCATTTACTTTTTATAAAAGGGGGTCGCCACTCGAAAAAGGTTGGGAACCACTGCACTAGCTAGTTACTAGTTAGTTACAGAGTTAGATCTAGTTACCCATCAGAGATGGGTGGACTCAGGGATGGTCTACTCACTGACTTGAAGCTGGATTCGAACTCGAGACTTATGGTTAGCAGTCCAACTCACTACCGCAAGACTACTCTGTCCCAATCATACCTAAAACGGTAGATTCATTATTTAGAATCTAGATCTAATCTAGAAAAAAACTATTGGCTTTTCAAATTCATTCTGTCACAAAGTCACTAAATGTGTGGGTGCTGAGGTTAGCAGTTTATATGTGAATGTGTGGGTATAGAAGTCACTAAATGTGTGGGTGCTGAGGTTAGCAGTTTATATGTGAATGTGTGGGTATAGAAGTCACTAAATGTGTGGGTGCTGAGGTTAGCAGTTTATATGTGAATGTGTGGGTATAGAAGTCACTAAATGTGTGGGTGTTGAGGTTAGCAGTTTATATGTGAATGTGTGGGTATAGAAGTCACTAAATGTGTGGGTGTTGAGGTTAGCAGTTTATATGTGAATGTGTGGGTATAGAAGTCACTAAATGTGTGGGTGCTGAGGTTAGCAGTTTATATGTGAATGTGTGGGTATAGAAGTCACTAAATGTGTGGGTGCTGAGGTTAGCAGTTTATATGTGAATGTGTGGGTATAGAAGTCACTAAATGTGTGGGTGCTGAGGTTAGCAGTTTATATGTGAATGTGTGGGTATAGAAGTCACTAAATGTGTGGGTGTTGAGGTTAGCAGTTTATATGTGAATGTGTGGGTATAGAAGTCACTAAATGTGTGGGTGTTGAGGTTAGCAGTTTATATGTGAATGTGTGGGTATAGAAGTCACTAAATGTGTGGGTGCTGAGGTTAGCAGTTTATATGTGAATGTGTGGGTATAGAAGTCACTAAATGTGTGGGTGTTGAGGTTAGCAGTTTATATGTGAATGTGTGGGTATAGAAGTCACTAAATGTGTGGGTGTTGAGGTTAGCAGTTTATATGTGAATGTGTGGGTATAGAAGTCACTAAATGTGTGGGTGTTGAGGTTAGCAGTTTATATGTGAATGTGTGGGTATAGAAGTCACTAAATGTGTGGGTGTTGAGGTTAGCAGTTTATATGTATTTCAATAGTTTTCCACCAGTCGTATAACCCCCTTTTTAAATTATAGATTGGGTTTAATCTTTCCATGCTTATATGACTCAAATGGTGGAACCTATTTTGTGTGCCAACTTGTTCTATACAGTTTCATTCGTTGAATTCTTTTTTTTTTTTTAGAAAATTAATAAAACAGTTTCAAACAATCCTAAAAATAAAATCTTTATTGGACGTGGCCGAGGTGGAAAACATGCCAAAGAAAAGAAATCTCGAGGGAGGCCAAGGTTGTTATCAGATCAAGATATCAGTTCAAAATGGACTTTACAGGAAAAAACTAAACTTCTGAAAGGTTTAAAAATGTGAGTCTTTGTAATAAAAGGGATATTATTACTTACTATTTACATTAATAGAGTTTTTATAAATATTTCAAGTTTCATATTTATTTTGGGAATAATTTGATTTATTTTCTAAATGGTTTGAACTTAAATGGCATTGTTTTAACAAATTTCTATTTTGAACTTAAGATATGAAGCTAATGATTTGAAGGCCTTGAGCGAAATGGTTGCCTCAAAAACTCCAGATGAGGTAATTAATCAATTTTACAGATATATATTTGAGTGTTCTTTGTTAAGTGATAAAGGTCTACTCTTGGATTAGTGAAAGAAACACACACTAGACTCACCATTTTAATGATGAGCAGGTGTTTAAATGTGAAGTCCAGAACTTCAAAAGTTCTGGAGATGGCATGAATCTTGGTTTTCTAGAACCCTCTGAGCACAGACCTGCCCTGCTAACATTCGCAAATTATGATAAAGCTGTGTTGGGTCCAATGAGTTTCTTTTTTTTTGTCAATTCACGTGCACATTTTTTAACCTAAGTTTGTCTGGTGGTGCAGGTTGAAGAGTTGATCCAGGCCATGAGGACCGCTGAGACGAAAAGATGCCACTACCAGCTGCCCGCAGGCTAGTCAGACATTTCTTCTGTTCATTGGTCCATTAAAATTTCCATTATTTTACTGTTTGCTTTTAATTGGTCCTAAATACAACACAGTAATGTAATTGAATATGATCAAGTAGCATATCTACTTATGTTATCTACACTTATTGGTTAAATGTCACAATAACTTGTCTCATGCCATACTGTTAAAATGCACAATTAAATAAATACACTTTTTTATGTAATCTTAGATTCCAATGCTATGAAGAAAAATCCTTTAGAGGTAATTTGTTTTTGGTTTTCTTTCTGTGTTTTATTCAATGCCAGTGTTTATGGATATTTATTTATTTATTTAAATCTCAAACAACTGTATAAAGTATCATAAAATAATAGCTATGTATAACTCTTCCTGTACAGATTTGGCTGGCATTGATGAATGAAATGGTCTACTTTGAGAACAAAGATTTGTCAACATTCCTTCCAGAGGTTGGCACCATTTTATTTCATCATTACAATCCATGGCACAGGTGACCTAACTCACTGACATAACTACACTGACCTAACAATATTGACCTAACAACATTGACCTAACAACACTGACCTAACTACACTAACCTAACAACACTGACCTAACAACACTGACCTAACAACATTGACCTAACAACATTGACCTAACTACACTAACCTAACAACACTGACCTAACAACACTGACCTAACAACACTGACCTAACAACACTGACCTAACTACAATGACCTAACAACACTGACCTAACACCACTGACCTAACAACATTGACCTAACAACATTGACCTAACAACACTGACCTAACAACACCAAAGAAAACCAAAAAGCCAATTAGCTACTTACATTCAATTTTTATGTTAGTTTCTCTCTCTTGCATTTACTTGCATATCTTTAGTTTTTTTTTTCTCCTGTTTGAATAGCTATAGTAATACATCATACTTTAAACAAGAAACGTACCTGATCTCTGTTGTCGAAATCCTACGTCCAATAAAAGTTCTTACTCTCATCACTATTTATCTAGATCCTGTGTACTATTGTCTCACCACTATTTATCTAGATCCTGTGTACTATTGTCTCACCACTATTTATCTAGATCCTGTGTACTATTGTCTCACCACTATTTATCTAGATCCTGTGTATTATTGTCTCACCACTATTTATCTAAAACTAAAGTCCCCCTTTCAAACCTGACGGTCTATGGGGCAAGTAACCTCGGCAAGGGATAGTGTGGTCAGTACTATGCCCAGCAACCTTTACTTTCCCTAACGTGAGTTAAGTACCCAACAGAGCTGGCTGGACAGACTACTAACTTGAACCCTGGTTCAAACTCTGCTAGTCTAGCTCTCTACCACTAGGCCACTCTGTCCCGTTATTTGTCTAGATCCTGTGTATTATTGTCTCACCACCATTTGTCTAGATCCTGGGTATTATTGTCTCACCACCATTTATCTAGATCCTGGGTATTATTGTCTCACCACCATTTGTCTAGATCCTGGGTATTATTGTCTCACCACCATTTATCTAGATCCTGGGTATTATTGTCTCACCACCATTTGTCTAGATCCTGGGTATTATTGTCTCACCACCATTTGTCTAGATCCTGGGTATTATTGTCTCACCACCATTTGTCTAGATCCTGTGTATTATTGTCTCACCACCATTTGTCTAGATCCTGGGTATTATTGTCTCACCACCATTTTTCTAGATCCTGTGTATTATTGTCTCACCACCATTTATCTAGATCCTGTGTATTATTGTCTCACCTTGTCTAGATCCTGTGTATTATTGTCTCACCTTGTCTAGATCCTGGGTATTATTGTCTCACCTTGTCTAGATCCTGTGTATTATTGTCTCACCTTGTCTAGATCCTGTGTATTATTGTCTCACCTTGTCTAGATCCTGTGTATTATTGTCTCACCTTGTCTAGATCCTGTGTATTATTGTCTCACCTTGTCTAGATCCTGGGTATTATTGTCTCACCTTGTCTAGATCCTGTGTATTATTGTCTCACCTTGTCTAGATCCTGTGTATTATTGTCTCACCTTGTCTAGATCCTGTGTATTATTGTCTCACCATTTGTCTAGATCCTGGGTATTATTGTCTCACCACCATTTATCTAGATCCTGTGTATTATTGTCTCACCACTGTCTAGATCCTGTGTATTATTGTCTCACCACTGTCTAGATCCTGGGTATTATTGTCTCACCTTGTCTAGATCCTGTGTATTATTGTCTCACCTTGTCTAGATCCTGTGTATTATTGTCTCACCTTGTCTAGATCCTGTGTATTATTGTCTTATCACCATTTGTCTAGATCCTGGGTATTATTACCAAAAATGAGCAGTTTGAGGAATCGCAGCACAAAAAGCTACACTGGGACAACATTTACCAGTACTTAACTTACTTGGCAAAAGGAGATAATCCGCCAAAAAGGCTTTCCAATATAGGTTAGTGTACTTTAGTTTTAAGATGTAGGAAGTTTTCTTATGAATGGTTTAGTAAAATAAACCTAAATATGTTGTAGTCTTCAATAAGATCAAACCACATCTCTAATAAATAGATAAAACTAAACAATTTATTCATAATAAAAGTAACATTTACTGTAATGTTCTTTATAATTTGTAACCCTAGGGTTGATTTTTTTTTTCTAAAATCAGAAGCGTTGGTTCTTCTGGACATCATGCAGAACTTGGGGGACACTTTTAAGGAGCTGGACACCACAGAACAGAGACGTGTCCTCAACATTAAGCACGAACTGCTTAGTTTTCACACAGTGGAGCTGCCGAGGACTCAGCGAGAGATTGGCACATTCAGAGTTGCACTAGCACTTAGTAATAGTAGGTCTTCCCTTTCTTCTGGAATAGTACCTGATTACATAGTCTATAGTAGGTCTTCCATTTCTTATACATAGTCACTAGTAGGTCTTCCCTTTCTTCTAGAATAGTACCTGATTGCACAGTGACTAGTAGGCAGAGTTTCAGTCAGGCAGCTCTCAGGGACAAATAGAAAGAAATATAGAATTTATGTTGTAGAAAATAGATACTTAAACTAGTGGCGTCTAAACTCTATCCGTTATCATGGTCTCCCTCCCCAGAATTAAAAGTCTGAAAGAAACGGAAACAAATGTGCATTTTTACAAGTTTTACCATTTTAACAGCTTTTTTTACTTCATTAATAGTGCTAAAACTATATTAACAGAATTAATTAGAAAAAATTAATAAAAACAGTTGTAATTTATTGCTCTCATGTTATCTGAAGTTTGTGATATATATATATATATATATATATATATATATATATATATATATATATATATATATATATACTAGCTGCATACCCGTACCCAGCCACAGTGAATCTTTTTTTTAAATGTACCAACTTGGGAAGAGAACAAAACCAAAGAAGAACAAACACAACGCAATACACAAAAGAAAAGCATAAACTCAAACAAAAACGCAAACAGTAAAAACCCAAATGCAAACGCTTTATCAAATGGCTTTATGAAACAAACGACCATGCTTTCTTGAGTGTCCGCGCCCAGTGAGAGCCTTTCCTACATTCTCTATTTAACCATCCTCTTAAATAACATAGAAATAAAAAAAAACTATAAAACCAGAAAATAATTTAAATAATCTTGACATTAATCTATTTTAATTATGAGCCTTAACATAAAATAAAACAAATGCGGTAGGAATAAAAAAAAGTTGTTACATAAATAGATCCTACTCCATTGCTTTTAATAAGACAATGTGATGCAAGTAAAATGCACCACATGTGTTGTTGTTTACTATAGCAATGACTGACTGACAGACTGACTGACACACTAACAGCCCGCTTATATCATCTATATATCTATCTTCTATATATATATACCTATAAATATATCTATATATATATCAAAAGCAATGTTTTTTTTTGTCTTTTATGCATTTCTACACCTTTCATCCAATCACCATAAAACTTTGCGAAGCTGTTGAGAATACACCTGGGGAGGTACCTGCAGGAAAAAATTGCGCCCTGAGGGGGGGGGGTGTGCAGTGTGGCGCCCCGAGCTTTCCCATTTGTTTTATAAAGGGTGATAGACTAAGGATAAGATGGGTTGTTATGGTCGTTAACTAAATTGAATCAACTGCGTTCGCCGGCGCCCCAGAAGAGTGCAATTGAGTGCTATGGCCCTTACGTTCGTTTTAAACAGTAAGAAGGAATATGCATAAGATGGGGTAATAGAGTCGTTCACTAACCATAATCAGGCCCGTTCCCCCGGTGCTATTTGGCACCCTGGGTTATCCTGTGAGCACCATGGCGCTTACATTAGTTTAAGGAGCCAGGGGCCGTACGTGTAACCCTCGGGTTAAGGTGATTATGAGCTCTAGAGAGTGCCCTTCTACGTCCCTAACACCTGGGCGGTCACTGAAGTATGTTCTACCTCACTATATATGTATATATACCTATGTATACACTCATAAACATTTAATCCGTGCCCAGTAATACCATTTTTACCCTGTTCATCTACCTGCAGAATTTGATAATTGTGAAGAAGACCTTGATGCCACATGTGACAACGATCCTGCTTCAAGTGGATCTCAGGCAGCACAATCTACTTGTGACCTAACAGCTGGGCCAAGCCACGCCCCTGACCTGTGCCAACCTTCAACCTCTGACCTGTGCCACCCTTCAACCTCTGACCTGTGCCAACCTTCAACCTCTGACCTGTGCCAACCTTCAACCTCTGACCTGTGCCACCCTTCAACCCCTGACCTGTGCCAGCCTTCAACCCCTGACCTGTGCCAACCTTCAACCTCCGACCTGTGCCACCCTTCAACCCCTGACCTGCGCCAGCCTTCAACCTCTGACCCATCAGCTAGTCAAGCCAACCTTGCTTCCTGTTCTGCTGGTGTCCTCAAGTTTACGTTCCCAATCAAAGGTTGCAAAAAGCTGATCAAACCCAAGTTTTTTAGTCTAAATCCCTTGTGTATATCATCTAAATTAATGCAGATTGAGAAGAAAAAGAAAGCAGAGGGAGAAACTTCATGAAGAACCTCACACCTTGTTGACTGTTGTTTTTTGTTATGCTTACTTCTTGCATGCCTGAAGGAAGGTGTACATATTTTGGTGATGAAGAACCTCACACCTTGTTGACTATTGGTTTTTGTTATGCTTACTTCTAGCATGCCTGAAGGAAGGTGTACATATTTTGGTGATGAAGAACCTCACACCTTGTTGATTATTGTTTTTTGTTATGCTTACTTCTTGCATGCCTGAAGGAAGGTGTACATATTTTGGTGATGAAGAACCTCAACCTTGTTGACTATTGTTTTTTGTTATGCCTATTTCTTGCATGCCTGAAGGAAGTGTACATATTTTGGTGATGAAGAACCTCAACCTTGTTGACTATTGTTTTTTGTTATGCTTACTTCTTGCATGCCTGAAGGTGTACATAATTTGGTGATGAAGAACCTACCTTGTTGTTGACTTGTTTTTTGTTATGCTTATTTCTTGCATGCCTGAAGGTGTACATATTTTGGTGATGAAGAACCTCAACCTTGTTGACTGTTGTTTTTTGTTATTCTTATTTCTTGCATGCCTGAAGGAAGGTGTACATATTTTGGTGGTGAAGAACCTCACACCTTGTTCAAGTTGTTGACTGCTGTTTTTTGATCATATCTTGCATGCCTGAAGGAAGTGGACATATTTTGGTGATGAACCTCACACCTTGTTCAAGTTGTTGACTGCTGTTTTTTGTTGTTTTTTTATCATATCTTGCATGCCTGAAGGAAGTGGACATATTTTGGTGGTGAAGAACCTCACACCTTGTTCAAGTTGTTGACTGCTGTTTTCTGTTGTTTTTTTTATCATATCTTGCATGACTGAAGTTGTACATATTTTGGTAATGAAGAACCTCATACCTTGTTGACTATTGGTTTTTGTTATGCTTATTTCTTGCATGCCTGAGGGTGTACATACTTTGGTGATTGTTGTAGATTTTTTCCCCAAGGCTTGTCACCTGTTTTCAGCACAAAAATTGTTCTAATTGGATCTAGTAGATCCCATCCCATGAAGGTTTCTTGTAACAGTTACAAAGCTTTTATTGTTGAGTGAGATTGTTTATTGACATTTTTGTGAAAACATAAACCTTGGTTTACACAACTTTTGTAATTGCTGAGTTTCATTAAAGTGTTAAAATATGTGTGCCTTACTTAAGTATGTACTTGTGTTTATCAAGCTTGCAACTCAATCATTCAAAAATAATACACCATAGGATATTAAAATATGCAAAACAGGTATGTTTATTAATTCAGAGGACATATTTACAAGAATCTTACATCATCACTGCTATCTTAGATAACAAAGAGCAAACATACTTATACACAAAGTCATTGTCTAGACAAACTGGTACTTGAATCAACCGCTAAACTAGTTGGATCTTATATTGGACATCTGTAAACTGCGTAGGTCTTTACAAATTAGAAACAGAGACTAACCTTCAATAGAAAGTCCTCTCGTACATTAGGTTAGTTCTTTTTACTTGAGATGCTTCTATTTGTCCTTCTACAATAACAGAAATGCCTAACAATATTTTCATTTCAGTGGTCTCAATAATTATTTGTACATCATTATTACCTACAAACAAGCTCAAGTTAGTTAAAAATCATGCCATATTCATCAGATAACTAAATAAAAATGTTTAAAGCAATCTCAGCTGACCTTATAATCTTTGTATGATATACACCCCATTGATTATTTATAATGTTCCAAAAAGATTCAACTTTTTATTGTTCAAAACCAAACGTACTAGCTATTTCCAGAATGCTAAAATAAATATTGTAGCAGTCTATTTCATCCAAGAAGTTGACACATGTATAATGAAACAAATTTATAAAACCATCTAAATGTTAGGATGTTTTATCGGTGTTCTCATCATTAGATACTGTGGTTTTCATCTCCCCACTCTCCTCCTTGAAAGACTTCTGTAGAACATATGCATCCGCTGGCTCAATACGTTTATAATAATTCTTTTTCTCCTCCACTATTTTGAAGCCAAATTTTTCATAAAACTTTATTGCCCCTTCATTGTTGACTTGGACATGCCTGTTAGGAAACATTGTATTATTATTATCTTGCTTATTTCATCAAATTTGATTCACTATTATTTATTCACAAAGTACCAAGCAAACGTAGCAAATTCTATTTAAAAAACTATATGAAATTTTTAATTCATCATATAAAAAAGTGAAAGATTAAAAAAAGCATTGACTTCAGTTCATAAGATGTCCTCGAGTCCACCTGATTCATATTAGGAAAAGTAGAAATGGTTGTGCATAGAACTGATCACACTATGCCTAAATACACATAGATCTAGTACCAAAACATGTCCTGGTGTATTGTGACTGCTCTAAAAACATGACTTACAAAAAGACGTTGTCTATGTTCCCATCCTTGGCACAGATATTTAAAACATGTTCCAGCATCACAGTACCTGTGGTCAATTCAAATAAACAATAAATCAATACAACCTCACAAAAACCATAACTCTATACAACCACATTCAATACCACAACAATTTATAAGGCTGCTTAAATTAACAACTCACCAATCCCCAGCCTTCTGTAGGGGGCCAGACATCCTAATGTCATGATGTAGAGCCTACGAACATTTTCTGATGTGTCGATTCTGCAGCACACAGCACCAATCACTATATCATTGTAGTACGCTGGGAGTTTTAAGAAAAAAAAAATTACAATATTTTGCTACATCAGCAGCTTATTTTCAACTTACCAGAAAATACCAGTTGAAGAATAAATAAGTGACTGTTTCAACATAGAGGGGGAAAAAGGCACAAAATTTCTTGATCAAGATATAAATTTAATTTGAAAAAGACTAGAAATATCCACAACAACACTCTAAGTTTTGATTGAAATATGAAGTTTTAATTTATGAGAATGTACCAACAAATTTTAAGAAACAAGATTCTTACCTAACTTAGCAAGTTCACCGACCTCAAGAACATCTTTGTAAAACTTATCATTGTAGGTAACAGGGAATACAACCTGATTTAACCGCTTGAGCTGTTTGATATTGTGAGGAGTAATGTCTCCTAGTTCTGTCCTGCCTCTTAAGAAAAAAATGATTCTTTAAGAATTCCATTGTAACACAATTTAGTTTAATTCTTCTATTAACGAAAAAGAAAGTTTATATACTTATTTTCAATGCATTTAAACACGTTTTTACAAAGTTTTAAAATTAATTTAGCATTACGGTTTCAAAAAAGAAAATTCCAATTTGGTATAAGTGGGAGGCATTGGGTGAAGTGTACATTATTTTAAGATGGGGTTGGGGTCTGATAATCTATTCAAAAAGGTGTAGGTGTATGTAATATAGCCTATCTAATTTATCAACCTTACTCTTTATAATTATCTTTTGTGAGAACTATAATTATTAATTGATTCAGCCCGGCCTAATCTATGAAGTCCTCCATCCAATTACTTCTTAGCCTTGCCCTTCTTATCCCTCCTGGCACAGTACCCAGCAATATTGTTTTGTTAGGCCATTGGTTTGTGTGACATGCCAATACCATCTCAGTTTCCTTGTTTTAACTCATGAACTCACTGACAGTTTGAATCAGTGATCTTTTCATACACCTCTTCATTTGTCATCTTACTTCCAGGGATTCTCCTCATAAGGTCAACATTGAGGGTCCATGCTTTACTTTCATACAGGAAGACTAACATGGCTAGTGATGGCATGAGTTAGTGCCTATAAAAGTCTTTAAGCCACCCCAAATGCTTCTTAATCTTAACTTACTGAGTCATCCAATGTTGATAGAGCTGACTAGAAATACATCTAATTTCTAAATACTGTTATAGAAACAACTATCAGTAGGCCTACAAGGCACCAATTACATCTAAACTAGTGAAGTTTTAGTGTAGTGAAATGGAGTTGTAGGAAGGGTCTTGGCAAAATGCAAGACACAAAATGACAAAATGGAGAAGCTGTAAAATTTGAGAATGGTGGGATGTTTTTGTTTTATGGTCTTGGTCATTAATGATTATTCTAAACTTCGTCGCTTGTGTGATAGCCGGCTCTCATTCTCTTGTCAGCGTGCTCACATTCTCGACAGCGTGAGGCAGTAAACTTGAGTAAACTAGAAGAGGCCAATAAATTACGCTAAATTTGAGTTTTACCAATCATTGACTTGTTTAGTTGAAAACCTTTCAGCCCTTTCTTCTCATTGTCTCATAGAGATCGATCTAGAACTAGATTCTAGAGTAAAGTGGCGTCTGCGGACAGTCGTAGCAAAAAAATCGGAAGTGCCGATTTCCATTGAGCGCCATTCAGTAACCGCTTCACATAGAAACAAACCGAAAGTACCGTCTCACTCCGCATTCTTTCTAGTTTAATCACGTCTGATTCATTTTGTATTCATACGCATAGCATTGAATGTATTAACATTTTCAGTGGTGAGACTCTGTGCGGACAGTAAGTGCACTTTTTTTTACATTTTATTTTCTGTGCGGACACTTGCTCCTTATGCGGACAAGGCATATTTTGTTCATTTTGTTTCTATTTAAATGATTGAAATAAACATGTTACATACATAAATAGTGTTGTTGATTGTTTTATATATTAATATATTGGAAAACAAAAAATATGAAGAAATATGAAATAAGTTTTAATTAAATTAAAGTGATGCCTGAAAGAAACTCAGGACCCAGTTGAGATTTTATTTCACTTTTTGCTTAGTAGACAAGTTTGATGATCAAAAATATTTTTAAAACCTAAAAACATTACTAAAAACTAATAGATCTAGATTTAGACTTAATTTAAATATAAATCTGGAGTATCAAGATTAGTTTAAAGCTCCTTTTTACTTAAAGTGTAAGAAATATACTCTGATTTTTCATTAGTGTCCGCAAAAGTAGCGATGTCGGCATCGCCGCCATCTTGCTTTAAGAACGGCAACCGGGGAATTTCGCTATTGTAAAATTTCGTCGATTATCTTCCTTATTGAAATACATAGTGAGAAAATATAGGGATTTTAAAGTAATCGATTCAATTTCGTAGTCGGGCCAACTTTTCACCAATTTAATGAAATAATGTGTGATTTTAAACTGCTAACTGCATTACTTTTCTCTCTTCCTTCTCCAAGTTATAATATTGCGAAACGTGGTCTAATTTTGTGCGTGTTTCAACGACAACTTTTGATAGAAAGGTGAGTTTATCAAGCTATCTCTTTGTATTCTCAAAAATTACATTATGTATATTATAAGTTAATAATGATTTCATCTAATTTGAGGTACCTTTTCTAGTGGTATTTTGACCGAAAAAAGGGTGTTTGATTCACCACAATAACGCCATTTTATAATAAAAAAATATGGCGAGACCGGAAAGCCTATAGGGGCGTGGGGGCCGGCGTCGCCTTTATAAATGTTCACTTGTTCCTTAATCGTAGAGTTTATTGCAAATGAATGATTGCCTTTTAAAAATAAAAGATGTATAAATATGTTAAAGGCTGTTGAAGAAAGCCAGTGGGTTTTTTTTTGCACATCAAGCTAATAACCAATAATAAATTACCACTCAAGAAAAGAAATTATTTTTAAGCATATATTTCCTTATCCCTTACTTTATTATGCTACACACTTGCCTCTATTAAAACAATAAATTCTACTTTTACAGTAGTATTAATGTTGATTTCTTTTCCTCTAGATATATGATCAAGAGTATGGATGAGGAAATGAATACTTCAGCAGGTGGTAAATCTACAGGCTCTGGGAGCCCTGATAAGCATTCTGCCAAAGATTTACCAATTCTGATTAATCAGTATTCTGACTTTCGGACAGCAGCTGGCATAAAGCAAGGCCATATAATTCATGTATGGTATGAAAATAAAAAACAAATTAAAAAGGCAGTGCAAGTTTTGGAAGAAATAATACCAGCGTCAAGTAACAGTCATCAACTTTATAATAAAATCAACAGATTATGTGTTAAATTTAGATCTCTTAAGCCACAAGCACAATGGGATAAAATTATAAATTTTATGGAAATGCCATTTCAAGAGCCTGTACCTAAAGAAAAGGGGATTGTCTCAAAGTTAGCACCTGAATTAATAACAACACTAATCCCCCCAAAACAAGCCTCACCTTTAAAACTTAAACAAGACTGTGTAAGTTGTGCATACAAAAGAAAGTCTACAGAACAGTTATTGAAATCAAATAAAAAATTGAAAACTAGTTTAAAATTCTATCAAAATGAACTTCAATCAAATAAAGTTTTTCAAATTAAAGATCTAAATAAAAAAATTAAACGACTCACTGACAGACTCCTCAAACAAGAGAAAAAGAATAGACAGTTGGAAGCAGAGAAAGTAGAGATTAAAAAAAAACTTAACTGCAATCCGTTTGCAGATTCCATCCAATACAAAATGAAACTGAATCAAGTTGCCAGTTTAAAGAAAAAATTATCAAGAAGAGAAAGAAAAATTGAAGCACTAGAAAATATGGTCAAGATCAAAAACAAAACCATCAAAAATTTAAAATCAATGGTCAATGATTTAGAATTAATGTATGATAATGCCATCAACATGCAAGAACCCCAAGAAGAGGGACAAAATATTGTAACCAAAGAAGGAAAGCATTATGGTACTTCTATGAGAATTTGTATGTACCAATCTTTGTTGAAAAATGTTTCTGTGTTAGCTGCTGGACAGCTATTACAGTTTTTCCTGGAGCAGGAAGCTGGAATGAAACTTGACTGCGTGCCTCGCAAATCTACAGTGGCTCAAATGGCTTATGAAATAGGCATTTTAGCTGATCTGCAGGTTGGCGAGGCACTTGCATCCCTTGATGGTGCTACACTGTCATGGGATGCAACCACCATTGATGGAAGTCATGTAAATGAAATCCATATTTCTGCTGCAGGTAAAACTCTTGCTGTTGATGTAAAACCTTTACCTGGTGGTAAAGCTGTAGATTACATAGAACATATTAGTGTTAAGTTAAAAGATATTGTAAACATATATTGTAAATACATAAATCATCCAAATTTAGAGCAGCTGTACAAAACTCTTATGTCCACCATTAAATCCACTGTGACAGATAGGGCAGCTGTGAATCATTGTGTTGTAAACCAGCTGAATACTTTGTTACAGACACACCTGCTGGAATTGAATTGCAATGTTCATCCGCTAGATAGTTTTGCTGCTGGTGCCAGAAGAGCATTGGAAAATGATACTGAGATAGGCAACAAGACATTGCACTGTATTTTGAGTATTTCCAAGCTCAGATACAAGCAATCCAGTGGAGACCCTAGCGGGTTCAAGACCTATTTTAGAGAAAAAAATATTCCAGTGGGAGTTTTCCTTCGGTACGTCGGTAACCGGTTGCACATTTTATTCCATTCAGCTGGAATTATAATTTTATATCTGAAAGAGCTGAAGAAATTTGTTGAATTAGGAGGCACCAACCTTAAAAAAAGCATTAAGGAAGAGCTGGATGACCCTAGGGTTGTTGCTCAATTAATTGCACTCGGGTTAATTGGGAAAACAGTCACAGGGCCATGGATGACTAAATTCTATGCAAATTCAATGAATTTAGACATGGTCCCTGTGATACAAAGCTCTAAAAATGTTTTGGACAGGTTTGCTGCTGAGCCAGAAGAGTTGTTATGTCCCACTGTGAATGTTTTTAATGAACCCATTGATGCAGCTTCAGACATGGTGCTGACAGCAATCATCAACAATATTGAATCCCACAGGGATAAAGTAAAGCAAACTTTGAAGCAAATATTACATGAAATTGTTAAGGTCTTTGACCGCCAGTTTGTTCGATATACCAGTGGTGACCTTTCTAGCCCTACAGTTGAGCAGTTGACACAAGCTTCAACTGCTCCTTCACACAACATGGCAGCTGAGAGAATATTAGGAATGACTGACTATTTATGGCGTCGGGCCCCTAATGCGACAGCTGGTTTTGTAGACGGAAAGGTGAGAGGAAGGACAAATGATACTGTAGGATGGCTTCTGCAACAGGACAAAATGACCCAACATAGATTAGTTTATTTTGCAATGAAAGAGGGGTACAGAGCAAGGGAACTTGCAGCACAAAGGAAGAAGATGATGGAAGCAGTGATGATGCGTCGAATGCTAGAAGCTGGTCAGAAACATGAACAATCCAACCGTAAGGCTCTAGAAAAAGAGGTTGCTATGGCTTTGAGTGCTAAAGATCTGAATGCTAGTGTGTTTTCATCTGCGTCATCTGAAGTTATGGGCCTCATTGCAATGTATATTACTTCAGAAAATCCTATGTCTGAACTGACTGAAACCTATACAGGACATCTACTCAAGCATTTATGGACAGAGGAAGGAGTTGATAAAATGTATTCTGGCAGAGTGGTAAATTTTAAGCAACAGAAGACTAAGACAATGAAATGTACAATTACTGGGGACCTGATGAATTGGAAACTGACAGTGTTGACTATGACATGACAATGACATCTCTAGTCACTGATTTACTGACAGGTGACCTTGTGTTTAGTAGCTAGGATGACAGTAGTAGTCCATGTTGTACAAAGCTTAACTTGGTATAAGTCTCACCTGTTATTGTATTGATGTAAGCTATGTCTACCTTAAAAGTTTATTGTTTTGATGTATATATTAACTTTGCTTTTTGTTTAATTGTGTAAATTTAATTATTTATTGAGAATCATTTAATATAAAACATTTATCCTGATAAGATAATAGTCAGAGATGAGTTGTTTTTTTTACTTGCAATGTTATTAATTTGGTGTAGGCTTCCTGAAATGTTATTTAAGTTATTCTACTTGTTGTGTTCCTAATAATAATAGTTTTTAAAGACAACCATTCAGTAAATAAAACTCCTGGCTTGCCAGTGTGCCTAAGATAAATTGTTCGGTTTAATTTATTAAAAAAAAATTAGTGCCTACTACCTTTTTATTCAATTTGTTCTGCTACTGGCAAGTCTATTAATTAATAAATGTAATTCGAACATGCTGAAGTAAGATCATGCAGAGTTTTAACATTGTACCTTTAAAAACAACTGAGCAGTGCAACTTAGAAATTAGGGCCCATAATAGTCTAAATGTATCCCTTAAAGGAATGCTAATTATTCTGCTCCCAGTGAATGAATTAATGATTTCAATTAATATATGTAATTCAAACATGCTGAAGTAAGATCCTGCAAAGTTTAAACATTGTAGTTTTAAAAACAACTGAGCAGTGCAACTTAGAAATTAGGGCCCATAATAGCCGTAATGTATCCCTTAAAGGAATGTTAATTATTCTGCTCCCAGTGAATGACTTAATGATTTCAATTAATATATGTTATTCTAACATGCTGAAGTTAGATCCTGCAAAGTTTTAACATTGTATCTTTAAAAATAACTGAGCAGTGCTATTTCAAAGTTAGGGGACAGTGATTTTCATGACTTACAAAGAAATATAGTGGACATTCACCCATTACGTAAAAAATTCATAAAAAAAAAAATACTGAAGCTAGAAAGAAAATTTTTTCAGTGTTATTCTAGTTACATCAAGCACAATATTTTTGCAATGCTCATACATTTAATTAGCCAATTTTAATTTTTTTAATGGAATGCCTAGCAAAAGGTTAACCCTCAAAAAAGATGCGGACACCCCAATTTTTCCTCTAAGATGGCTTAAACAACCTTAACTATGATATTTATAGCTTTCTATATATATATATAAGCTATTTATAGTTAACCCAGTTAACTAAGCTATGATTGGTTCGATTTATTCCTCTAATCCGGGGACTAGTGCTCTTCATCCGGGTGAGGTTTCCTACCGTAAAACGTCATACATCGCAACTTTGAAAAATTCCAATTAATCTCCCTATTGACTATTGAGTGAAATAGAAGAAATGGACTCAGATGTGTTTAAAAATGGACATGCTTTGTGTTGTTTGCGTTTGTTTCCTATAAAACATTCATACAATTATTGTTTAAGCGAAAAACAGCAAGGTGTCCGCACAGAGCCGGACAGAGGCAACTGTCCGCAGACGCCACTTTACTCTAGATCTAGATCTCCAGAAAAAAAAATCAACCTGATGTGTTGTATTGTAGATCTAAAATACTACCTAATACAGAGTGTTTATTTATTGAGTTAGCACTTAGATATATAGATCTAGATCTAGTCTAGAATGATGATCTAGACTAGATCTTTAGAATCTAGCAGTGAGTTAGGTTTTTTATTTTACTCTGGAATGGATGGTAACCTAGCCTCGATCTATAAAATGTAGTCTATAGATTCTATATCTAGTTCAGTAGGCAACAAAAGGGGGCGTTTGATAAATGGTGAAGTGTCTTTTAATTAAAATAACATTTGCATTTTACGTACTTTGTCATTTTCTCCAACTAACAGTAAATTAACTAATAGAAATAACACCAAATTATGCGCAGTGTGTATACACGAGATACGGCAAACCCGCCAACGGAAGTAGAATTTTTTAACTGCCAGGAAAGAGTAGCGAACTTGGTCAATAAATTATTAATTAAATTTGATTTAATTAATATACATCTAGATTTAGAATAAAATTGATCTAGATCTAATTCTTATTAACGAATAACATTCGACTGTGTAACAGTAAAAACAAATACCGTTGAGTCTCAATGATTGAGAGTTAGTGACCAGTAAAAACCAATCATCAACATTTTCCAAGATTGGGGAGGCGCTTTTTCGACAAAGTAAATCTCGAAGTAAATCGGGATTGGATAGTACGACACTGTTTGGTCTATATTTTAAGAACTACGAAAAATATTACCAGGCTTTCTATATTTAAGAATACCTAATAAATCTTTTTATTATAATTATAAGTTTAGAATTTTGTATTAAAGAGATGGGTGTAATAAAGCGACTAGGTACCATGGTACAAAACGACAACTGCTACTGCACTTTGTTAATTTGTGCAACTTAGCTGACGATCCAAAACTGCAATATAGGCATACTAGTTTGGGAAATTGTTCTTAAAACACGATAAAAAAAATAAACCAAAATTGATTGCACCTCATGCGAACCGCCCTCTTAACTCTTCTTAGTTTCTTCTACTTTTCTTTCGGCTCCCTAAGAAGCATAGACATAGGCAACACTTCGTCAACTAAATCTCACGCTATGAGAATCCAGCGTCCATCATCTCTTTTTCGAAAGATTTCCTTTGTGGCTTTTTTGTCTCCCACAATTCCTATTTCCCCGTGGATTCCACATTACCCCCTGTTGTTAACATTATTTCTGATGGTGTGCCCGACCACCACCCTGTTGTTAACATTATTTCTGAGGGTGTGCCCCAACCACCACCCCTGTTGTTAACATTATTTCTGAGGGTGTTCCCCGACCACCACCCCTGTTGTTAACATTATTTCTGATCCCAGCTAACACAGCATGTAATACCAGGGTCGGCCCAAGCTTGGCCCAATGTTGTAATCATGGCCAAACATTGGACAAGCTTACGCCAGGGTACAGCCAAGATTTGTACATGCTTGCATCCCTTGATACCTTGATATTTAACCGTTTTTACCTTGGCTGCCAAGATTACACTGATTTATGTATTCACTGCAGAAATTTTAGTTAACTATGCTTGTTAAACTTAATATATGTTAACTAAAATTAAGTTATCTTTTAATATCATGCTCTAATGTAAACATAGCATCAATAACAGACTACGTTGCATGTGTTAAACATTTTGTTAATCTTTTTAAAATTGTGTGCGCTACTGCCACCGGCCCCCTGTCGCCCATTGTCCCTTTGTTCACATTCCTTCCTATTGTTCGCAAGCCAGCATCCCGGTGCTTCGCCATTTTTCTTAACAAAAGACTTTGTATCCAGTCACAGTAAAACAGGTAGGCCCACTGTAGCCATTTTAGTTCAACAGTGAGAAGTAGTATAACTGTATTTATGCAGAATCTGGAAAACTCGTATTTTTTTGTTGGAAACTTTAACTTTATGGGCGTAAGTCATCAAATAAAAGTTATAAAAGGTAGTTTATTTGAGGTAATAAAATGAGCCTAGATCTAGATCTAGTCTAGATCTATATATTAATAATACTAGTCTATATTCTGTTTATTTTGGCATTAGGCTATAATTACATTTTACAATAATCTCCTTTATGATAGATCTAGATAGATCTAGATTCTAATAATACTAAATAACTAAAAATCATAATCAGAGGGCGGTTAATTTTGACAGCACTTTTTTTTTGTATTGAAAAGTATGCAAGTACGTTTGGTGTTATATTGATTATTGATAGATCGGTGTATTTATTGGTTTTCAACTTTAGGTATAATTATCACGCACAGGGGAAAGGGGGGGGGGGGCTTAAATGTTTATAAATTAAAAAATAATCATTCACTTTAACTTTTAAAAAAAACTTAATTTTATTGTTCTAGGCCTATTTGTGTAAGGATTTGAAACTGTCTTTAATAATTAATTCAGAGAGAGAAAGAGAGAGGAACAGTAGACACAATTATAGAACAAATTTCTACATGTTAAACAAACAGTCACAGTGTACTTTGATAGGTATTAATTTTGAAAAAAATTAGTCAACTAGAATTCTAAATTGATTCAAGATTGTCATTCAAATTTCTATTACTATGGGAGAATAAGATGTCATCATCATCACTCCTTTGTGGCCCCTGGGGAGCAAAGGGTTGCAACCACACATCTCCAGCGGACTTGGTTTTGGGCTGCTCCTCTAATCTGTGCCCATGAGAGCCCAGCTGTTTTCGCCTCCTCCTCAACCGTTCTCTTCCATGTTTTCCTTGGCCGGCCCACCCTCCTTTTTCTCTGGGGATTCCAGTCTAATGCATGTTTTGATGAATAAGATGTAAGTTGTGTAAATAGTAGTGTGGAGACCTCAGAGCAACACTTAATTTCATGACCAACAGTGATAAGATGGTACTATTAGTAAGCCATACTTAATGATCAACACTACTCATATTATCATATAGAGGACAGAGTAGGCAAATGGTTGAGGACACTATTGCTAAACATAAAGCCAAGTTAGTAGTACATTCATCAGTTCACCTAAGTCTGATATATACCCAATTTAAGACTATGAAATAAAAAAGGTGGCTAGATATAGTGTTGACTACACAAATCCTTTATATACAGAGATCAACTAAACAGAGATACTTAAAAATAAGTATCTAATCTGGCTATCATTTATTGTATCACTCACTCATTTTATTATTATATTTAATAACTAAGAATGCCATTTATTTTCAGGCCTCCAGGTGTTGTGTATATCAATACGCCCACTGGAGATATATCAATCTTTTAATAAATTATAAGGTCCCCACTGCATGATACTTCACCAAATACTGGCTACACCAGAAAATGACTAAATGTTCTTAACACTTAACAACTGTAAGTTTACATTGTTTCAAAGTGAATAATAATTTTTATTTAGTAATTTTTGCTTGCATGTAATGATCAGCATGTGTAGTTAATGCCTTTAATGATATTAGTAAAATAATTTCAGACCACAAGCATTACTTCTGGGTCACTCTGAAGGGTCTAATCGTTCAATTACTGAATTGATAAAGTTGATGAAATTGCTCAAAAGTGTCTGGCACCTTCTTAACTCAGAGACATAGGGTAAGGGGTTTATAATATTTATATACATACTATTATTTTTTTTATTACCAGGTCTTTTTTTTCACTTTTGTTTTTATATATATATATATATATATATATATATATATATATATATATATATATATATATATATATATATATATATATATATATATATATATATATATGTATGCAGTATAAGTGTTACCTGGGTAGAATGAACACCCCAGACCACCAGTCTTTATACCTATATAATATATCGTTACAAGGTAGCAAACATGATGTTAGGGGCTTCTTGTTGTATGTTCAGTGCAGTGCAAAATAAAATAAACATAATAAATTTAGTGCAAAATGAGCAGGGTATGGTTGTAATTATTTCATAAATGACTTTTAGTGTGTAACTTTTCTTTTTTAGAATGTGGATGGATTATGACATACCTTGCACAAATCAACAACCAGGCTTTTATTGGATTTGAATCCCAAAGGAAAGAGAAAGTCTGTTATCCAAAACAAACATGGAAAATATCAGAAACCAACAAAGCACAAGCAGGCAGAGTGTTATGGACCCAACTTTGGGGAATCTCCTAAAACCAAGTATAAAAATAGAGAGGTGTGGTTGTGTCTCTCAGCTCCACAAGGGTCCACAAGAACGAGGACAACAGTGATTTTCGTAATAATTTTAGATCAGATTTAAAAGAAAAAATTTGATCAGATGGATCAGGTTAACAGTTTAATACATATTGCATTTAAGTGCTTAACGAAAAGAAAAGATGCTCTTACCAAAATAGTCTAAGAAAAATGCTGATTTTAAATTAATAAATTGTTTCCTTTTGTAATAATATAATAATTTAAGTTGGCATTGTATGTATGTTTAGTGTAGATTTAATGCCCTAAATGAAATATACAATTGACATTTTTTTCTTTAAAGAATTAGTTGCAAATTTCTTTCATTATTTAGTTTCACTGTACAATCTGAAAAAAGCTTGCAACATTTGTATTGACAATACTTCTGCTGGTGATATTTATTTCTAATTAATGAAGTAAATTAATATATATTCAGTTTACTATAATTAAATACCTCACACTCGAGGCAAAAAAAAACATATTTATTGAATATCGCAGTGATATTCCTGTTCTACACAATGCGTATAAACCCTCGAACCATCTGTCTTTTGAAAGATTGTACATTTTGTATACACAATGGCATTCATTTCAACACTATTTAACCACAATTATAATCTAGAGATCCTGAACATATTTTCGTTCTGTTATTTATGGACAAGGCAGACTGGTCCAGCATTAAAATGTAAACCTTAATTAGAATACTTAAACGAGCTATGCAATTAAATGTTGTTAGACACATATTTTATACTTTTTATTTTTAATGTTATGTTTACGTATCATAGTACAAGACAGCTTCTGTATTCTTGTACAGTAAATTAAGTTTTTACATTAGTTTAATTTAAACTGTACTTAACATCTGTTACATTATATGAAAATGTTTTGTATATTTGTTTTAATTTGTTTGTATAAAAGTCAAAATGAAAGTTACTACACTATTATTTACATATTCTTTTTCAATCAATACTTTATAGTATAGTTATAATTTTCTTACAATTGAATGGATGGTATAATACAGATTTTAATAGATGAGCAGTTCTTGTGTATGTATTGCTGCTTTACTACATTTTGATTAAAATTTCTTTCACATTTTGAAATAACCTTTGTAAATATTATGACTGATATGAGAATGGATCTTTTTGTATGCTAAAAATAAAAATTTGAGCCAAGATGTAGCCAGGATATAATACAGGCTGAGCCAAGGTATAGCCGAGATATAGCCATTATTGGGCCAAGATGTAGCCAGGATATAATACA